GTCGCACATCGGATTTATTCTCACCTACGTTTTTTACTTAACTTAGATTTATTAGTTGTTCATATATTTCACTGTAACCGAGATATATTTTTGTTTTGCTTTCCTGGCAATTTCGATGCATAATTAGTTTGTTTATGTTCTACATGGCTTCGAGTATGTCTTTGTGTTAAGTAAGAAATATATAGTAAAAGATTTGAAATCTTTGTAACAGAATCTTTGAGTATTAGATGTGACACAAGAATATAGAACGTGGCACTTAAGAGAATTAATGCTTGACGGGTTTGGCCTACTCGAAATTGAATGGAAAGAACAGTTGTAAGCGTAAACAAATGCCACGTTTAAACAACCAATCAAGATCGAGATACCCACACAACGTCATTGCAGGCATCTATTTCTGATGAAGAGATGCTAACTTTATTGTTGGAAATAGATTTTTAAAAATAGATTTAAACGTGAAATTCGTTGGAATGAATATTTGAAAATATGTTTGATGAAGTTTGGAGGATTTTTGAATGTAATAAATAAAAAGATATTAGATATATTTTATTTTCATACATAAAAGCAATAGAGATGTCTAAGCTGACGTCAATCACTTACCTGTCCTCAGGAAATTCATCAATGATCAATCAATTACAGAAGCAGCCAATAGGAGGGCGCTTCTATTGGGATAGAAATACAAATCATCTTGCAGAGATAATGGAAACGGAAATCGATTGAATGATAGTGAAACACAGATCTAGTTCACCTTCTAATTTTGACATCTCTATATGGATGCATTCGATATGTTAAATAATTTATTTTTCACTTCAGTTCTTATGTATGATTTTAATTGCGTGCTATTAACTTTAAATATTAACTTTTGGTAAAAAAAGATTTTTCAGAAAGATTTTTCAAAAGAAATAACAATTTCTATATTTTTTTTTTCATTTTAATTTTTTTTAAAATGTATTGAAATAAATAGATGTGATAACAAAATCTCGCTTAAAATAGCAATAATACAATACAACTTATTTCAAGATTAACTGTAGCATTGTATTATACACGAAAATTGCTTTTCACAGGCTTGTTCAATCAAAAAAACATCAAATGAATAAAAAATTCTTTGTCTATAACTTCATGAAAATTCTCGTTTCAAGCATGCTGTTTATTTTTCACCAACTACTAAAATAAGAACTTCCTCGAGGAAAAATATTTGTCTCTTAGTTTTCAATGCTCATCCCTGACATACATTTACATTGTACAAACGCACTCAAGTGCACTCTTCTATAGTTCTAAAGTACTAAAAATGAGGAAGGAAATAACAAAATAGTTCTAACATATTAAGAACTACTTTTTATTTAATTCTTTTGTTAAATTAAGGTGATTCTTTTCTCCCAAAGATAGGAAATCATTTAGTCGAAACAACTTTTATTCATAAAATCATTTTAAAATGGTCGTTGTTTACAACTGAGTTCGGCAAGTTATTTAAGATGAGGTTAAGATACTTTCAACTTACCTACTATTTATTATCATTATTTTATTTTACAACCGTTGAACAACCTACCCAATTTTGAGTTCACGACTACCAATGTTCAACTCAGTAGCCTTGTATCCAATCCAGAAGACAAGGGAACTCTTGGATAAAATATTGGGAGAAATTGGCCTTCCTAGAAGTCTTTTTGATGGAACTGACCAGCATTTGCGTTTTATGGAAATAAAACTTCTCATGGTTAGCCAGACAGCAAGGGGACACTAACCCAAGATTCTATCATTTTCAATATTTTTCGTTAGCGTTTCGTTCGGTTCGAACCGGATGTGGAATTCGTATCGACAAGCCATCACTCGGATTCGAAATCGAGTCACTTCATTTGGAGGCAAGCGCTCTATCTTCTGAGCCACCACGGCTCTTATTATCTTCATTATCATTTATTATAATTATCATTTTTTTAAGACGTCAGTTATTTGCGTTTTCGCTCTGCCATATATTGAAACTAAGTTTCACACGCTTATTTATTTTTTACTATCACCAATAAATTTTGTTTTATTATCGATTCGTTTTATTATTGTTTTATTTTTATTTTATTATCAATTATTCATTTATATATTTATTTCACTTACATATTTGTTGTTGACGTATGCCTGTTTAGGCAGAGGGGGTGCGATTGTTCTTGTTTACCAGTGGCGACATCTATGGCCAAGAATTTGACTTCTGCCACACCAAACGTCACACCCGTTTATAGGGCGGATTCATTCATACATCCATTCATTCATCCACAGATCGTAATTTTGACCTGAATCAGAGAACGATCGATCTCCGATCCAATACCCCCAGAGGTTTTGATTTGTTATGGGAACATGGAGGACTTTTGCGACTCGACAGATTTAACGTGCATCAGTCACTTTACTACACGGGGAGTCTTCGGCCGGTGGGGTTCGAACCCTCGAACTCTCGGACATGGGCCCAGCGCCCTACCGACCAGGCTATCCCGGCCTTTTGTATATTTATTTCATTTATATATTTATTTCATTTATATGTTATTAGATTATTTCCTACATTTGAAATATGAAAACAAAATTAAATCACTCAACAGACACTGGTCAGGCTCTTGCACTCGCTATTTCTTTCCCATAAGTGCTCGCAATTTCTAAGAATTGCTTAAATTGTCAGCTAACCGATGACGCATTCGGAATTACCTCTCATTGTATATGTTAGAAAATGATTTCTGATTTCTGTAAACCAACCCATGTAAGATACAGCTTTATGTAGAAAACAGAATTGAACTATCAGAAATGTGATTGACTTCCATATGATCGCTTAAAAATTTCAATAAAATAAGAATAGAACAAAATTCATGTGATTCCAGCAGATCACATTTGAAGGTTGACCAGTTGTACTGCCAAATCTATGATTGAATATTGTATGAATACTTCAAAAAATTTTAACAATGTCTTGAATCCCATAACCGAGAAAGGGATATATATTCAGTAATTATCAATAAAAGTTATAGAGAAAAATTGGAACTGAATTGAAAATTGAATTTCAGAGAAAGCAAGAAATGAAATATTGGAAGAAATTGACCAAGATACACCTTGATACGAAATTTATGCTAACAACAAGTAGCTATTGTTCAGAAATCGCCTATAAGGTTCCCCTTAATTTGAATCAGCTTGAAGACCATCGGTACCATATACATATGGTTTCTCTTCGGAGGTTGCGGTTGTTTAGAGGCGATTATTAACGAAGGTTTTACTGTATTTGATTGCCATCAAAATAAAATTTATGTAAGTTATAAGGGTAATTACAAGAAATGATTTATTGAATCCCTTAAATAACGGTATTTATCAGAAATATTTATTTTTCATCCTTTCTTAATATTTTTCTCTGTTATAATTTTGTTTTTATCCAAAATGAAAGACTTATTCCCTTATTGGATATAAGCTCATTGGATAAGGAATTCTTTTTGAATCGGAATTCCGTTTATCGGGAAAAAAATATACTGAAACAACAGTGGGAGTTGACGAATGATGTAAGCAGAAGGCGCTGCTTTCTAATAAAATTAATAAATACATTTTAATAAAATTATCATAACGGTGAAAAACAAATTTAGTAGAATTTTCTCACTATAATTAGTTCATTGGAGTATTCTATTTACAAAAGTCTAATAGAGGTTTTTTTTTCTTCTTGTAAAAGCAATTGCTATTTCAAATTACCTTTCACAAACGCTCCTCCCTTCGTTTGTTGAATTTGGATCAATTTTGTTATAGAGTTTTGGGGGGAAAGTAATCAAGAAAGAGTTCCTAAAATTGATTGGTTAAAAGTTTCTTTTCGTGATTAGATTGTCGTGACCTTAACCATATTTAATGTTTGATTTTGAGTTTCCCGAAGTAGTACAGGTAAAATGTTGGGGTAAAGGATTAGTTAAACTAACTTTTTGCTATAATTAGGTCTGAATTTATTAGGCACACTGTAAAAAAAGTTCGGTTGAAGTACCGGCACTTTGGGTGCCTCAATCATAAAATTTATTTTATCCAAACCATTTGCTATCCAATTTTACAGTAAAATATGAGATAGTAGTTTTTACAGTAATATTTATTTATTTTTAGTGATTTTAGGGCAATTATTACCTAAATTAATTATTATTCATTTTTTAAAAATTTTAATGAGTGTTTTTTTCTGTATTGAAAAGAAAATATTTTTTTATCAAGATATAAAAACAGAAATATTAAAAAAGTAAATTGTTGCCAAATTTTGTCAAAAGTTTGAATTTTGTTAAAGTGATTTCATGACGAAATGAATATTAAGACGTATAGTCTTGTCCCAACATAACGGTATATCATTATTTTTGGCATTCATTTTAATAAAAAAAATCGTGTAATTTTTGACGAAACGTGAAATCTCTCTCATTTGAGGAAACTGTTTTTACACTATTGTATCATCTTAGTACTTTCTCGAAGTTCTGAGAAATTTGCCATAGTTAAAAGCAGTTTGCATTATATGATGGTATGACACAGGCATTAGTGCGGTCTGCTGTCTAGCACACGTTCTTCGGGTACTTCTTTTTCCTCCGGTTCCTCGGGTATGTCTGAGTACTTTTTCTATGTTCTTTTACATAATTAGTTCTAATAATCAATGAGACGCATTAAGCATTTTACTTTTTGAAAAAAATGCATTTTTTTAATTCATTTCCTCACACTTTTAAAAAAGAGACGAATTAAAATTGTGTGCTAAGATATTTGCTAAAATATACATCATATATGCATAAAGTAGCAAATATCTGAAATTAGAACCTAATAATGACAATTATGCTAAGATATGAATCATTATTAGGCACTAAGGTATTTTTAATGGGTAAAAAACGGTTTTTAAGAAATCTTTGAATGACGCAATCTCTGAATTGTGTTTTTTTATTATGAAACTCTAAAAGACTAATTAGTATATTTAGACAGCATTGAACCATGATTCCATAAGGTATTATAAAATGCTTCATTTAATTCATTTGTTTTGTTTGTTTTTATTACAGGTCGCTGGATGTGCAGTGATTGGCTGCATGCTCTGGATCTTGGCGACATCGCCCGCTTTAAGAGACTTTTTCATGGGAACTACAGTGAGCTAATTTTTCTAATGAAATTTATTATAATATTTATTTAACTTGATCCATATCATTAAAATTCCATATGAAATAATTCTCTCATTAATCAACACTCTCAGAAAAATTGGTTTAACATTTAATCTTAATTCAAAGAAAAATTTCTGCAACCTTAATTTGATGCTAAATTGGAGCAAGTTTGCGTTTTAAGTTAATACAAAAATATCGACAAATCGAATTTAAGAAATATGTACTGTAATATTGTTTAAAATATTGCTCCCTATTAAAGCTTAACCTGAATAAAGTTTTAAATTAAACAATGTTTCCTTTTTAAATTGAACCATAATATAAATTAATCAAGTTTAAGGAATACGGTAATATGATTCAACATAGTACCATATTAATCTCCATTAACAACACGTTCAGAAAAATCGGTTCAACATTAACCACGATTAGGGAAAAAAATGTCTGCACCCTTAATATGATGCCAAATTCAAATATATTTCTGATTTAAGTGAGAACCATAGTATCAAATTATTAAGTTTACGAAGTACCATAACGTGGTTTTAGATAGTTCACTCTATTATGGTTTAATCTTAATAATGTGTATAATTGACGTCATCACACTTTTTAATTGTGTTCAAGAGTAATAGCAGTGCGCATGCGTTGCTATGGCGACCGCTGCTGTTTAATATTTTTTTAGAATTCTTTTTTTTTTCACTTTTAATTTTGTTGTGTATTAAATTGGTGAGTTTAATTTTGAAATATGGGACCAGAGAGATCCCATAAATACTTCTTGAGTTGTGAATAAACGAGAATTTCATCATTTGAACGATATTTTTGTTTCTATTGTTTTATTAAGAATCAGAAATTCTAACCTACAGTTACAAAATATATATATATATATATATATATATTTAAACATTGAATGGGCACACAGTCGTTCCCCAACCCAACCATTTTGGTTTTTCCGCCAATGAAAGCCAAGAAAAGCTGCAGACTTCGTCACTTTACTTGGGAGTTTCTTCCACTTGCAATCATGAACTACCAATTAAAATTGGTTTGTATCTTTTGATAATTTACATCTTTTGGGTACTATAGATAAGTGCCATGTGATATGATCAATTCATTACAGAGTAAAATTTTAAACCTTACAGTCACATCGACAGCAAGGTCTTAAAACCTTGACGGTTTTTGAGGCTATATATTTTTAAATGATAAATTCCAAACTTTTAGTTCAATCAAAATGGTTTTTGATCGGAAAAAACATTCCAGAATTATCATAATTTTTAATTTTATATAGCAACTATCAAACTAATTATGTATTCAAATTTTAGATTTTTTACTTTTGTGCACCTTTTGACTTTTATAACCTATAAGGCTGAGTGATGTAATGCTTGCACACGCACACACACACACACACACACANCTGTGAACATAATAATAAATATATATATATATATATATATATTTACAAAAATATATTATTGCACCTTAGCGACAAATATTGTAACGTATACTCTGCCATACGCTGTGTGTTCTAAAACTGACCCAGAACAGTTCCGCGAAAAGCCCAGTCTAATACAAAAACGAAAGAAAAAAAGGGAAACGAAACCCCGACGCTTCCGCCTGCAATGACCGGAAAACAATTATGAGTTGTTATTTTATTTATATTTGTGTTGTGAGATGAAACGTAGGATTTGGTATTTATATTTGTATAAGAAAAACAAGAGATTGTAATTATTCATACTGAAATATTTGTGTTAAGGACAACAAAAAAAATTTTTAATAATGTTTGACTAAGTTTCTGAAATTGATCACGCCTGTGTTATTGGATGATTAAAATATTAGGATTCTTTTTTTTTTCCTCAAGCTTGTACAAAATAGAATATTTGTTGAAAAAGTAGCTTTGATTCTTCAATTTGTAACACCCCTAAGCGTTTTTAAAACTTGGTTCTAACTTTCCAATGATTTTAGATATCTAAACTGTCACGAAATCTTTAAAAAAAATTTATCATACAAAATATGGGTTAGAACATTGAAAATTTACGAAGAATTATTTCAATTAAACTATCTTTTCAATATATTTAGATATGAATAAGATCCAATTGTTTCAGATACTGCAATATATTGTTCGATGATTTAAGATACAAATATTATTGAATAATTTTGAATATAAATATTTTCCAGCAGTATTAGAAACAAGTATTATTCCATAGTTTTCAGTACAAGTTTTATAAAATAATTTTTGGCACAAATACTATCCGGTAATTTTAAATGTGAATATTATCCAACAATTTCAGAAACAAATGTTATTTAATAATTTTCAATAGAAATATTTGCAAATAATTTTAAATTCAAATATTATTTAACAATTTTAGATACAAATATTATCTGATAATTTTATATAAAAATGTTATTGAATAATTTATAAACTAATATTAACTGATAAAAGGGCATGATAATTTTCGATTGATGAAAGGATTATTTTGAATAAACCGACTTCAAATAATATAAAAACTGATAATTAAATTTTTACGAATTTAAAAATATTTATTATACTTGCGTAACAATTAAAATTAAAATTTTGTTTCAATTTCAATTCCAGTTTGAAACAATAAATTAATAATAAATATTGATGAAAATTGATCAATAATAAATATTGTTTATTCAAAATCCTCTATTTAACAATAAATATTGATGAATAGAGGATTTTGAATAAACAGACTTCGAAAAATATAAAAACTGATAATTAAATTTCTGCGATTTTATAAATATTTATTATACTTACGTAACAATTAAAATTAAAATTTTGTTTCAATTTCAATTACAGTTTGAAACTTTTCTATATGTATGCCATTATGAGTATGTAAATATGCTAAGTATGTAAATATGAGTTCAAATAGTGTTAAACTTATTTAAAATACAAATTTAAAATACGATTGGACCCATAATAATACCAAAAAAATTTATTTTTATGAACTGAAAAATAATGAATTGACAAAAAATTAAATAAAATTTCAATCTCTAGATATTAGCTTATACCTTATGCGTATTTGTTAAAAAGTTAAACCTGTTTTATTTTGTGATTAATATGCTATGATTTGTAAATATATTTTTTTAACAATATATTATTTTTTGTTAGATATTCTCCTATGTTGTAATTGGTATTGGAGGAATACTCTTCTTAAATGGTATGGTTTTTTTAAGCTTTTTTTTAAGTTTTTAATATTTGGTATAATCTGTCCATATTAAGAAAATCTGTTATTTTTTTCGTACATTAGGTCTTATAGGATGGATTGGATCATATCGAAGAGGAAATTGCGTGATGAAGTTGGTAAGCGTACATTATTTTTACACAATGAAATTTTTACGTTCTATATTCTGAACATGGTGTAAGAAATCACTGGGCAACAAGTACAAAAACTGAGGGTGCCAGTATTTTTTTCCGGAAAATTCGTTTTTACAGTCAAATTTTACGGAACAAGAATTCTGATGCTTCGCAATTTTTACAGTAACATTTACTGTAAAATCGTTGAATCACTGTAATTAAATAAGCAGTTCTGTTATAGTTTTACGAGTAGTAATGATTTTTAAAGTTTCAGTACTCAGAATGCCTGTATTTTTTGCTGGAATTTGATCCGGAATTTTTTACAGCGTGTGTAAGTCTCTTGACACAAATAATTCTCAAACACTCAAGCAAAAAGCTTACTGAAAATAAAAACTTCTAAGACTTCAGTGTTGAAATGAAAGAAACATCAACATGCCTCAAGCTTTTAAATAGTATGCTCTTCATTAAGACAACGTAAGTGATAAAAACGTGAACCGGTAATAAACAAGAAAAATACATAGCTTCTAACGAAAAACGGTAAAGGCAAGTGAAATTAATTCCGTAGAAGAATTAAAGTTATACCACGGTAGTCAAGGTGACGGGCTACTGCTGAAGGAGTCACACTGGGAAAGAATACATTTTCATGCGCACTATAGGGGTGGTTTTTCCACTTTTTCCTTAGTAGTGCAATTTCTTGTTTCGAACCTGTTTCTGTTTTCCTCACTTATTATGTGCTGACCAGAAGAGGAGAGTCGTGTTTGAGCGATCCAAAAACAATAACTTTTTTTTCTATTTAAACTATGAAGCATAAAAAAAAATTTCTAGGAACAAAAGTCTGTTGCTTCAGACATTTAATATTTAGAATATTTAAATAATTTAATATCGTCAAATAAGGGTGTTATTTGTATACAATGTCGATAAAGTGAAATTAAAAATTATTTTTTTTCAAAGTTTTGTTACATAAATTTATTGTTAACTAGCCGCCTAAGGCGGCCAGCTGTCCGCCACGCTGAAGGTTTTCACAAATAAAGTTTTTTAAAACATAGCAGGAAATCTGAAGATTAGTGGACAATTAAAGTGTTCCTGTCCAGCAATTTTGTCTTCATATCCAGTTCTGCTGCAGATGTGTTATAGCTCTTGAGGATGTTTGAAATTATATAGCTACAACGCTTAAGAAAAAAAAAACTAAAATGCTAAATACATGAAAAGAACACGAAAACGAATAAATTTTTTATGGTATCAATTTCTATTTCTATATAATTTTTTATGGTATCAAATTCTATTTCTATATCTGTTACGTCAAGCACTCAGGTATTATAATTTGATCTAGTTGTGCTTGTATAATTTTGATCTAGTTGCGCTTTCTACGTCATTTTGTTAACATCGTTTGGTTTGTTATTTAACATCGTTTGGTTTGTTATTTCTAAGTTAACTTTCAAAAAATTGGCTGGCATCAGCATTTTTATTCTTTAAGTTGTTTATTTTTTCTTTTGGAATTCGTTCCTTTTTAGCGAAATGTTTTTCAACCTAATCGAATTCTTTGCCGACTGTTCTCTGTATATATAAAGAAAATAAAGTAAATATTTTTAAAGTGTTGTGAAAAGAATTTTTAGTTGTACAAAGTACTACAATATCGCTATAAAAATTATCGTCTTCGCTTAAGAAAAAAAAAAAAGAGCGTGGAAAGAAGAAGAAAAACTTATTATAACAATTATGAACAGCGACAAATATATCAAAGCGAAGCGTTCTATTTACGTATCGAATATGTTGCCACATTTTTAATACAAAAGTTAAACTTTTCTCCACTTTAATAAATGTAAACTAATGCGAACTTTACAATTAAATTATTAATTCCTTCGTATATTATTGGTTTAAGTTGTCGAAAATTAATATTTCAATTGTGAGGTTCGCATTAGCATACATTTATAAGAGTGGGGAAAAGTATATGCATTTTTTAATAGTTTTTTGAATATGGCTCTTTGAAGACGAAAAAGCAGACGAAAAGCATAGACTTACAAAATGACTGATAACTAAATAACTAATCAAAATTTTTGAAAAAGAAAAAAAATACTTCTTCATTATGTGAAAACACAATTATGGGCCGAGTTTCGTGCCCGGGCGAGGCTTCTGGGGCGATATATTGTGATTACAGACACACACACACACACAGCCGCGTTTATTATTATGTATAGATTATCTCATTTTACAGAAAAAACAACTGCCAATATAAAATTTTGAAATGTCTTCGTAGCAGAACAAAATTAATATTATTACAAAAGAAAAAAACTGCAACAGTTCTGCTTTACTTTACCTTTGATATTTATACTTAATGTAATATAATTATCAATGTAAGTTAATTTAATTACTTAACATATGATACGCAGTAATTCATACTCATTATTCCGATAATTCTTCTGAAAATATTTTACTTTAGTTGCCGATGTCGTGATCTTTTTCAGAAAATCTTTAAAAATCTTTTTCAGATTCTCTAATCTAGGTAGTAAAATTTTAATTTTTAAATCCTTATATTCTAGCTGCATTTGAAACTTTTTTAGGGTAAAACTTTTAAAATATTTTGTTTTCGTTGTAAATTTATCCTTTTTAAATTATTAAAATGAATAATGCAGAATCGATGTCTTACAATTGTCAATGAAACATTAAAATTAAACATTTAAGTAGTATTTAAAACATTTCTTGAATTGTCTTAGTGAAATGCTTTATTTTAAAGCAGAAACAACATGAATAAAGTGCATAAAAGACATGAGTAAAGCGCAACATGAATAAAGCGCAAAAAAAAATGTCTTCACCTAAAGTACATCGCATAAAGTATACCTTATCCACACTTGCTTAATTTTAATTAAAAATTTATCATATTTGAAGTATTATGATAGATGGCACAATATTGTAATCTCGAAATCATAAGACTTCTATGGCACTTTTTAGTTACTTCTTATAAAATGTAACATTTAAGTTGGTGTCATCAATCGATTTTTACAGTAAAATATTGTAATGAAACTATCGTAATGCGTAAACTTGTATGAATTGTGAATGTTATTAGTAAATTTGACATTTTCATTTTACTAGTTACTTGATCTTAAAACTCTGATTAGTCTTATTAGTATAAAAAGGAATTTTTTTAATTACTATTCACTGCATAAAAAAATTTAATATCATAGTAAATTGATCAAGTGTGGGACAAAAAATTTATAACCCATTTATGCTGTTAGAATTTCTTTTCTAAAATTTCGGTTAAATAACCGTAGCAGTCTGTGCATCCGTAGCAGGAACCATAAAATTTATGGTTAGTAACATTCCTTTACGATTTTGCAACCATTTACAACAGCAAAGTTTCTCCATAGCAAATCCGTGAAAATGAATTTAACTGGGCATTATTGTTGGGTTAAGTTTAACTTTTTGATATGTAATGGACACCATAGCTAGGTTGAGAAAGAGTCGTGTTTTGTGAATGAAATGTAGCTTAATTAGTTTATCTGTTGGTGCCATCTATCTTGTGAGAGGAAAAATACTGGACTTTTTGTGTTAAGCAGCTATGTAGAGCTAAAATCTATGCGTAAATGAGAGTTTCGTATTCCAATTGTTCAGGGTCACAATTTGAGGAGTGAGGGATACTAAAAACTCTCCATGTGTTGAAACAATGAAAGAAATATTGGGCTGCCAACCCTGGGATTCGATTCCTCGTCAAGCCGGTCATGAGAATGACAGATTATCCTTTTAAGCTGAACGTACTTGGCTATGTATGCGCTCGTACTCTCGTACGCTCGGCTATGTATGCGCTATGTACGGCTAGTATGTACTCGGCTGCACGAATTTGTGGGGTTGATTTGGTATCTTTGTTAGAGTCCCCACTTAAACTCTAAAAAGAAATATAACTCTAGGAAAGCGTTCCACATAAAAATGTTTCCGAGAACGTGTTATAGGTTTCTTCATGAATAACACTAAGTTTAAGTAAATAACTATCTTTATTAACATTTAGGAAACTTGTAAATTTAACTAAAACATTCGAACATATATAAAACTTAACAACTTTAACATTGAAGCAGCATAGAAATAAACTGCGAAAAGGTAACCGGCGAGAACATGCCGGATTGCTAGCTAGAACCGACGGGGAGAGAGAGAGAGCTATCTGTGAGGATGCGGCCAAGTTATATCCAAAACATACTGTGCGCATTTTGCTGATTTCGCCCTTCACGCATATCTCCATTCAGGTATGAGGTTTACGTCAATTATCGGCTGCGAGCGACGTAGTCCAACGTCAGAGATTCGTAATTCGGACTTTGCATTTCAGACCGCAACGCCACAAATTAAGTGACTTCTTAATGTTTGTATAGTTGGGCAGAAAAATTCTTGTTGTTTAACCGTATTGAGTGAGAATGTTGAATAAATGATAATCCTCACAGTTAACAGTTCGAATACCATTTTTTCATGAATATTTCATTAGTTTGGTTGAATACGGTAAAATAACAATTAAACAAAATTGTTATTTAAACATTTTTTTAGAAAAACAGTGTAGTGTAACAATCTAACAGTGTTGATAAGTGGTCAACTTTTGAAAGGGAAATTTAATTTTTTTTTTAGTTTGATACTTGCTAAATAAAATCAATTTAAACAAGTGATAAACTTACAGAGGAGGTCGACTTATTACAAAAAGATATGAAGCAAAAGTTCTGTTTTACCATATTTTTTAATCTATTGATAATATAATCTTTGTGGTTATATATGCTTTAATTATTGTGAAGCTAAAATACGTTCATTAATATTGTTAAAGGTATTTTTCAGAAAAAAATATGGATTCCCATTCCATTTTTCCCATTTCCTTCTCCATTTTTCACTATAGAGAAATTTATAAACGCAACAACTTTGTTTATCATGATGATTATTAGTTAGTAACGAATTAAAATTGTGGCGCTCATAAAGTTATCCTTTTATTAACATGGAAGAAGGTATAAGACAATACTGATTTGACTTGTTTATTTATTTTAGTTTTTGTTGGTTGCTGTCCTGACTGTAGCTGCAGAGATCGGTGGTATTGTAGCATTTAACATTTTAGATTTAAAGGTAAGAGCTTCTTATTCAGCATTTCAAAAATTGAGATAGTTTTTTTTTTGTCTGCATTCGAAAACTGACCATTATGCCCATTCTTTAGATGACTGATGTTTTCGAAAATGGATGGAAAGAAGTTAACGAAAACACAAAAAATATCATTCAAGATCAAGTAAGATTGAGTAGAAAATGGTGTTTCAGAATTCCTATTTCAAAGTATCCTATAAAATTCCACGAATTAAGATTTATTTCTATACTCTTTTATACTTCACGATTTTTTTTAAATTCATTTTCAAAATTTTAGGAATGTTTTATGCTTTCAGTAATTAATTTAAAAACCATCTGTTTGTAGATTATTCTAGTTTTATTTTTGGTAATTGGTGAGAGTACCTTTCCAATCTTATTGTTTCAACATTCTATAAATGTAAAGTAGTCAGAAAAACAAAGTAATGAATAACTTTTGATCTAATGATCAGATTTTTTACGCACTAAGCAGTTAAAAACAGGGTTAAAGGTAAACCCAATTAAAATATTTCGTGTTTACTGCTCATTAAATAATAAAAGAGTAGATATTTTTTTAAAACAAACATGCATTTTTTCTGCGATATTAGACTTAGTATTTTAAAGAAAGAAAGTCTCAAACTGAAGTCTGAATTGAAAGTCTAAATATCAGAACAGTTAAAAGCTTAAAACCTTTTACTGATGATTTTTGAGTTTCCACAAGCAATAGGTTATTTAAAAAGGTATCAATTAATAATCATTTACATCATCAAAAACTTTTTAGCCGTTATTTATTATTTAGCCATTAAACTACCTTTTTAAATAAATAAAAGACGACTTTAACTCAACTCACTTTTTATTTCTTTTATAATCAAATTTCTCACTTTTTATTTCTTTACATATTACTTATATACACAGAAGAGCATTACATTATGACCACCCTCCATCTATAACAATGGGCTCGCCCAGGTTTTCATGGTTTCTCGCCCAGAAACAATGTTTTCATGGGGCACATTAGGACCCATAATCCTCATAGAACAATCCCTGATGTCTGTAAGCTACTTGAACATAGTTACAGACCAGGTTCACCTATTCATGGCAACAGTTTTTCCTGCAGAGGATGGTGTTTACCAACAGAATAATGCACCATGTCATAAGGGTTGAACCGTCGAGGAACATTCCAGTGACTTTCAAGTCATGTCTTGGCCCCCAAATTCACCTGACCTTAATCCGGTAGAGCATTTGTGGTCCTACTTGGAAAACAAAATTCGTGCTGTCACGCTACCCCCTCGCAATGTGAGGGAATTGCAGGACCAGTTGGTGAGGGCTTGGTACCAGATACCTCAGACTACCTATCAACACCTTGTGGAATCAATGCGGCGGGTGCTAGCAGTTTCGAGGGCTAATGGTGGTCTTACATGTTATTAGCAGGGTGGTCGTTATGTAATGGCTCTTCGGTGTATATCTTTATATTTTCTTTTATATATTAATGAAATTGCAAGAACATTTTGAAATTATGTTCTGAAAAAAATATAATCATTTAAAATATTGAAGAAAAATATAAATATTAATTGAGTGTGATGTAGAATATATGAAATTAGCCATACTAATTTAATATTTTTCTTTAGCTTCATTGCTGTGGATTCTTAGGTCCAGAAGATTTCACAGTGAATACTGAACCAATCCATGAAAGTTGCTACACAAAAATCACACCCGGAAACTCAACATCGACTACGACTGAAGTTAGAAAATTAAATAGGGTAATGAAACTTTGATATTATTGTTTATATACGTATTTATGTCATAACAAAAAAAAATTCATTATTTGTTCTTTGCTTCAATTTGCATTTAATTTAACTATTAAGCTTCTTTTCAATTTCAGTTTTCTCCCCCTAATCAGGTGACTAGCAAAGTTCGGACGCTTAATAGGGTGATTAACCAATTCTTTTTTGTTTATGTTTTATATAACCATTTATTAAGTTTGTTTTTTTTTGAGAATTTTTATGTTGTTCGCATGCTCTGCATGGTTTTTTGTGCATGTCACTTTAAAAGTTTATTTTTCAAGAAAGTTTTCATCTCAATTCTAACAGCACCCAGTACTAAGGTGAATTTATCCCGAATGAATTAGATATAAAATGTGGAGATTTTTTAAAATTTTATAAAGATTGTGCAGCAGTATGTATCTTAATGCAGTGGTTTCTTTGTTTTTCCTACGAAACCATAAATGATCAACCACCTTTGCGGTGGAGCTCCGTCTTATAAACAAAGTAAATAAAGGTAATTTTGTATGTATTCAATTATTTTGACTTTTTGATAACTTTTATTTAATAAGAGGAATGAAATCTTTTTAATCGTCATTTTAGCATTAATAATCTTAAATTAAATAATTTCAAATTAAATTGAATCTTAAATTAAACTTTTTTTGTTTTTATTAAGCAAAAGCGTCTCAAATGGTGAGCAGAAATCCAAGTATTAATTTTAAAAAAAGTAATATAAAAAGTATTTAATCGTATTAAAAAATTTACATTTATCAAAAATTACTAATTATTTCCACATGTGAACTTTATTATTTTTATTTTGTTTATAATGCCAATTATGTTAAAAGCACAAAATAAAGTTAAGCAGAAATTCTATAATCCACCATACAACCTATAAGTCAACCTCGATCAGATCTATGTTCCTTCAAGAATTTTTATTTTATTTTATTTTATTTTATTTTATTTTATTCTATTTTATTTTATTTTATTTTACAGAAAACTTTATTTAATTTATATATTAGGTAGTATCTCCCCTCTTACCGACCTTTATGTAACTTTATATTAAGTTGGTAATAAATAGCCATTATTTGTTTTAAAGTGTGAGCCATTAATGTAGTGTATTGTTTAATGTGTAGGCCATTAATTGTTTTAAAACTCAGAAAATTTTGTAACAGACAGGTGTGAAATAAAGAGAATTGTCAAAACCACAATAAATTGGACTTGAATGAAGTTTTGAACAGTTTTTGGAATATTAATAATTTAATAATTTTTTTACAGTAAGTGATTTCGTCACATTCATGAAATGTAAAGATTCATAGCCAATCTCTTTTACAATGTATTTAACTTTATGCTAAAAATATTGATTTTTAATTAACTTAATAGAAAAAATTTATTTACCTGTTTGGCTTTACCTTTTAGTATTTATGATTTTCCATGAAAAATACGTCAAATATACCAAACTAAGTATGTTTCAAATTAGAGGATATGTTTGGAAAATTTTACTTTGCATATTGTATGAAAGATGCTGTGATACATGCAATTTTATATATATAGTATATATATATATATTACTTACATTATTTTTGAACTCTCATCCGTTGTGATCATATAACAGTGAATACTACGGTTTGTACATTTTCAACATTTATGTTCATCAAATGTTTTTCTGAAGATTTGTATGAATTTCAATTGACACGATTGTAATTACTATAATATTTGGATGCCAATTTTTGTTTCAAACTATCATTTAAGAGGGAATCATACTTTTCTAAAAACAGTCGAACTGCAATTAAGTATTAGTAAAAAAATAAGATGAATAATAATAATGTATATTAGTATAATCACTCCTTATAGTAATCGATTATTTTTAAAAAAATATGTAAAGTTAATCTCGCAAAAAAATTTAACACACCGTGATTGCAAACCGTCACTCCCTAAATAATTTCATTTATCAAACCTAAAAGAATGACTTAGCTAAAAGAATGACTTAGCTTAGCCTAAAAGAAAGCTTACTTATTATTTGAGGTCAAAAACTTTTTTAGGAAAACATGTAATTAAATTTTCGATAGACAATATTTGTAGTTAACAGCTTAATGTTACCAGAAATTGTATAATTTCCATGGACAAAAAGTTAGTATAAAATTAATTGCTCCACAAAAAAAGTAGTTTTGACTGAAAATTCAGCCTATTACCTTATTTAAGTGCTAGTGTAAGTATATAAGTGTATTAAGCGTAATGCGTGTATTAGTGTTTAGTTATCCAGAGAGAATTACAAAAAAATCTTAACGCAAAAATTATCGCATTATAGCAGTTGTTAATATAAATACAAGTAAATATTTAAAGGAATACAAGGCATAAAATTATTTCTACTGTTCAAAAAATAAAAAAATAAGCACCCGGAATATCTTTTGATCTAATGATTAAATTTTCATTTACTCAATCTCAATCTTAATTATTCGGGTGCATACCCTACAAGTCCCGTAGTCGTTAAGACACGGGTTAAGTCGTTAAGACTGATCGTTAAGACACGGTTCCCAGAAGATCACCGAAGTCAAGCATCACAGGCTGCGGTCAGTGTGCGGGTGGGAGACCACTTGGATCAGTCTGCGTAGGAACCGAGGTTGTGCGGTATGGGTCCTCGTTAAACTGTTCTACCGTATAGTGCTCGACTTTGCGTGCAGGTCATTGGGCTACAGAAGCGGGGGTGCCATCCCCTCTGCAGAGGATCAAAATTGTGATTTCTTGTCTTCGAATCATCCTCAGGGATGCTTCCCAGACCGTCGCCAGTAGCCCATTGTGCAGCTCTAGTGCGACATAAATGAACTACAACAACAACTACAACAGCATACCCTACAATATGCTAATTTATTATTGCAAGCCTTATTTTAAGATGCGAAATCAGACACAATGCATTTTTTATGAATAAAAATACTTAATTTTCGAAAGATTTGTAATTCTGAAAATATGGGAGGCAACCACAATTTTATTTCCAATATCTGAGCACGAGAGTGTCTACCCATCAATGTTAATTTTACTTTTTGCGTATTTCTCATCTGAAAGAAGTCGTATATTTAAATTCTTATTTTGAAAGACCTATTCTACCTATTCTTTTCACATTTTTCATTTTGTCATAAAAATTCTGAAAAACTTTTGTATTCTTTTAAATAAATTTTATACCTCGTTCAGAAATTTTTGGGCTGTTATTAAATTAAACAATAAAAAGTAATAAATAATTATACAACGCAATATTTTACATGGAATTTGATTTCTCAAGAACAATTTAACTGATTTCGTTCAAAGTTGATATTTTTCCATGCAAAATTACCTTATTTAAAATGGGGAAATAAATTTCATACCTTACAAAACAAAACTTTTTGGACCATCATTAAATAAAATAAATATAAAAATAGTAAATAATTATTAGGTTTTAATTTTTGTCAATATTTTTAGGATTTTGACATCATTAAAAAATAATTTCATTATGAAATTCAAAGTACTTTTTTTTGGTTTAAATACTATTATTGGTATTGTTTTTTTTCTTGTAATTGTACCTTTTTAATCAAGTCTTATTTTGTAGATTGGTTGCAAAGAGAGATTACTGGAATGGTTTTATATGAATAAGTATACATGGATAGGATCTTTAGGAGGAATTCTCCTGTTTCAGGTACATAAGCTCTTACTTTTCAATGAATTTAATACTTGGGCATAATGTGTAAGATTATATCACCATTGTTCTTTATACTTTTCAATACTTTTAACGAAAGAAACATCAGTTTTTGTGAATTTTTTTATAAGAGTGGGAATAATATTAATTTATTTTAAACCAGCACTATAAAAAATTCCGGACCAAATCACCTGAACTTTGAGTTCATCATTCATGAAATCCATTTCTCCGTAAAATCTATTTTTACCATAAAATATTATACCGTAATTTCAATATTTATTTGATTCGAGTGATTGAAGGATTTTGCGGTGGTCATTAGTGTAAAAATTACTGTATATTAGAATTTTGTTCTGTAACGTGTTCCGGAAAAAATAAATTTTACGGTAAAAGGTATCGGCATCCTGAATACCGGTATTTTTTACGATAATTTCATCTTGAATTTTTTGCAATGTATTATTTACAAGCAACCCTTTTTTTTTATAAATCACTTATAAATATGCAAATTATTATTGAAAAATCATGATTTGGGCCTCCTTGATGTGTATTGATTGATATTTTTTCGCATTTTTGTTAGCATGCTATACAAAATGAAAATATATCCTAGGCCTATTAGTTTAACTATTGTTGCTATTATTACTGGTTTTAATATAAAGGTTTGATCAAAGCTTCTGAAATGTCTGAGATTGCAGATACAAATCTTTGCCTATGAGGAAAAAACTAACTTATTGGGAAGAACAAGCAAAAGACCAGGTTCATCGCGATTAAAAATAAATGTGTATGTTTTTTTTAAATGATCAGTTAACATGTTTGGGAATTATTTTAAGCCATAATAATGAAACTGAAACAAAAATTAACAACAGAATAATTATGACTAATAGATGCTATTTTGGATTAAGAGGACAATTCAAATCAAAATTGTTGGCAGTGCACGCATTTGAGTGACTGTGGGTAGTCATATGAGGAAAAAAGAAGATTTAATTATTTTTCATTAAATGCAATGCCATCTCGATACAGCAAACAACAGAAAAATAATTAACTTTAAACTTAGAAATGTGACACAGTGCATGACTCGAGTACAGCAACAAAGTAACTTGACGTGACTTAGTGAAGTGACCATACATTCAAAAAATATAAGCCTTTATTACAAGTTCAGTAATCACATGCGCACAGAATGACGTCACTCACATTATCTGTAAAAGAAAATATACATGTTGCCTACAAGCAACCGAAACTTAATTCTGTTAATTCAATATTCTCAGAGGAGTAACATACCACTCCAGTAAATATACCTGAGTAGGGAAAAAATACAGCTATTTAAGAGTGAATCGAAAGATCTTAAGAAGAATTTTTGGTGCAGTAAATGAGTGGAAAATACTATTCAACTTTTAGCTAAACAGCTCATATAGAGAACCAAATATACTGAAATTTATTAAAATTCAACAGATGGGATTGCTTGATCATATCAATACATATGACAATGAATAATTTTTCTCAATCCAAAAAGAAAGAAAAAGAGAGGCATACCACATACGAGATAGTTAAATAATATGGAAGAGGGTCTGAGCAGTGTGAGAGTTAATAGATTGAGAGTAGTTGTGCATGATAATTCAAGTTGTGCATGATAATTCAAACTGCATAGCGCTGCTTGGGACAGTCATGTCTGGCAACCAGTGCTGTTAGAAGAAGACGAAGTTTTAATATTAAACTAACATTGGGGAAATGTTTGTTTATTGCTGTGTTAGATTTTTTAACGCATTTGAATATTTTCACGAGACTGATTTCAAATTTGCATTCAGTTTTTATCTCCAGGCTCCAGTTTGTTTATTAAATCACATTTTCAGTCTATTTTAATTATATTTTTTTATATTATTCAGTCAACGATTTATATAACAGGAACTCGACTAAATGTTGCAACAAACTTCTAGGGGAGTAAGGGCACATCACCAAGATTAAAATTACATAGGAATCCATGTCCGGAAATGTTATCATACGCATCTGGGGACGATCCCCTATTATGTGTTCCTCGTGTGCTTCTGAACTGGTCATAATATGGAATCTCCCCTAGCCGTAAACGACTACATTTCCGGGCTTGGATTCCTATACGAATTTACTTGTTATGATGTGCGTTAACTTTACCAGAAGTTTGCAGCAGCATTTATGTGATCCCCTAATATATGTATCGTTATTAAACTTGCACAATCTGATGAAAAAATAAATTAAAAATATCATTTTAAAAAAACATCTGTAGCTTTTGGAACAAAACTAATGTCAGGTTTGAAATCCCTCACTCGAATTTGGCAAGATCAAGTATTTGCATAAATACAACAAAAATTTGTTCCCCAGTGTTACGGGTCACTTATTTACGTTAAAATCACAATCTGTTTTATAAACCGTATTTCAATTAATCATTCTATTTCGACTGTGGTTCCTATTCCTAATGCTTTTTTAATTTGTTTTTGTAAGTTTCACTTCAAAATATTGATTATGTACTCTAAACTTTTGTCAATAAATGTCATTATTTATTATTTTCTCCACCTTTTTCTAATAATTGATTACTATTTAAAGGTATGATAAGTTTTACAACAAAAAATAAATTGAAAATCAATAATTTAATAATGGAATTGTAAGTTATATTTCTTTGTCAGTTGTATAACACGAGTACTCCAGTTGTATAACACAGATATCCTTTTTCAGAATTTGCTATTTCTAATCCCTTATTTTCCATAAGTTGATACTAACTCTGTAGTTTATATTTGTTTAGGTAGCGAGTGTTCTGTTTGCTGTTTATTTAATCAATCAATTAGGACGATCAAGACGATCTTCTTCAGAATCATTAGATGTTGACGTTGATCCTATGCATCATCATCCTCAACCTTACTTTTGACTATCCCCATCAGGAAAAGTAGTCAAAACTACAACTACTGGTCATCACTACAAAGAAAGATTTTAAGTCTGAAAGCAAAGACTTGAAAAATGTTGGCGGCAGGGACCAATTTTGAAGTGCATAAGATTTCAGACATAGACCTATTCATCAACAGAAGTTGTTCACTCCCCATAAAGGGACTGCATGTCACGAGACTGATTTTCCCTATGCTAGTGCTGATTCTGTCGGGATTAAGTAATTCATAAAATTGCGTTATTTTACACGATTTGGTTACAATTTGTATTTGTTTGATATAACTGTCTCCGTGTCTTATAATGCGTGGTTTAGTTATTGCTGCTATAGCTCAAATTAAATGTTTTTCTACTGAACTTTAAAATTACATTTTGAGATAACTTAATTAAAAACCATTCTGTAAGTAAAACACTCTCAGTTATGAAAAAAACTCATTTTTGAAGATTCAGCATTTCTTGGGATATATTTCCTAAATTTCTGTCAGTCATTTTGTCATAAAGCCACGTGTTTTTTATTTAAACACAACGAACTCACATATATTTGACAAAACTGAACTCAATCGTGTGTCATCTCATCGCAATCAGGGAGTTAACTGATAATTTTGTTTACTTGGTTTTAAAAGAGATTGCATTTAATAATGGGATGGTACAGGGTTCAGTGCACTCCCTTTTCAATCAAATTTTTTACGTTATTTTTCTGGCATTGACTAAATACTCTTTCACTTAATTCTCTTTTTATTTTACGTTGTACTCCCTAATTAATTGGTGTAATCAATAGCTCGCAATAATACTTTTAACGAATTTTGTATCCTTAAACAAAAAAAAGTTATTGATTTTTCGCTATTTAACGAAATTTTCCTTGGAGGATTACCCAGAAAATGAATTCATCAATGATGAAAAAACGTCTGGGTGTCTATTTTTTTCCAGTAAACAAAACTACTCATTACAAGATTTGACTCAATTATATCAAATAAATAAAACGCATAAATGCAATGCTCAGATTATTGATGTATTTGTATCAGGAATTAACACCCCCCTTCCAGAATTAGCATATATAAGCGTGAAATAAAACGAATAACGTGCAGTCCTTTTAATTTTTTACCCATGCATGAAATACTCAATTTTTCATCTTAATATATAGTTAACTAATGTGTTGTGTAAAAATGTCTTAAAGCAGTATTCTATAGTGTTGGGGAAGTATCATATGATCCTTACGTCCCTACGCCACGTGATTCTGACGTAGTTGTTTGTGCAATGTACATCACGTGACTCTTCAACAGAATTGATTGCCAAATATTTGCATTTGTGACTGACTTGAATGTGTTTGAACTTTATAAGTCATTCCAAATTTTTATCAACTCAACATTGGCCTTTACTGAACTGAATTTTAATGACTGAAATATTTTCTAGAAAATCATTATTTTAAGAATAATTTCAAATTTGTATGGCAATTTTATTAGTTAAGTATTTTCCCAATGAATAAATACTATGTAACATAGCGCAATTTTACTGTCAATGATTGAATAATTTCTATTACAATTCTGACCTTGTGACTTTAATGCGATTGTATCTACAGTAGATGCACAGAATTTGATTTTATGTTATATGACCTCTCTAACCAACAAACATTTTTATTGTTCAAACAAATTTATGTTGTTAGAAATCAAAAATATCCTTCAATATTTCATAGTACTTGAGTACATCTTAACTAAAATTTGTGTTTAAGTATTTTCGTAATATTTAACAACTTTTTGCGTATATTTTATAATAAAAAGATAATAATAATTTTTTATTGAAAAAAATTTTTTTTAGAAATTTATATTCTAATTTGTCAGTGTATACTAAAAGTTTCTTTATGACTTCATAAAATCAACAACAAAAAAAGACAATTTATATTTATAATGGTGTACATGTAAAACTAATATGGTTTTTACTATGAATTTTCTGTAATGTTGAAAAATGCTGCATAATGTAACGCTTATAGACATGTTGAAATTATATATAGAACCTGTAAAATCCAGTATTTACATAATTTAAATTATTATGATTTATCAGTATATTTCAATACAGTTTCGTAAACTGAACATTTGTAAGAATATTCTTATAGTTCTTGCTTGCTTTAAAAATTCGAAACAGAAAAATCAATTAATTGCTTCAAATTATTTAATGTACAGTTTTAATGTTGTACTAAATAACAGAACAACTACTTAAAATTTTCTATGATCAGCTGCAAATCGTTTTGTACCTTTTATGCTTCTTACGGGTGTAAATAAAATATTAAGTTTTCAAAAAAAAGCATTATTCTTTAATAATTTATTTGTGTAAAAACACTAGGAATTACAATTATTCTTGTCGTGAAAAATTGCTTATAAATTTTGGTATTAAAAAAGAATAAAACAAATTAAATTCTAGAAATTTTTTTCATATTTTCAAATTAAGTAAGTGTTTTAAGCAAGATTTAAGAAACTAAGGGATTATTAAACAATTTTCTTTGTTCCGATATTTGTACTTACCTACAGAATCTATTAGAAGATAAAAGCCAAATGAAGTAATGAAAAAAAATGCCTTTAGATTTGAGGTTGAATAGCTTTTAAGTTAATCAGACGATTAGTTATACGTTATATTTTTACAAAAAATAAAAGCTCAAACTCATAAATTTATTGTTTGGTTAGGACAGTTTAAAAGTTGCTAAAATTAAACATTTTATCATAAAATATTAAACTCGATAGAAATTTTTTCATTAAAACATAGATTGTTTTACATAAAAATCCTATTTGTCTATTTCATTGTTTGCATAATATTACAACTTTAAAGAAACAGAAATTAGTCAATGAAAATGTAACGGAAAATAAATTTTCAGATATATTACGCAAAAAATATGGCATTGTAGAAATTCTGCACTTGAATTCTCATTGAAATTCCAGAAGTTTGCCCCTACATTATTTTTACTTTTCATAACTCAATGCACATGCTCATGATTGTTTGATCATTTAAATCACTCATTTTCATATTCAAGTAAAATAATTGATAGCTATATAAATACCAACAGTGGTCTTCAAATGTTTTTGGCTTGTATTATTACTTCATTTTTATACAATTAGAAATGAAATAAAAGTTATGAAAAGTAATCTGGTTAGAGACTATTGCATACCATTATATATAATTAATAATTGAATAAATGATACTTATATAATCATCATATACATAAATCATACCTTTATAATTAATACAATAATTTTTTTTCTAAGCTTCATTTGCAAAAAAATACTGCTGTCTCATATTTGCTAATCATAAAAGTTACGAAATTTAAAAAATCATAGAGAAATCCTATATAATTATATATTTGCTTCAAAAAATATTTTAATCTTTTTTGAATCAAATACTGGTTCATCAGAAGAGTGTATATAGCACTGAAGCACATTTATATTTACTTTCAACACGTATGGGAAATTTTTAGATCAAAATAAACGTCACAAAATTTTAATCTTTTATTAAATACTTTGCTCCATAAGTGTTTTTGTAAATATATATGTCTTTTAACCAAGAATCATGTTATTGATTGTTATGCTTTATAGAAACAAGATTTTATTGTGAATCTTCTTATCGTATAGCCTAAATCAAAACTAGATGTTTGAATACGAATCATCTTAAAGTCTAACAATCATGTAGTGCATTAATGAAAACAGTAATGTAAATAAATCATTTATCTGCTACAAATTAGTTGATTATGAAGATGAACCAACTTAGAATATATTTACACTGTATTTACATGCAAAATAATATAGTAGAGCTTTTAAAATGTTTCAGAATTCAAATCAAGAGGCACAATCACATTATCGTTGTTAATAATCTTAAACAGTATTAAAAAATGTAAATCCCGTATATCTTTAAATATATATTCTATCTTTTAGATAATCATGATGTAAATACTTATTTTGGACGATAATATAAATACTTAAAAGTCTATAAAACTATTTGTATGTTGTAAATAGGAAAAATAATATAAATATGCCTGTTACTATTAAAGGTTACTCTTTGGAAACCTTTTCTTTATATTTATCTTTGTTTAATGAATGCTCTTAAAATCCGTTTATGGGTTTCTACGTTTTATTTTTCTAAATGAATCATTAAATACCATGAAATTCTACTGATACACTCAACTAAACATTGTATTTTAATAATAAAAAAATTTATTTTTAAATTTGGTGAACAGTAATATTATTTTATAACCTGTTTTCCAAAAATTAGTAAACGCCTTTAAAGATATTATTTTTCAATAAAGTTTGATTAACGTTTATTATGTGTTATATTTTTATTCTCATTACAACATCAAAAAAGTCGCTTTAGTGCAACGATTTGTCTTTAAACTTGTAATTTATTATCAATAATATTGTACATTTAACTTATATATTAAACATATAATGTATTTCAAAAGTAAATAACTGTGAATAACATAAACAAATGTGTATAAATTCTACCCTAATGGAAATATGTACAAACGTTTTAAGAGAAATATTCTTTTGAAAACGATATACATTTTATTAGTGCAGATTGAAATAAATCATTTCAGATTAACATTTATCTTAAGACAAAAACACCTATAGTCTGTAACTACAATCTAAAGCACTAAAATCTGTTATATATAATCTGTTACATTAATTTTAATTAAACTACTGTTTAATTCCTTATTTAATTGAACTGGCGTTTAATATTCAATTTAAAATTGAGTTGATTGAATAAGATATTGGTTGATTGAATCAATATGATAGTAAACCATTAATAATATATTTTCAAGAATTTCTCCTATAGCCAAACGTTGTAACATTATATGTATAGTTAATAAAACAATTTATCCAATAACACCACAAAGTATGTCAATCATCAAAAATTTAAGGCTTGATAATCCTGCAAAGAATAAAAATAAAAACTTTAATATTAAAATCAATTTAATGTTATCTGTCATTTAACAGTTCGTAACCAAATAGTTTCGTTCATAAAACTGCTGTTATTATTATGAATGTGTATGTGCTTTTACAATACTGTACTGAACTGTTTAAAAAATTATCATTGATCTATTTATGTACATAAATTGTTCGATGTGCAATATTTATGTAATAAATAAATTTCCTCAAACTTAATTTGTCTTCATGAGTGCTTGTAAATTTTCTAATTCTAGTTTTCACCTTAGCTGTGAATTTATTTGAATTACAGTGAGAAAAACCATGTAAATATGAGAGAGACAAGTGGAATTAAAAACCTGTGAGTTTTCTAATTCTAGTTTTCACCATGGTTGTGAATTTATTTGAATTACAGAGAGAAAAACCATGTAAATATGGGGGAACCGAGTGGAATTGAAAGCCTGTGAGTTTTCTAATTCTAGTTTTCACCTTGGTTGTGAATTTATTTGAATTACAGTGAGAAAAACCATGTAAATATGAGAGATACAAGTGGAATTTAAAACCTGTGAGTTTTCTAATTCTAGTTTACACCTTGGTTGTGAATTCATTTGAATTACAGCGAGGAAAACCATGTAAATATAGGAGAGACAAGTGGAATTGAAAACCTGTGAGTTTTCTAATTCTAGTTTACACCTTGGTTGTGAATTTATTTGAATTACAGCGAGAAAAACCATGTAAATATGGGGTAGACGAGTGGAATTGAAAGCCTGTGAGTTTTCTAATTCCAGTTTACACCTTGGTTGTGAATTTATTTCAATTACAGTGAGAAAAACCATGTAAATATGAGAGAGACGAGTGGTAATTTTTCCGTTTGTACAATAACGGTTTACCGAAAATTCTGGTTCTCAAAATAATGATTCTTATTACCACAGATTTTGTAAAAAAATACAAAGCAGAAATATAAATTTAACCGAATAAATAGTTTTTGTTCTATGCTCTAAGGGAAATTACCAAATTTTACCCATTTAAATAAGATTTTATTACATATTATTAAATTCTATTTTATAGTTAATTTTACCGAAATTATTTATAAAGCGCTTCGGTAAGAATTACCTGGCATTTCGGTGTCTCCATGAAGCGTGAAACATGGTAATCTTTTAGTTTTGACCATACTTTTTATCTCAGTGCAAGTATTCAATGCGTGACACCTATTTTATACTATAAACAATTATCTTTAATTTAGTTTATTACACACATTCAATAATTCCTAATACCGTGCAAAACAATGTGTCCTGTAGTGTTTTCTGCTTAGATGTGATCTCATCAATGACATGGCGTAAGGTTTGGGGATCATGAAGGCATTGTGATTAAGAGTAAATCACAGTTACCTAGAATAATTTTTATGAACTATAAATGCCGAAAACATATAACAAGGGCTTGTAGTGTATCTACCACTACAAACATATAGTTCCAAATCACTAGTATATAAGACATGTTAACTCGACTCTATGGTAGGGTACCATTTCATAGATGAAGGTTGACATTGTTTATAACTTCCCTCCCAACAAGTTAATTGCGTTTTTAACAGCATCAAGAATAATTGAATTTATTTAATTAAGAATTAGATGTTTTTCATATAACAATGAAGTTAGACTTTGAGCACATGGGGCTGGAAAAAAAACTTGGATCATTTTTCGTTAATTTTGTGTATTTCTTATTATAATATACTTATTGTTATATTTTTAAAAAATATAAATATTTAAAATCTAGTTATTCTTTTCTGTCATTCTTTTCTATTCTGTTTAACAATTAGATCATACAAGTTTAAGAAATTAAATACTATATATACTATATAATATGTACAATAATATATACTATATAATATAATATGTAATAAATAATATGTGATATATACTATATAATATATATGCTATATATAATATATATAATAATATATATACATAAATAATACATAATATATACTATATAATATATTCTAATTATAAACATAAGGAGAAAAGGTTTAAAAGATTAAGTAAATTAAAGATTAAGAAATATTAAGCTTAAGATGTTAAAGATTTTATTAAATAATAAGTTTATAAGGCATTTGATTTGTTGTGTAATATGTATGCATCGTTCCTTTTAAACCTCACGTGCATCAAGTTAGAAAAGAAATCAACATTCAAAAAATTAATCAGAATTTTTCCCTTACATAAAAGAAAGTCTTTATAAGTTTTAAATCATAATGCTAATCCTTTCAAAACTTGTTCATTCTCTTAAAAACTGTTCTAAAGAGCAGTTTTTTAGAATATTGAAGAGTTGCTATACAGATTCAAAATTCATTTAACAATGTCCTCACGGAACTTCTTTGCTTTTGAAAAATTAAAATAAAGTTCAAAAATCCTGCTATTGCCAATAGGTCTCATAAAACAAATGCCTATGAGTTCCATCCCAAAGCATAATAAAAATTCTAAGATTTATTTTTAAGACGCTAAACTCTGAAAATCTAAAAACATGTCATGATTGGCTGCAAGCATAAAATATTCATTTATCTAATTTTAAATGGTCTTTAAAATAACTAAATATCTTTTAAATATTTTCTTGATATTGCATGCTATCTACAAAGGGTTTTTTTTCCTAAATGTGTATAAATATCACCTAATAATCTCTTTTTATTCCCCATATTTCCGTTAATGATGGAAATAAATGAACAATGTATTTTTCAATCAAACCTAAAACAGTTCTCCTAAACTGTGTTCAAACATTGTTAATTTAGTTTTCTGTCGCTTTTAACAAGTAATTAATATCACGTAGATATTTAAGTTCATCAAACAAATCCATTTGTATTCCCCCCTGTGAATCATGCGAAATACTAGTGAGACGTTTGGAAGTTTTGAATGTAGAAATGTTAAAATTTATATTACTTTGCTCCGCATATCTATTTTGCTCATGTCAATACATAATAGCCTGAAATTAATAACGGTTATACATAAAAGTCCGTAATTCATAATAGTCTGTAATTATTAGGAAAAAATTGCTCAGAGTATTCAAATGATTCAACATAATTCAATTTTTTGTTTTTATTTATTTTTGAAGAAGACTTGACTTTAAATTTCATGCATAAAGTGGAAGGTATATTGTGAATCGATGACGAAAGGGACAAAAAAATTTTAAAAATTCCATTGAAAAAATAAATTTAAAAACTGCAAAATTAAAATTAATTTGATAACTAAGCTTTAAATAAAACAGAAATAAATCGATATGTTAAACCTACTGAACAAATAATAACTAAGCCACATTTTTTAAAATATGGCTTGTTATTGTAGACTCTACTAAAAATTGGTTCTAGGCTAAATCATAATACAGGACTAATTTTCTGTTATCTCAATAAGGTGATAAATTAAACCTTATTTCTACCCAGTTTTAACCATAATATAGTTCAACTTGCTCAATATAGCTCAAGTACGATAATATGGTTCAACATAGCGCAATATTAACCCTTTGACGCAAATGAGAAACCGATGTCACTTTTATGTATTTTTTTTCTGACGCTCAATAGGAATTATATTTGTACTGAAATATAAAATATAAAAGCATTAGTTTGGAAAAGGATATTTTTTTCATTCATGTCCAAAAATTTATCAATAATTGATTTTTTAAATGAAATAAATTTCAATGATGAATAACTGTTTTTCTTAGATCTTAAATAACTGTTAATAAATACAAATTTGAAAAATTACTGTACGGAAATGAGCAGTTCTTGGAACATTTTACCTTTAACCCAGAAAAAGATACCGGTGTGTCATGCTATATTTCAAAAACACAAATTATTAAAATGATAAGTATAATATTTTTAACTTCTTTTGACCCAACTTAATACAAAATGAAAAAGTAAGAAAAAAAATATTTTTAATAAAAATTTTACGTCAAAGGGTTAAGGTTTAGCCAATTTGATCCATAATTATATTGATAATTATAATTACAATTATATATATATAATATATAATTATAATTATTTGATCTATTATTATATTTATATCTACGAGCTCCAAAATTTCATACCGTGTATAACTGTTAAAATTATTTTCTAAACTATCCCAGAAAATGTGACTTTTCTCATAGTAAATTCTTGGCAAAATACGCTGCTAAAAATCCTTTTCACCTATTAATTAAAAATTACTGAAATGGAAACGATTTTAGTAGACTCGTAGCATTTGACCTTAAAGCATATCCATTTTGCTGGGTAGACTTTTCCCGAACTGCTCCTGAACCTATAAAGAGTTTTCTCTGACTAACACGTTTCCGGAGTGGGAAAAATGTTCTCGGTAGTCAGGAAAATACTTTTCCTATATTTCTTTTTTCCCCGTTCTGGGAACTGCAGAATGAAATGGGGGATGCTAGGCTTGCGCAGCTCCCGATTTTAGGGGTACTCTCGAAGAAATGATGGCGCGCATGCGCGTCCCTGCATCTTCCGCATCGGAATTTTATAACTATAAGGAGATAGCCCGGATGTAATGGGAAAAGGGAAAGTTATGGCTACCCATACAAGGTAAGTTCTTTTAGAAACGATTTATAATATCCAAGTTATTTATTATTCGTTAATCGGTACCACTATACTTTTAAAGTACCAATTATTTTTTGGATTATCCAATATTTTTTTTAACAAATATGTAACGAATTTTGAAAGACTGGGTAAAATCCCTTTATGCCTAACTAGGCTTCGGAAAAGTTTCTAAGCGCTCGTTCTATTTCTTGCTTAATTTTGCATCATTTTATTGATTAGGGAATTTAAATCATTTCTTCATTATTTTTTCGTTCTACAAAAGTGTATGCAGTTTATATTTTTGAAATCCATCAATTGCGTTATTTAAGTTCTGCTAAAAAACAATCTTTCAAAAATCTAATAAAGGTTTTGAAAAACTGCCGAAATATCGTGTAATTTAACATTGCAGTTAGAATAATTAAAAAGAGACACGTTTTACAGAAAATGCATTTTAAGTTTTATTACTTCAAGAAAGAGAATCTCATTATTGCTCAAATTAATATTTGAGAAAAAAATGCTTCTACGTTGCACGGAATAGGTAATAATAAAAATTTTATGTTTTTTTTCTAAAAAATCAAAGTATCTCTAGATTAAAAGGCATAAACTTTGGAAATTAAATCATCAAGTTTTCCTTACTTTAAATACATCTGATATTTATACATATGAAAGCATCTTTGGTTAAATTTGATGTAATTTTTTTTTTTTTGCTTTTACTCATCTTATAAACTTTTCATACACCAACAAGCAAATGATAAACGTACAAAAAATAATTAAGGACACATAAGAATTTTTCAATATTGACATGTACTGTAAAATATTCTAAATGAAATTACGGTTTTAAGTACCGAAATTCTTGGTGCGTCATCTGGAAAATTTATTTTGCAGTAAAATCGATTTCTACCGTAAAATATTATACCGTAGTTTTTTTAGTAATGTTTCTTTAATTAGATTTATTCAGTGATTTTACAGTAATTATGAGATTTTTTCCGTAACATGGTCCATTAAAAATAGATCTTACGGTGATAAGTACAGGCCTTTTGAGTACCGGCACTTTTACTGGAATTTCTTTTGATTTCCATAATATTTTCAATAAATAATAGAAATGGGGAGAAAAATAATTTTCCTATTAATTCTATCAAATTTTGTTTTTTATGTTGTTGCGATAAAGCTAAAACTAAATAATAAAGTATTACTAACTTGAATAAAGTAATACTTTTAACGTAATAATAAAGTAGCTCTCTAAAAGTAATACTTTTAAAATAATAAAGTAGTACTTTTTAATTTACGTCATTTCATTTCACTCATACGCGTCATTTCATTTCACCCACTCATATATAAAACGTCAAATATGAGTTATTTTACTCTCTATTTTGCTTTCTTTCCCTCTTATTTATGTTTTCACTTAATATAAAATTTATAAAAAATAGTTTAAAATTTAATTTTAAGGAAAAGTGTTAATTATATTTTTCTGATGAACAAGTAACGATATTTAAGAAATTTCTGAAATTAAAATCTAAACTTTAAATTTCTCATTCATTAGGAATATTTCTTAACGAATTAAAATATGAAATTTAAAAAATTTTTTTTGTTATACATCCTTTAAGCTATTTCTAAATTTTATTTTATAAAATCTTTTCTTAATTTCTTCTTAGTGTTTTTCTTTTTTTTTCATTTTTTTAATAATTGATATTAAAAAATAACTCGTATACAAAGATAAAAAAAAATGTTGTAAAATAAATACTTGAAATTATAATTACACTCTACTGCTGACAATTTTAAAAATCTTTGAAAATTGTATTTTATTTTGTATTTTATTATTTTTAAAACAAAATTCGTATATTGAAATAATTAAAGAGCCTAGAGTATTAAACATTTTCGTTTTCATGTCTCAGTGACTTTTGCGTAAATATATCAGAGTATTTGGCACTAAAACAATAAAATTTATTATCTTTTAAAAGAAATATGATCTATGAATATTATCATATTCATAGATCGTATTTCATAACTATGAATATACGTAATCATGATTGCATGTAATTATGATCCTGGAAGACAGGAGATCATGATCCACAAATATATTCATAGTTATGATCCAATACTCATGATTATATTCATTAAGCGTGATTACCTATATAGGTAATTATGTTTAATGAATATAAGTAATTATAGTTACAAGTAATTGTAAAGCAAGAATACAAATAATCATACATTAAGAAAGGTCAAAAATACCGAAATCTGTTAAAAAAAATTATAGTGTTTCATGTTCTACGGAAACACCGAAATAGTCCGTAATTTTTGCCGAAGTGCTTTGGTAATTATTTGGTAGCCACATACTTGGCTTTACAATTTTCAAAGAAATGTTTCATTTCACTTTAACGTTTATAAATAATAATATATATCTATTCTTTATTTAATTTTACTTTAATTCTTCATCAATTGACTAAATAATAAAGTTTCCTTTCTCACAAAAAATCAATTTTTGGCTTATAGTTTACAAATAAATTAGAGTTTTATTAAAAAATTTCAAAATATCTATATAGCTTTAATATGATTTAATATGAATTTAATAATTCATAAAATGGTCTTTTTCTTTTAAAAATAATACTAGTCTTTGTAGTATGCAAAATAATATGAGCTTTACTTAAACATCAATAAACAGAATTTTAATTTTATTATAGATAGATATAAAAACATTTTTTTGGCCTTGTAACAATTATTTTGCATTCTCTTAAAAAAAAGAAAACAACTTGACATATTGCATTTGAATCTTAAGTGACATTTTCAAAGGGTTTTTCAGCTGTTTATTCGATCTCGTATTCATATGTTTTTTTGTTGGCGACATTTTGATGCTAATTCTTTGAACTTCATGCCAATTTTTAGCATAAGTATTGAATTACAATTATTACTACAAAACCAAAGGTAAGAAAATTCTCTAGCGTTATTTCGCAGTCAACATAATGCTTTCTACTTGAGAGGCTATTTCATAAAAATTTGTAATTGTTCCTTTAAATGCTGTTGTGTATCTCATCCGAAGTTGTTTGAAAATAATTATGAATTTCTAATTTTTAATACATTAAAAAATTAGCACCTCAATATTTAATTTTTTTCAGGTTTTCAGTTTCAGTTTCTTAGTATGTGTAAAATTGCACATTTTATGATTTAATAATAATTATACTTGCACAGAGTGAAAAATAGGAAGCAGAATACCTTAATAACTTTGATATAATAGTTAAACTTTCGCAAAAATAAATCTGAATTATTAAAATACTTAACCTTAAACATGGTAATTAGTTTTGCATAGACAGTATTTAGTTAGTTTGTAAGAGCTATTAACTTATGGAAACTAATTTAATTTTATTTATAAGTATAACTTTATTTAATTACAAATAATAAAGTGAAAAAAAATACAGTGTAAAAATTTGGGATCGGTAAAAAGTGTTGGCACTCAGGTTGCCGGTACTTTTTACCTTAAAATCCATTTTTATCGGAACATGCGACGGGGCAAAAAATCTGATATATCGTAATAATTACAGCAATATCCCAGAATCACTCTTGTTACATAAATATTGCTGTAAAAATTACGAAATAATATTTTACGGTAAAAAGTATTTTGACTTTATCTCATATATCTACAGGATTAAATAGTTCCTTTTTGAAAGTTGGACGTCTGCCAAAAAACTTTTCCCTTTGAGGTTTAATTTATGATTGCACGTAATTGAGGTTCATTTTAAAGGGAGTTATGTCAGATATGACGTCATACATCGATTTAGAGTTAGTTGTATTAGCTATAAAATATGATTTACCACTGGATAACTATATTAATAGAGTTTTAATAAATTTAAAATAGTTAAATTAAGTTAGAATATAATTTATTTTCTTGAAGTTTTTCCTGTAAAAATAAAGTTAGTAAAGCCCCATATACATCACTATGTTTATTGAGAGACTCTACCAGAAAGTTCACTATTTTGTCGTTCTCTACTTTACTTAATTAAAGTAAAAAATTCTAATTTCATTTTACAAAAAGAAAAAAAAGCATAAAATTTTTTATTTACACAAACTTTGTTCTAAAATATCATCATAGCGACCAACGATACAAATTCTAGCTCACCACTTACACATACTTAAATAACAAATAAATAGAACCTACTGATTTTAAAACAGTTGGCAATGTTATTCGTTACAATAGAATTATTCAATGATTAACCAATTACAAGGAATTTTATTAAACACAGAATTTTAAAATGTAAATGAAGTAAACTACAAGTTTAATATTACTTCATTTTAACTGATGCAAAAATATAACCAAAGAAATATTAAATATTGTAGTTCAAAAAGAAATAGAACGAGAACTCTAAATATAAAGCTCTTTGTTGACATTTCGCAACTATAATCAATCAATTGTAAAAAATACTCAAAACATTATGCAAGTCTTGTGAAAAACCTTTTAAACATTTTTGCTCTAAAACGAAATTGAATAACAGAACTGTACATTGTAGAGCTAGAATAAGCAATAGAATGCTTTTTTCCTTTTGGTCATGAAAATTTTAAATTTAAAATTATTTAAAAAAAATTATTATCAATTTATAAACAAACAATTTTGTATCAAACAATATTTTATTATTTAAATGAGATGAAATATCTCAATACAATTTAGAACTATTGTTTTTTAAAATTTAGTTTTTGTCCTATTATTAATTCTTAGTATTTTGTTGTTAATTAAAAATCAGTTTTTCATGCTACACCAAAGCATTATTTAATTCTTAAATAGTTACTGTATTGAAATAACTGAATTTCACATCTTTCAATGTTTCTTCTGAGATTGTTTACTATGTTATTGTTAGATTTGTTATTAGATAATCTGAATGTTATCTAAATAGTTTTTTTTTACATTTTTCTTCCATTTTATTTCATTTTTGATATGAATAAAAGGTATATTTAAATTTATATTGATATAGTTTCAGAAAAAAGTAATGAATTCAAACTTTTAAATTGTTTTATTTTTTTTAATTTTTAAGTATTGAAAATGATTTCCTTCTGTTATAAAACAACAACAAAATTATTTTATACATTACTTAGTTAATTTTCACTTTTTGTTTTTACAAAAAAGGACTATACAATAGTAGAAAGAAAATTTTAAAAAGCTACTTAGCTACTTCACGTTCAAATTTTATATAATTCTAAGTCTAGGAAAACAATTTCAGACAAAAAAGTGAAATATTAGATTAGTAGGTTAATTAGATTGGTAATATATTAGGTTAAGTTAGGCCAGCTTCTTTCTAAAATTGTTTATTCTTACAGATTAATTCGTACTCATAACTTACTATTTTCATTTATTGTTCTAAAATTTCATTCAAAATCATCCACGTTTCAATTTACTTCAAAGCAAATTTAATATTTTTTTTAAATTTCTTAAATAACTTTTCCTTTTTTAAATAACAACATTTTGTATTGTATATTTGCGTCTCTTTTATACATATATTTTCGATAGGCAACAAATTAGATTTATCAGTAAATATTTCTTATGTGATCAAATTTATGTGTAATAAATAAGGAATTCAAAATAATTATCCCTTTTTTAACTTGACTCCAGTTTAATTTTAATTGTTTACAGAACGATCAATTTTTATAAAATTGTGAAAAATCTCTAACATCAGCAATCTGTAAACACTTTTTGTATACAGTCCTGCTTTGTAATATGATTTCCTTAATCTAAAATTACCGTAGAATTGTGTTCGTTTTAGCAAGGTAAACATGGGAAAATAAGATCTTGTTTTAGTTGAACAAAGCACAGAAACATGTCTTGCAGAAAATTTTATAGTTTAAAAATAATAAAACAAATTTCTCGTCAACTCCGTTAAGAAGTATTTTCAGATTGGTTAATTTTTAAAATGAAAAATGCCGTAAATGGTCCATTTTAATTATAAAATATTTTGTAAAGGGTTCGTTGATGAAACTAAATTTATTGATGGGTACATGATGGGTAAAAAAGCCAACTTTTATAACTTACAATTTTTAAAATAAAAATTTGGATCTACGTTTCAAAAACTGTCCATAACACAATTTCTGCTTAAAGTTTTAATTATATTTAATAATAAAGTTCTAGTTTTTTCGCATATATTTTATTTTTCAGTGGTAATTTTTATTACATTAATTCACTTTTGAAAATAATAAAACAATTTCATTTGACCTTTTCAGATTTCACAAAAGAACATCTCCAAAAATAGTTCATAAATCCTACAAGACTACAAATGAATCAACAACTTATGCTTGAACCTTCTTTCACTTTAGCCTGCAATTTACCTGAATATTTTTTGTGCCAAAAGATAAATTTGGTGAAAAATTTTATTAATTCAGATACAAATATTAAAATATTAACTTTTCGCTGATTATAGTTGATTTCAGTAAAATATTTTTTAAATATTTTTAAACAAAGTATTTGTTTACTAAGAAAGCGCAAAAAGAAGAATGCCACTAAAATTCAAATATCATTTTGAAGAAGTATAAACAAAACTTAATGAAGTGGGAAATAATCTAAACACTCTTCTACATGTGTCTTACATATTAAGAATCATAAACGTACATTGATGTATATAAAAATCACACCTGTCTTCCAAGAAATCAATAAATTTATCAGTATTTTGCTGAAAGATTTATTTTTCATCGATGCCACAGTTTTGACTTCTGACTATCACTTTTCATCTTATTATATTATTAACAGCAAATAAGTCAACAGGCTTACAAAGAATGATCAATGAATGATCATTAATATCCTCTTTCAAAGAGTAACGAAATTAAAATTGTCTTCCACGTTTGAAATGATACATTATTCAACGTCTTCCATTTACAAATTGTAATAGCAAACGAGAAAAAAAGTGTTTTTGATCTAACACAAGTAACAACGTTAGGAAACTTTTTCCATGGTTATACTGAAATTCAAGAAAAATTTAAAACTTGGCGATAAGAAAGCCAAATGTTCAAAAAAGTATCGCTCGTTTTACCGTTTGATGCTAATTAGTGGAGGTGTGTTAATGTTTGTATACATACTTCTTGTACTTAAATGGCAATTAAATAGATAGTGATATATTTCAAATTCTTCCAATAAAATATGTTTAATATTTTTGATAATATAAACATAATAAAAAACTAGGATTATCAATACAAGCGACAAGCATCTAATCAACCAAAATGGCACACCACATCTTTAGCGCGTGGCAAACCGTCCGATCCTATTTACCAGGATCGTGTGGAGATAAAACTGAACTAGATCACTTTGCCAAACATGGCCACAGCAAGGCAGATACAGAAATGTCATCTTTCCGACATACAGATGAATCTGATGAACCGAAGCATAGAATTGCTGGAACAGAAGATTATGATAACATCGATGGGGAAGTACACATGGCTGGGGAGTTTGAGGGTGAATTCGGCGGAAAAGGATGCAAAATCGATGAATGGCAAGCAGGCTGGAATGTTACTAATGCTATACAGGTAAGTGATTTTAGTTACTATTTGTAAGAGAAAATTTTAAAACATTTTATATTAGAATCTTTGGGGCAACTATACACATTAAGCGCACTAAAAAACAAGTTACAAGTTGAAATACAATGTTCTATAAAGCTAATAGATTGTAATATGTGATTGAATGGTTAATATTTAAAATGTTCATTTTCTCTTTTGCATACAGTATACTGTAACAGTCTAGTTTTTTGCACATATTTTACCTGCGGCTTATATGCAGTTAATCCAGCTATATAAATGGGGACTCATTACATTATTATGTTATAAGTTGAAATAAAATGTTCAATACAGCTAATGAGTTAATTAGTTAACATGTGATTGGATAATTATAGGATGGTCATTTCCTCTCCTGCAAAATTTATAATCTTTCATCCATAGCTTATATACAGTTAATCTAGCTATAAATCTGAACTTATTTCTTTTTTGAGATAAAATAAAAATAAATTAAAAATAAAAAGATGAAGTACTCAAAAGAAGAAGTCGAAAATATCTTATTTTTTATTACCGTCGTTAAACAGTCGACCAAATTTTAGGTTTACGATTAGGTTTACTAAATTTTAGGTTAGGTTTCAGGTATGTTCAACTCCGTAGCCTTGTAATTTTGAGCCAATCCGGAAGACAAGGAAACTCTTGGATCAGTACCCCCAGAGGTCTGATTTGTTATGGGAGCTTAGAGGATTTTGTGTCTCGGCAGATTTAACGTGCATCAGTCACCATTTACTACATGGGGAGTCTTCGGCTGGCGAGGATCGAACTCACGACAACTTGAACATGAATCCAGTGCCCTACCAACCAAGCTATCCCGGCCCCAAATTTAGTTGAAATGATTCAAAAGATAAAACACTCGACTCCTGGTTTGAATCCCAGCAATAGTTACGATTAGATACTGCTCTCTACTCATACAAATTACAATGCCGACGTAAAATATCCACAAGACATCACGTGACAGAATTTCCTTGTCGTCAGGCTTTGACATTTATGTAAAGAAGAGCATAGATATATTTTTTTTTGTATTCCATAAGGTTACATATAAAAACTTTGGAACCCTCCTATATCGCTTGAGACCATTTTCTTTCATAGTAGTCGCTTTATTCTAAAGTGGTACCTTTTTTTATTTTTTCAAAGTAGTCGTTTACTTGATATAGAAAGAAAACAACACTATTCACTGCTTTTTAAAGCTTATAAATTATTATAATTTTTTTCCGATTTTACCAAATAATAAGTAATTCTATTCCTTAGTCATTTTAATAGAGACTTATACAACTTGAAACTAAAACTAGAGCTGGTTGTTTCATGTCAATTTCGGGTTATTATAGAATCACATCATTGCAAGCTATGCATGTAAAAATATTTTATAAAGTCACTATTTAGATACCATCTTAGGATTAAAACAAAAGATCTCTTAAAGCAAAATGTAAAACTAATTAAAAATATTTTTTAAATCTTTCCCAAAAGATCCCAGTCTGAAAATAATTCTCAAAGACTATTAAGATTCCAAAAAGAGTTAAGTGGTAACTTACATTTAAAAACCGTTTGCTGTTTTTATTGAGCAAATTTAAAAAGATGGTACTTAAAATGTTTCTTCAAAAAAATAGAAAAAAGTAGATATGATTTATCTCTTAAGCACTTTTTTAATTGCATAATTATGCTCGTAATTTATTTTCGCTACAGAGGATAATAGGACAAACTTGATTGATTAAAGAAAACATTGTTCTTGCCTTTTAACAATAGATTTTGAAGTATTTTTCTTCTCTTAACCATCAAAAAGCTATTTATTTTGTTTAACTAAAACTCCTTATCAATTGTATGGTTACAATTTTAAATGTGAGAACAGCATTATGGACAAAATTAAGCACAAAAATTAAGTTTCCAATTATTTATTAAAGTAATTGGTTAATTTTCTATGGTTATTATTCTTTAAGGTTATTATTCTACCTGCTTGTTTAGTAATTAAAGTTGGCTTGTGTGTAATTTTCTCACATTTTTGCAATCATGCTATTGGTTGAAAAAATTAGTCAAAAAACTCCCTTGGCTCACAACATGATCTTGAGTTTATGTTTTCACTTTCAAGCACTGCGAAAAGTGAAATGTAAAAGATCTAGAAAATAAATGACTATCAGTTAAATTAGACTAAAATTATATATTTCCTCTAGAAATTACTTTTTAAATAACGATTAAACCTTTTTTACTAAGCTCTTCATACTGGTTTTTTTTAAATAATGACCAATCAAATAACGCCAGTAGGTACTTTCAAAATGCATTTGTTACCATACAAGTACGAAGCACCTGGTATAATGTTGCCAAAAGCGAAAAATCCTTCCACAAACAGGCACGTTTAAAAGATAGACCACTGGCCGGAGTATGTCACTTAACACCAATATTTTAATAGCATTGCTAATGCAACTTGTTTCAAAGTTACCTAAACCAAACCATTCATATCTCAAGCTAAAAGAAATAATGTACATCGAATTTTTTTATTTTATTACTATTTTGTTTATACTTTGTAGCATAACTGAATTGTTTAAATTTTCTAGGGGATGTTTATTGTATGCCTGCCCTATTCCGTTCTTTATGGAGGATACTGGGCCATCTTTTCTTTAGTCTTCGTTGCTTACATATGTTGCCATACAGGTAAAATTCTAGTTGCATGCCTATATGAATTAAACGATAAAGGAGAATTCGAAAGAGTTCGAGACAGTTATGTAGACATTGCAGTTACTTGCCTTGGCGAGAAATATGGAGGTAAAATGGTTAATATAGCTCAAATAATTGAGTTGCTTATGACATGCATTCTATATGTCGTACTCTGCGGAGATTTGATGATTGGATCATTTCCTGAAGGTCCCATTGACCAAAGATCATGGATGATGATATCCACTATGTTTCTCTTACCGTGTGCATTTTTGAAAAAGCTGACAGCCGTTTCTCAATTAAGCTTTTGGTGCACCATGGCACACGCTTTAATTAATGTAATCATTCTTGGATTCTGTCTAATTAAGGCTCCAGAATGGCAATGGTCTAAAGTAACGTTCTCCATAGATACAGCCATGTTCCCCGTTACAATTGGAATTGTCGTTTTCAGCTATACCTCACAGATTTTCTTACCAAGCTTAGAAGGAAACATGAAAGACCGATCGAAATTCCACTGCATGTTAGATTGGAGTCACATTGCTGCTGCAGCCTTTAAAGGTGGTTTTGCTTGGTTGGCTTTTCTCACCTTTGGCGAAGAAACACAAGAAGTCATTACTAATAACCTTCCAACAAAAGGTTTCAAAATACTTATCAACGTGATTTTAGTAGTAAAAGCTCTTCTGTCATACCCACTTCCATACTTTGCTGTTTCTAATCTTCTAGAAGCAGCTCTGTTCCAAGGTCAACCAAAAACAAAATTCCCATCATGCTTAGCTCAAGATGGCGAGCTACGTATATGGGCGGTTGCTTTAAGAGTGTTTTTGGTAATCTTTACTATGCTGATGGCCATCACAATACCACATTTTGCTATACTAATGGGACTTATCGGTAGTTTTACAGGCACAATGTTGTCCTTTGTTTGGCCTTGCTACTTTCACATGAAATTGAAACGTAATGATATGACCAGATTTGACGTTGCTTGGGAAGCTTTCATAATAGCTCTCGGTGTCATATGTGGAGTCAATGGTATTTATTCTTCAGCTAAAGCACTTGTTGCTGCTTATCATATTCCTTTACCATATCCTAATGTAAGACCAACTTGAAGTTAATTGATCAAATTGATTCCTTAGGTGTGTATAGGTTTTAATGAATGTTTAGAAGACTTTAAATAAGTTATATTTATAAGAGCAGTTGACGATCTTTTGAACAGAAAGCACAACTTCGGGGATTCATTTTTCGATTATGTTGACGGTTTAATAAAAAAATGAGCAAAATTGAGTTCGCGAATTCAGAACTATAAATTACAGCGATGTTGTTTTGGAGTGGTGCTATAATTCTTCTAATGCCAAGTGTGATATGTGTCTTCCATTACATTCTAGACTATTCAACACTTCCTATTTCACTGCAGAAACAAGTTCTTTCTATCCAAGTTTATAGTAATATGTTGTTCTACGAAAGTTTATTTAGTTCAAAACAATCAGTTGTTGCGTTGAATTCAGTACTGAAACTGTTTCGAAATTATGAAACGCAAATTAAGAACTGTATTAAAAACTAACAATGCCACAATTAAATTTTACTTGAAAGGAGAAAAGTTCATAATTCCATTCGAAAAAATTCCCGAGAAACCCCCATTTATTATTTTAAAAAAAGCTGTTAGTCAAACATTTGTTAAAAATTTCGCTCTTTTTAATGGGAAAATGTAAAGTCTGGGAAGATGTAAACATAAGTCTGGGAAGAACATTAGCTTCAAAATATGCAATGATTTAAAACTTAAATTTGTTTTAGAATTTTGAAATTATTTTGTTTTCTCAATAATTTTAATTACTTGAAAGATAATATTAAAAAGTATAAATTGATGTGATACTTTCAAAGCACACTCATGAATTCTCATGATTAATATTTCGAAATTCGAATCTTCTATTATATTATAAAATAGAATATTGTAACTACAATACTCACAGATGAAAAAATAACTGTCACGATAAAGATTAATTTTGAAACTATATCCATGTTCTTCCAAGTATGAGGAAAAGTAAAAATTATGCCTCTGCTTATATAAGTGTTCAACTGTTCAGTCTATTCTCCTATTGTTATTACTCAAGTGATGAGAAAAATTTTACAAAAAAAAACTGTGCCACTGGCTAGAATAACTATGCAATTTACAATAATAAATTAAATTTTTATAGCAAGTCTTCCGATATGTGCTGATTGAATTATTAATTAATTAATTATAAAATTATGTTTTCAAACTTTGAAAATATTTCTATGAGATACAGAATGTCGTAGTAAAGGATCATACTATACACCACAGGTGAATTTCTTAACTCTCAAAATAATCATCCAAATCTGTGATTTGACAGTTTTCAAATTGTAATTGTCTTCCAGCTGATTGTGTAATTATTGAATTGTGTAATCGTACAGTTTCCAAATTTTCAAAATCTTCCAAGTGATCGAAAAGTGCGATTTGAAAGTTTCTAATTTTTGTAATCCTTCCAACCAATCAAATTGTATGATTCTTCAGTTTCCAAATTGTGAAAGTCTTCTATATGATCGAATTGTGTGAATTGACAGTTTTCAAATTGTTAAAGTCTTCCAACTATTCGAATCGTATCACTTGACTATTTCCAAATTGTAAAAGTCTTCCAACTGATACAATTGTGTGATTTGACAGTCTTCCTAATTATGACAGTGTTTCAATTCATCAAACTGTGTTGTGATTTATCAGTCTTCCAAACATGTTTCGAATTATTAATTTATTACTATTTTATTTTTTACAAATTTTTTATAAGCATAGTATTAGCTTAACCAAAATGGATGGTTAGCTAAAAAATGTATCATAATGTAATTCAAAATTAGAAAGAGAAATAGTTTCAAATTCGCCTATTATCAACCATTTATGCTTATATTAGGCTACGTTTACTATTTTTATTTAGTTCTTGTAGTGTATGCTCTTATTAAATTTGTGTCTAGACAATTTAAATACCTATCTCATTATGTGAAAAAAAACAATGGTCACATGTTTGTTACGTGACATTGACTGTGATGTAAAAATATGTTTTATTTCTCAGTTATTTTAATTGTTTTCGAACACTACATTTATTTTTACCTAAACTTCTAGATTAATTACGGTTTTTAGTAAACATAGACTCATAAAAAAGGGAATTATTAAAAAAAATCAGATTTTTTGCATTTTTATGTCTAATACCAAATAAGAAAAAAAGAACTTGTAACATTCAAGCTTATCATATTCTATGCCAATAGTTAGCTTATTTTTCATTTCAGCATTCCATATTATCAAGTCTAAAAATTTAAAAAAAATATTACATTAAAAATATTTTCGCCTTTATAATTATTCTTTAAAATGCATTTAATATGATTGCATTGATAGTGACAAAAAGATTGTCTTATTGAAAAGTTAAATATTTTAGAGTCAAACTCGCTTTTACGTCGAAGTGATTGCCTCTCGTTTCAGGTATATTGAGATTTTTTGTATTATATTATATATTAATATTATTTTCTTACATGTACTAAAATTAAAACTGAAGCAAAGTTACATTGCAAGAAATGAATTTCGCTTGAAATGTTTTAATCAATTTAAATAAATCAATAATGCATAATTTCTTAATCGTAAAATTTATATAGAGCAATAAATATAGCAGAAAAGGCCTTCATTGATTTTAGAACTGAGTTCAATTTCACATAGTATTTTATTTTTAAAAAAAACATTAAACTTAATTTTCTTCTAAAATCTATTTTCGTACGCTTATTTCTACCATCAGATTAAAAACCAAATATATTTGGAAACTATAAATATTGTAAATAATGTGTATCTAGTATATTAAAAACAGTTTGCCTCATATATGTATATTAAAAACAGTCATTTTGGAAGCTAGTATGTGTGAAATTATTATAGAAATAGTGATCTTTAATTCTGTTTAAAAACAATAACAAAAATATTGAATTTTGCTGCCTAGTATAACTGATGAAAATTCTTTTATCACCAAAATATATTCCTGAATTATTTCGCAAAAAAAGAATATTACGTTGCTTTTATATAAATCTAAAAAAAGTGCAATAAATATTATACACATGTTTTTCAACAAGAATTTAAAGCACAGAACTATAATTTTCTGTAATGTTTGTTATAAAGTACATTCGCAAAAAATTAGTTCAATGTTAATTTATTATATCGGTATATTAAACCATTTTATCTCGAAAATATGCTGCAATCATAATTAAGTTGTATGATAAATCATATTTCTATGATATACTTCCATTTTAGAAGGCCGTACAAAATGACTAACCTATTTTTGTGACAGTAATGCTTTACTAATCTTTGTAATAACTAATACGATGCTGATGGATTATAGATACTGGGGGATAACAGATACATGATAATTTAGGTACGACTACAATAGGTTTTTACGGCCTCCGAAAACGGAATATTCCCAATCCAAGTTTAAACTTTCATAATTTAAATTTTGATCTTTTCGAATGCATATTATTTTTGTTTAAAGAACTGAAAAAACTTCAACGTGCATCCAATTTCTTTCTGCATATTTTATTTATATTACTTTTATTTAAAATTCTAAATTAATTTCAATAACTTCAACGTTTTTTGTGTTCCCTAAAGAATAACTTCAACTTTTTTTGTAGAGTGTAATTAGAACCAACAATGACAATATTTGTATAATGTTTTGTATACGTATATTGGTTCTGTTTAAAAAAAAACACAACAATTTTGTGAAATTGTGATCAGAACCAACAATGCTGATATCTGTATAATGTTTTGTTTAGATTTGTATTTGATTTTATTTAAAGAATTGAATTTTTATTTATTGAATTAAAAAAATGAACTTCAGTTGTTATAATTGTGATCAGATTCAACAATGAAAATATCTGTAATTGCTTTGTATTTGCTTATTTTTTGCGATTACAAAAATAATAACTAAAATAAATAATAAAACTAAAATAACTTCAACGTTTTTTGAGGATTGTAATTAGAACCAGCAATCAATGACAATATCTGTATAATAATGTTTTGTATAGGTATGTTGTTTTTGTTCAAAAAAATTAAATAACAATAATTTTTAAATTGTGATCAGAACCAACAATGATGATATTTATAGAATATTTTTTTTAAATTTGTATTAGATATTTTATTTGTAAAAAAAACTAAAATAACTCCAATTGTTATGGTTTTGATCAGACATAACAAGGAGAATATTTATACATTGTTTTGTAAATGCATAAGGTTTGGTAAATTGACTAATATAATAACTTAAATACTACAAATTTTTATGATTGTGGTCAGAACAAACAATGAAAATATCTGTATTCCACTAAAAAAGTATCGTAGTTTTAGATCCAGTGTTTAACGTGTACTTGGCAATACTCGTATTTATATAGTATTGATGTTTGAAATTTGATGAAATGTTCTATGAATTAATTCGCGGGTTAAATAAAATCGTTTTATTGAATTGTTTTTTATTGTGGTAGCATTAGAAATGTATTAATAAATTGTTTTTCTTTCAGTGTAAAAACTGTTATTTGTTAAAAAGATTTAACTCTTTTTGTGGAATGTTTTTATACATCTTATATTGTGAAAGTGTTGTGTTTTTTCATTCAGAGTTTGAACAATATTTCGGAAAACTTGTTAATTAATGTTTTAGCAGTTTCAAGTTAGCATATTTCATGTTTTTTATAATAACGAAAAGCAAGTTAATGTAAATGCAAGTTGTGGAATGTTTTAATACTTCTTAAATATTGAAAATCGTTTCTTTCTCTGTTTACAGTTCAAGAAATGTTTCAGACAACCTTGCTGATTATTGTTTTAACGCAAAATTAAATTTATATATTTTTCAGTTTTAAAAATGTTAAAAGTGAAATCATGTTAAAACTTAGAATCAAAATATAGTTAAATATTGAGATACTATTTCTATGATTGTTTTTGAAAATTAGCAGCCAAACTGAGTTTCCATAGTATTGCATAACTATTATTGCTTGCTAAATAAGTCAATTAAAATAAAAAAATTTATTAAATACAATGTATTTTCAAAATTATAGATTTCTTTATCAAGAATAATTATCTAAACTAAAAACATCAAAATTTTAAAAACGAGAATATTCAACAATTTATATATGCTTGGTTGAAAAATACAAAATTTGACCAAAACAGCATAAAACATAACGTATCATCATCTTTAAAAACGTAAATGAAAAATCTAAAATAAAGAATCTAAAATCAATATTTTCAATTAAGCAGCTCTTTTGAATTGTATTTTATTATGATTGATGGAATGATATATATGATTATTATATTGATAAAAATTCAAATGTTGCAGTAAGCAACATATATTAATAGTTTTTTTAGTATGATAAATGAGATTATTATAATATTTGTTTGTTAGTTTAAATTCTACACTAAGCTAGTCTTTTGAATAATATTTTTCTTATGACAATTTAATGGATACATACGATTATGATATTAATCGAAATTGGAATTCAAATCCTGAACTTGGCCATCGATAAGAATCGTATTATTAATATAGTAAATGAAATGATCTAACGTATGATTATAACAACGATCAAAATACAAATTCCGAATTGAGAAACTTCTACTGATAAATGTTTGCATTGTAATAAATGTATGATACATATGATTACTATAATGAAATGTATGATTTTAATTTTGATAATGAAATATGATGTAAATTTTGATAATGAAATATGATGTAAATCAGAACATTTATAAATGTAAATTATGATTATATCAATTGAGTTTATTTAGATATTATTTATAATAAGATTCAATCGTGATCATGATTACTAGAAAAAAAATTTGATAATTTTGAATTATTATTAATATAAATTATTGTAATTCTTATATATTTTACAATGATAATGATATTGTTATTAAGTTTTTGAAAATTAGTGATACGGATGCTCTAATTGTAAATTAATAAATAATAATAAAACTTTTTTTAAAAAAAAAACATTTTCACCGTAAAATATTCTAAAACAACTTATAACATGAAGGATATAAATACTTTAGAATGTCTATGAAATATTAAAATGAGCATGTGATAAAGTCATGTCTTCCGCACTCAACAAAACCTATTTTATATCATATTTTTATACTTTAAAATTATTTATAAACTCTTACGCCACTTTAAAAAGTAGTTGGGCTTCCATAGTTAATAAATTTCAATAAATGATTTAATAAACGTTCATTAACTACTATTTAAATCATTACTTACCTAACTATTACAAAAACTAACAACCAAAAATTATTTTCATAGAACATTAAATTTTTTTTATGTTAAAACTTTTAAAAAATAAAATAAGTGAATTTAATATAAAAATTTCTGATAAAAATATTAAACATAAATGTTAGTTTTATTTATTCATTAAAAAGTAAAATGTAATCTTTAAAAAAGAGCCACTAAAGTTTGTTAATAAAAATGTTTAAAAAACTAGAACTTAATTAAAAAAATTAAAATTGACTTTGACTTTAAAGAGAATTAGCTAAAAATATTAAGCAATCGTAATGCTAGTTTTATTTATTCATTATGTTATTACAAAATAGGGTTTCTGCAGTTCTTGTAACTGACTTGTATTCCACTATTTTTGCAATAACTGTACAATGTCTTACAATCTATCGCTATAGCACTTAAAGAAGTTATTTTATTTTGCAATACATGTGCTTTAAATAACCTTTAGAAATCAATACAATAATTGCATATCCACTGAAATGCATATTTGACAAATTCACTGTCAATAATTGCGAAATAATTGGAATTACAAACAATGTATTAATTATAATAACTTAGAATTATGCTTTACAAGAATTGTGAAAGCATTTAATAATACCAATTTTATAGATGCCAATATCTGAATTAGTTAGATATGTGTGTGTGATAAAATTTTCAGTTTGAATGCGAATTCAAATAAATAGTATAATTATTGAATATTGTAAAGAATTTATTCCATTTCGCATACATATTCACAATGTTTTTTTAATGCACTTATTTTTATTTCGTATAGGGGAAATCGGAGCTTGTTGTCACTTACTAAAATTGTCCCAAACCTCGTCTAACCTTTCATAAAAGTTGCGTTAGATCAAAAAATATTGCTTTTTATGATTATTTACACAAATCTTTGCTTAAAATTTTGCTAACAACATTCGAAAAACAACAAATTTGATACTCCGTTTGCCCTCAATTGTTCGAATTTTTTTTAATCATAAAATGCAAAGGAATCAAATTGATGATATCATATTTTGATCAGATAGTTCCTTAAAGTATGCCGTTTTTTTTCATGTAGTTATCTGTTTTTATCATTGTCGTTACCTATTATTACGCCAATTGAAAAATCTTTCATCAGTTTGTAGTTGTTGAACAATTCATCATTAATAAGGTATTTTTTCGTGTTACTAATTTTAATATGCTGAAAATATGTTATTAATTTAGTATTAATAGCATTTTTGCAGCAACCATTTCAAGTTTCGTGAAGAAATTTAATCAATCTGATTCAATTGGGTACCAGCAAGTGACGTCACGCTTGTGTTGAATCCGATTGGCCACTGAATCGTGTCATTCACTTATGACATGATTCAGCAGTCAATCAGGTTCGACACCCAAACTTACACTTACAGGTTCTCTATTAAATCTGATCCGAAAATGGATTCGGCGTGATAATAAACAAAGCATAATAGCTGTAACGTTGACAAGTCATCTTGTTTATACATAATCATCTGATTTCCTCGGTCTTCTTTTTCTCGAGTTTCAGGTATCTATTTGTAACTAGAAAAATACTCGGTGAAAAACATATTGTTCAAACACATCAAATATTGCGTTAAAATGAACTTCGAGTTGTTACTGCTGTTGAGATATGACATACGCTCTATGTCATATTTCCACTAATATTGAAAAAGACGATTTTAAAAAATGTGTGGAACAAAACCCTTTGTATTCATTTGGGTCTTTTATTTCCCAACCCAAACTTCCATAGATGCTACTTGGAACAATCATTAACCATCTACTTTTAAAGTGAATGGTCAGAATGACTCCTGAATTTTCGCAACTACCAAAACAAAAGTTGTGCCAAATAATTTGAAAGTTTGCCAAATTATAAACGTACACAAGAAAAAACTTTCAACCAGTATAATGTATTTTATTAAAACAGTTCCTAAGTACCTAAAATGCCGATTAAAAACCTATGAGTGACAACAAGACCCGTCCTCCCCAACCACATACGTCATATTTTCAAGAAAATATCATAATGTGAACTCGTATTTCAGTTCAATAGCTAAATCATTGTTTTATACTTACTCTGATATGCACTCCACTATTGATTATATTGCATAATAATTGATTTTATAAGTATGTGTACAATAAACATTCTTAACAACTTTTCCGCAATATGCTTTTGTGTAGATTAAAAAAATGTTAACATTAAGCGAATCACTTTTTCAATCATCAAAATAAAGACTACAATATAATAGGTGTTTAATGTATTTCTTTTTGTGAAATAAGATACATTTCAAGGGCTTGGTGCTGTATAATGATAAGCCACATTTTCTAAATGCTCGAGACAGAGTTTTTAGTAAAGTTTTTGGTTAAGAAGTACCAAGATTTCCAGGAAGACTATAACATGTTTCTTAATATTAGGCTTTCATCTACACGGAGAAACAAATTCTGATAAAATTATCGTATTGTATGCATTGTAAAAAATTTAGGATCCAATTACGGTAAAAAGTATCAGCACTTAGGGTGTAGGGACTTTTTACGGTAAAATCCATTTATACTGGAACATGTTATGGAACCAAAATTTAATACAACGTAATTCTTACAATAATAATAACCCTTCAATAAATCACTGAATCCCTTTAATTGAATAAATATTTCTGTTATAATTATGGTATAATATTTTAGATAAAAGGAATTTTACTGACGATAAATTCAAAGTGCTGGTATTTTATACCGGAATTTGTTCCGGATTTTTTTACAGTGTAATGCCAGAAACACGGTAAATTTTACCATATTCTGCTAATTGTGACTATATTTTTTGTAAGTGGAGGAAAAATGCCTGACAATTACGAAATATCTATCTGGAAACAATACTGGTAAAAATATATTTGATGTAAAATTATTACCTTTGGAGAAAATTTGGTTGATACTATACTGCACTAAACATTTCATTTTTTACATGCATGTATTTAAAAAATATTCCTTTCAAGGATTTACTCCACTCTCGGAAAAAAAGCAAAATATTAGTAATACCACAGTGGTTCAACTAAACCCCAATTGAACCGTTTTTCCATTGAAGTTAGATCACAGAATTGTGCGATCCATCTGAAGGGCTCAAGATGGTCTTAAGATGATCTGTAAGATGGTCTTTTGTCACGATAATATGATCCAACTTCGCCTCTCATATTATAGGGGTTAGAGTTAGAAAGGGATTATACCTTCTCTTATTTTTATTTTCTTATTAAGGTTTTGAATGGCACAGATTTTTTATAAAGAAAAAGTCTTGTTAAAACATTTTTTATGCCTCCTTAATCATGTACACTTCAAAAATATGAACCGCTCTTCCATTCTATGAAACAAAATTTTAGCTTCAGGATTTTTTTATAATTTTTTATCCTAAATTATATTAATTAATTTAAAATACGTCATGGATGGCAAGTAAAAGTTGCAAAATACAAATTGAATAAGTTATAGCAATTCAATATTTCAAGTGACATTTCAAATGCAAAAAAAAAAAATGCTTTTTTCACAGCCATCAATCATTTTGTACTTTTACTTCAGCTTTAAAAAAAGTTGGAAAATCAAATACGAAACAGACATTCACTGAACAATTGAGTGGTTTCCTTTGGCAGTTAAGAAACGACAAGCTTGCAAGGATTTCATTTTGAAGGGAAATTTGGATAAGACGAGGTATTTATATTAACAAAGATACGAAGGCCAGATGAAGCTGAACTGTTAGACAAAATATTTCAGATTTACTTAAAATATTCATTGTTTATTTGTTTACAGCATATCATTCCTGAAAATTCAGAGACGTACTACTTTTTTTTAAAATGATTTTTTTTTCTAGACAAAGTAAAATCAGCCCAGACGGGTGATTTTACTTTTCTAGAAAGTAAAATCTAGAAGATGTAAGACGGGTATAAATGTTAGTTCTGAAATGAAATGCGTGAATTTCTGGGAAAAAGTAGCCCACAATTCTATTTCTAATGACAATTTATAAAAGTTATGCATGCAATTTGCATGTGATATATGATGTAATTATCTTCTTTATCCACTACACTGCAGCTTTTAATAAGTTTAAAAAAGTACATTAGAGTCTTTTAATTTTTAATAAGTTTAAAAAAGAACATTAGAGGGAAACCAAACTTGTTTAAACAGACGCCACGAATATATATAGAGAGAGGGAGACAGAAAAAAAAGAATGTTTTTGAAAAAGAATAGTAAAAAACATAAAGCCATCAAAATAAAACGTTTTCGCTAATCATTATAACAATTCTATCCGTAAAGCAACATAACCATGTATGAATTTATTTTCTTAGAAGCATAGAAACATTACTTTAGAATCATACATTATAGAAGTTAACACTTGAACTTAAAATAAAAGAGTACTTAAGTTTTTACAGATAAGATGCTTCAGACGTAATCTCTTTTGTAAGTAGTTTCCCATTTTTGAATCGCTCGACAAGTTTTTACTAAGGGGACTGAAAGAAAAAGGTAAAAAGTTAAAATATTAGCAATTAAAATTTTTCAAATTTATAATGAGATCAACAGTATGAGAAATAATTAATTAAATAATTAATTCATTTTTCATAATGAAAATTAATTAATTAATTATTAAATTCATTAAAATACAATAATTAAAAAATTATACATTAATTTAAAAAATCATTAATTAAGCAAAATGTGCATCAATTAAAAAAAAAATTTTAGAGTCACAAAAAAAAGAAAATGGAAGAAAAGAGAAAAATTTAAAATTATAATAAATAAACACATCTGAAGAAATAAGAAAGCACATTAATTTTCATCAAACATAGTTTTTAAAAACATAAAATGATATTATTCGAATTACGCATAAAACTCGATCTTAAAAAAAAAAATCTTACTTATTCATTTTCTCACATAAAAACATTATCTACTCACTTTTCACATACAAAAACTTCCCTATTCATATTCCGTAAAGATATANTATATATATATATATATAATTCCTAGCTCTCAAAAACGCTTCATTTCGATACTTACACTGAAAATTGAACAGCAAGTGCAATGTGCATGCTCAAAAAAAAAGTCCCAAAATGCCTTATATTCTACAGCCAAGTTTTAACTAAATCTCACCAATGGTTCAAAAGTAGTTTTTTTTTTAATATAGCTCATTAATAAGTAGACCAGTATCCTCAATAAACTAATTAACTCGTAGCAAAATTTTAAAATGAACATTCGAAAACTATTTAAATTTAATACTCAAAGAGCAGAAATCCTTCACAGACTTTCTCCAGCAGTAGCAGAAATAATGTTTTTTTTAAATTGTCGGAAAAGTAAAGAGGCGATTTTTCGAATGTTCATTTAGAAATTTTGCAACCATTTTTTCAGTTCAGGGAGAACGCTAGTCAGCTTATCATCAATTGCTACCGTGTATTATTTCTTATAAAATGATGAGCAAAAGAAGTTTAACAGTTTCGAGTATTTATTTATAGTGAAGTTAATAAATAAATTTTGTGAAATACTAATTTTATTTCGTCTTGCATAATAGTGAATTAAATATGAAAAATAAAGATCCATTAAAATCTCATTAAATGTCATTATAAATTTAACTTGTACTCATTTTCCAACCAATCTCTAATCATAAAATAAATCTTTTTTCTAATACAGAAATGAATACTCACCAGGTCCAATAGTGTTTAAAATATCTAAAGGATCATCATAACATTTTGCACTTTTGTTTGAGCACCCTTTAATTGAACATTTATAATCAAAATCGTTATCAAGAAACTTTAACCCTATAATAAATCATAAAATCAAAATATACATTCATCAAGAATACATAAATATATGTTGCAATTAAATCTAAAACCAACCATAAAATCATTATTAATATAAATACAGGTATGATTAAAATAGTAACGATGATGAAGATGTGTACAGTACACAAAAAATAACCGGACCCCCTGAATAACTTTTGATCTAATAATCGAATGTTCACTTTCTAGGAATCAACCTTAATCGTTCGAGGGGGTGACCCTAAATGTGCTAATTAATTAATGCAGACAATATTTTTAAGTTAAGAAACCAGACACAAAATTGTACTTTCTCTGAATAAACATACAGTTTTTTCCAACGGATTCGGATTTCTGACTCCCCAAAAAGTAGGGGTTGCCGCAATCTGGGAAAGATGGTCCCAAAAGTTTGGTCAGGAAAGTGGTCCAAAGTTTGAATCAATTAACGTTAATAACCTTTATATATAATAGGACCTTTCGCATATTTTCCATGTTTCGAGAATTTTTTAATCAAACTAAAAGAGGTTTGCACACAATTACGAAATTTACTTATCCAAGGATAATTCTATGCAAAAATAACATTTAGTATTTATTATTTCTTATTATTTTATTTAATGATAGCCGAAAACATTTTGAATTGTAACGTATAAAACTTGTTACATCATTTTAAAGAATGTAGTTTTGCAAGGCAAAATGCAAAATTTGAGCGAAATCGGACGAATAGTTCCTGAAAAATCGAATTTTAAAAATCCGACTCTTCTATAAGGGTCATTCTCACAAAAACAGTCATTTTCATGTCCCCAGTATATTTTATGTTTGTTTTACAGCTTACAAAAAGAAAAATTCAGGGAAAGTGTCCTTCAGAATGCAAGCTAACAAAAGAATAAAAATAAAATTATAAATTTTTATTTTTTATTTATTTTAGGTAATTAAAATATACCAATATGTCATTCCCTCACTTGTCCCCACTGCTGATTTAAAGAAAGAAAAAAATTGTTTCTGAAATTAAAAAATTTTTTTTACAAATTCGTGTTTTTTATTTCAGAATACTGAAATATAGAATTCAGAAAATCAATTTTAAATTTAATTTCTGATAAAAATATTAACACAGCACTATTTTAAACTTTGTCCCCAGTGTTTCGCGTCATTCCCTCACAACAATGTTCTTATCACCTGCAATCTTCTTAGAATAAAAATATTTTAATAAAAACTTCAGAAGTTAACAACTGGCATCATAGAACAAAATTGCAGTATGTTTCCATCTTCAACTTAAAGAAGCTTTGCTGTGGAATAAATTTGAATGAATCAAACCAGGTAAAATTTTTTACATTTGTCATTCCCTCATGTCATTTTTTAGAGTAAAATAAAATACAACTTCATCGAGAAAGTGGATAATTATATGTTGCTTTCTTGTATGAATATAATTGTATGTGATTGACTTCAGAAATTAATTAGGCCTAACTGTTATTTTTAAATTTTATTGAATTCGTCATTCCCTCACTAGTGTATAAAGTGAGGGAATGACGCTGAAGTGAGGGAATGATTCAAGATGAGTATATTATTAAATTTTTTTTTGTTCAATCGTGCCAGCCAATTTTATTTCCCAAACCTGTAAAAACTATTAAATATATAAGACTAAATTATAATAAATATTAGATATACTTAGTATGTTATCATTTTCAAACTTTAGGTAGATGTAACTTAGATAAAAACATGTATTAAAATAAAATATCATTCCCTCACTATTAGTGTCATTCCCTCACTTTTTAAATAGTGAAAATAATTAATTTACTTATTAATTAATTTGAAAAATAAATTAAAAAATTAATAAATTAATTTATTAAATTAATTAATTTATTTATTAAATTAATTAATTAATTATTAATTATTATAAATTAATTAATTATAAATTAATTATTTAAAAAATTAATTAATTTAAATATTAAGTATAATTTATAGGATATATACTTTCTTTATAATGCCATTACATATTTCTATTAATATAAAAAGTTTCAGAGCTTTTTATTCACTTTACTTTTTTGGGATTTTATGAACTGAAAAATGACAGTTTTCGTGAGAATGACCCATAAATATGTAAAGATCAACAAAAGTTTTTCAGAGTGTTCAGGCTTCTTTTATTTTCTTTCTTTATTTACTTTTTGCGCTCTATACAAAAACAAATTTGACTATGCTGTGAGTCAAGTAGGAGTTTAATAAGCAAATCGGAAACAATGTCTTTTAATTTAACAAAATTTCAAGTCTATAATTATCGTCAGTTAAAACACGAGGAATAAATAAAAGCCCAAAACATATGCTACTGGAATAAATAAAATCTCAAAACATATGTTTTATACATTTTCAAGCACGTATTATAGCTACTGATTTTTCATTTATTTCAAAGGCCATTATTTCGCTCTAACATATATGAACAACCCGCTAATAACCTCAATATAAACATTTTGCAAGTTAAAGATGAAGAAACGTTTTAAATTATGCATAAAAGTAAATAAAACTATAATGAGAGATTTTTTCCGAAGGTGGGGTTACAGCTTTATAAGTTTCTAATAAGAGAACACTTGGCAGAATTCAGGGCAGTTTCTCCTGTGAAAATTCCGTTGTTTTTGCAACCATTTAAAATATGTCGTGTCAACTAGAGAAAATCAAAGAATTTTACTTAACTTCTTTCCCACGCTAAACAAAGATTTGAAACTTAGCGGTAACTGATTTCTCTGATCAAAGCATTGAGATCGGAACTGGCTATGATTTAATGTCCTATTCAAAGAATATAGAATGGGATGTATATTATTTGGTTCCAAAGCTGTCTGGCTGATCGTGAGAGGTTTTCAAGCGTTCCTTTTCTACATAATGGGAGTTCAAATCAGTTTCACAAAGTAATATATCGAATATGAATTTGGCAACTGCAAAATAAAATCTCTACAGAGTTGAAAGTAATTTATTCCATTGAGTAAATTTTGCAATAAATTCTTTTTTTTTCCTCAATAAATTTATTTTGTTTTATTATGAATAACCATTAGAAAGTCAAACCTTAATGTCAATTATTAAATTGCTTACTTGTATTTGATCCAGCTTTTCGACCATCATAATCTCGCTGTGTAGTTGTCACCATATGTTTTGCCCTGTCAGTTACTAAAGCAGTAGAAATCGGACCCTGATAAAAAATTAAGTATATTAATTATTGTTCATTTACAAAACGTTAGTTTAAGATGATAAATGTGCACATAAGATTTACAACCAATAATTACTATTCAGCTTAAATTTTATATCTTTAAATTTGTTTTAACACAAGTTTTGTTTTGTTCGATTCTTTGTTTGTTTTTATTTGACAAAGCTGAGAAATTTTAAAACTAGAGTAAATTAAAATGATTTTCGCCGCTAGGTTTGTGTTATTTGTTATTAATATCTATGGCACTTATACTTTATAGGCCATAAAAAATCCCCCATACTCTTAGTGACGCAAATATTGCTTAAAAAAATGTGGAAATAGGTTCTTTACAGATTTTGTGTAAACCCATTTGTGTCCAGCGTCTTCTAACACTTTGACACAAATGGGACACCGGAGTTTCTTCTATAGATTTTTTCAGAGGCTATAATTACAAGCAAAAATATATTTTGGTATTTTTCAAAAATAAAAAAATAGTCTAAAAGATTCCAAAAAATCTGTTAGATTATCAAAATTATCTTTATACTAAAATATAAAATCAAAGAAAGTAAACAGCAATTTATGGAAAGTGAAAAGCAATTTATGGTCTGTCCCTCAAACCTCTAAAAAGCTTTAAACTTCATTGATAAGTATGAGGAACAGCATGATTTAAACACTTTTATGCTATAAAAAGATTCCTTAAGTATTTCTTGAGAAACATGAAAAATGTATTAACACAGAAGTGTTTCCGTTATTTCGTCGACCCCCTCTATATTGCTATATTGCAGCTGACGTGATCAAAATCGGATCAAGAATATCCTGAAAAAGTCCTACTAGTGTTTCTCAAATATTCTAGAAACCAGCTAATGGAAAAGAACTCATATTTCTTTTAAGGTGTCTCAGGAATGACTGATGATTTTATTTTGGTTATATAACAGTCGTTGTGACCGGCCGACCAAATTTTTTGGGTTTACGACTGCTAATATTCAACTCCGTAGCCTTGTAATTTTGAACCCAATCCAGAAGACAAGGGAACTCTTGAATCAAGTATTTGGAAAAAATTTCCTTCGCGGAGGACTTTTTTTTATGGAACTAACCGCATTTGTGTTACATGGAGAGGAAAACCACGAGAACCTCCCACGATTAGCCTGATGGCAAGGAGACTCTATCTAATTCACGATCCGCCTACCACTGAGGATATTTTACGTCAGATCTGTGGTCTGTGCAAGCTGGATGCGGAATTCACATCGACCAGCCATGGCTAGCATGCGAACGTTCTGTCTCCTGAGTTCTCACTGCTCACTCAGTCGGTATTTTATGACTGTCGTTGAACAGCCGACCCAATTTTAAGTTTGCGACCATCAATGTTCAAATCCGTAGTCTTGTAATTTTGAACTCAATCCCTTAAAAATGATTACTTTTTGTTTTATTACGTTTTGCAATCAAAGGTGATATCTAACCGACGGATATATAGATATTTCAGTTAAAGCACTTTGATGGACAGCAGAAAAAAATATTATTTCACAAATTATCCTAGTCAGCAGATTTGCTTGTTGATTAACTTAGCAATAAATTCGGAAACTAGAAAAGAATAAAACTCTGTTCCCATAGTAGGAAGCAGCGAACCATGTATTTCTATCCTCTTCCATTTATTTTTTGTCATGTTTAGGATATGTGGTATGAAAGCAGGTTTTGCTGTGTTTTAACAATAAGGTAATGCAGCCTTAACCAAACTATGCTATTTTATTAAGATCTTTTAATACTAAATTTTAGTAATGGTGTTATGCTCACTTCGTATAGCTCTTGAGTTTCCGAAGGGAAATTGGCTTTAGGCCCAAAATGATCATCGTACGTAGTTTCTTCAAAAGCTGAGTGCTTCTTGGGCTCTGATAAATAACCAAGAAAGCGATAATCTGGCTGAATTCCCCTAAAATATAATTTTTTATATAATTCTAAGCATCTTCAAATATTGTAATCTAGAGTGATTTCGTCCGGTTAATTAGAATGTTACATTTAATACTCCTTACTTGATTTTTACAGAAATTAAAAATCGATGTTTATTCTACTGAAAATACGTATAATACAAGATTAGTAAAGATATTAAAGTTATTATAGAATCTCTCGATTTTTTTTAACAAATATGGACCAACCATGATGGTCCTACAAACTATGGAATTCAGATTTTCATGAATGAAGGTAATTTAGTACATATCTTGTGTTAGTTATTAAACTTCGGAGAAATATTTTGACCTTTGCGTATATTAATGGTGCTAATATAAATCATTAAGTATCACCGTCAACTTTTGTGGATTTCACTTATTGGTATATACCCATTTCGCCAACGCAGGTGATATGGACACCAATACAAAGCAAGCATAGTAGAAATATTGTAATGTCAGAGCTGGGATTCGAATTTTTATTTAAGCGGGCAATGAGATTAACACGCTAACTCTTTCAGCTTAAGTATATACTCAGCTTCAAGCAGGTAGGTGGTTTCATAAAGCGTTCACTTGAGCTATTCAATTTTAAAAAATTAATTTTAATTAAAATAAGCAGAATGTAAAACAAAACTGACGAATAAATGAATAAAATGGCTGAATCTACTTGTGCTGTCAATGGAATCTACCCAAGTTTTTACTTGCCATCTCAGGAATGATTTGTAACGGAGAACTTTCACTTCGTAGAATAACTGCGTCCGATATGAAGCGAGTTTTTAGTTAGAATTTTATTGGAACTCAGTTATGATGCACGGATCAATATTTTCGGCAATTAATGAATAAAAAATTCTTAAGCTAAATACATTGATTTCAGTTTTTTTAACAATCTGATTGACAGTATTTATGTCAATAATTTGGAGAAAATTTTTTTTTAATTATTACTAAACAGCGAAGTTGTAAACTTCACGCAGTATTAAAAAGAATACTTACTGTTTTTTAGCTTCTGAAAGTAATGATTGCCAACCATAATCTATTTCATGAGTGGTAGCAAAATTTTGGGTCATTTTCTATAAAAATATTTTAAAGCTCTGTTAAACATTCCAGCTTTATAAAATGGCACTCAAGCATTTTCTGTTCATTCAATTATTAATTTTCTATGAATAATATACCAAGGCTGAACTAGATCTGTAACTTAAAGTCAGGTTCAACTTTTATAATAAAGATCATTGATGCTCAGGCAAACCAGAAGACCTAACGAATTGCAAGTAACTGGATCCTGCTTTTATTTCAACGCAAATACTTTGGCAGATAATTGTTCATTAATTAAAAGAGAGGAAGAGTTCGAAAAATTCCTTTTGAAATTGCCACTGAATAGAAATTCTTTACCACGAAGTTAAAAAAAAAAACATTTTATGAAACTTAGAAGCTTATTATTCAATTTCTCAAACTCAATTTTATTTCTTGTTTAGTGTGATTGTTAAAATCAAGCTAAAATTATTCAGTAAGTGTTCCGTTTTAAAAAATGAAATCAAAAATTTTAAGACTAGTCAGTTTTTCTGAACTTATAGACATTAATCATTTTTAGGTAAGAAAATATTAAAAATTTTTAATGCTTCGTTGCATGTCCTTTTTTTTTTTTATAACTGCGACACACCATCTGGACTTGAAATTAACGAGGTTTTCTAGCGAGAATTTGCGGATTTTCCATTTCGACTGAAGAACCGGAAGGAATTCTGCCTTTGAACAATTCTTCCGTGCTCCGACTTTTCTTCCGATGAATTCTCAAAGATGTTTGATTGGATTCAAGTCAAGTTATTGACTTGGTCTGTTCAAAGTTTTACCCTTCTCAGTTGTAAACCAACTTATCAGAATTTTGGAGGTGTGTTTAAAATCAGTAGCCTGGTGAAACATCCATGCATGAGACATTTTACGAGCATAAGATAGCATTTGAAATTTTTAAATGTTTTTATGGAACTCATCCCATCGATTTGTACGGGAGGGACAACGTCAGTATAATGGAAAGCTCTCCAGACCATTACTGATCCATTTCCGTACTACGCTGTTTGTAGTTGGCACTGAGAATCCATTCTTGTGCTCTTTGGACGACAAATAAGACGTAACGATCACTTAAAAAATTTCGTTTTTTTTTTTCATCAGTCCAAATGACCTTTTTCTAATCTTAAATTAGCCATGCTTCGTGCTCCATTACAAATTTCAATCGGATTACCCAATTCTTTGTCAGGATGAGAGGCCTTTTCACAGGAAGCTGTGCACGAAACCCTCGAGGCACTCAAGCATCATTTTAATAATTACTCACAGTGAATCCGTGTTCGGTTATCATCTCCCTGCATATTTGATAAGCGCTGTTCACCAACCAACTTTCTTGGGATTAATGCGTCTTGACGATGAATCTTTTTCCTTGGGGCTCATGATCTTGGAAGATCGTGCGTACTTTTTTCATCCCTCCACTTCTTTACTATATGGACAGCATATGATTTTGTTGTTCTAAATTTGGAGGTGATAGCAGAATATGAAACCTTTTTTCTGAGTAGACTGTTGAGCTAAAAATAGATCTCAAAACATTTTATCATATTGGATTTGCACATTACAATCTTTTGAACTTCCCACCTTCTAATTAAATAGTTGGCAGCACTTTCAAAACTGTCATGGCACCATAGCTTTGAAGAAATCATACGTTTGTGAATATTTATGCTAATTGAAATAAAGCTAAAGAAAAGTGTGAATCATAATGTAGTTGTTGTTGTTAATTTACGTCGCACTAGAGCTGCACAATGGGCTATTGGCGACGGTCTGGGAAACATCCCGGAGGATGATCCGAAGACATCCCATCACAATTTTGATCCTCTGTGGAGGGGATGGCACCCCCGCTTCGGTAGCCCAACGACCTGCACGCGAAGTCGGGCACTTTACGGTAGCACAGTTTAACGAGGACCCATACCGCACACCCTCGGTCCCTACGCAGACTGATCCAAGTGGGTCACCCACCAGCACACTGACCGCAGCCAGTGATGCTTGACTTCAGTGATCTGCTGGGAACCGTGTCCTAACGATCAGTCCACTGCGGGACTAATCATAATGTAAATATTATTTCATCATTAATATTTATTTAATATAAATATTATTTATATCCTTTTACGTTGTTTTGAATCATAATTTGCATTAATTTGAAATTTATCATTTTATTTTTATCTGTTACAGTTGAATACAAGTGGAATAACGCATATCCTTACTCGTAACTCCGAAAAGTGTGTCAAAACTTTTTTTTTAAATTTATCTGTAGTATCATTAATAGTAAAAAATAAAAACAATGTACTGAAAAAAAAAGCTTTCTCAACTTTAAGGGGCCGTGGTAGTCCAATGATTAATGAATCGAACTCCGGTCCGAAGTGCCGGTGCCGAAACTCGATCATCGACTCCACTAAGAACCACTAAGTTCATGCAATATATGTGCTTGTGAAAACTGTGGAATCGAAAGCCTTATTGTCGGTTGCTGAGTAGTAACATGAGTATAAAGATTTGCAGAAAATTTCCTTCCTCTTCAGATTCATGTCTAAATTGAGGAAGTGGCCACTCAAATGAAATCACCTCTGCAGAGGGTTAAAATTGTGATGGTATGTCTTTGGATGATCCCTAATGATGTTTCCCAGACCGTCGCTAATATCCTATTACACAGTTATTTAATTAAATTTTATTATTAGCTATTAAATTTTAAAAACAGTCTTGAAAGGTGTTGTTGCAATTTTCTCTGCATGCTGCCATATGCAATTTACTCGAAACATTTCGCATATGCGTCACGCTCGTCCAGGACTATTAGACGCAGTGTGAATGGTCTAATTAAATCTTTACGGTGATAGTTCATAGTTTGGACAGAAATAAGCAGCCATAAGCGTAAACAAACAAAAGTAAACAAATTTGTTCGGAGCGTAATTTTGTTGAAGCCAGTGGAAGCAGATACTTTATAAAATCTCCATATATTCATTCAAATTTTAACTATTTTCTATCATTTTTAAAAGACAAGTTTAACTTATAAAAATTTTATTGTTTTGTGTGTTTTTACAATTATATTTACTAATTACCATTGCATTTAATATCAATGCTGATTTGTCTTTTAAAGTTGATTTATGAATAATTTCATAATTAATAATAAATTTTTAAAGCATAATTATTAGTATATATAAATATAATATAAATTTTAAAGCAGAATTTAATAGAAATAATATAAAGTAAAAATTCTAGAGAAATTTCTTTTTTCTTCATTAACAGCTTTAATATTTTATGAAATAATAGCTCTTTCAATTTCACCCACAAGAGTTTTTAAGTTTCGCGTTTTGTGAGCTGAAAAATATTCTCTTAACCTAATTAATCTACACAAAAAAATTAAATAATACCTTTATTCTCTTTATTAGAAAATCATGTCAGAATTTCATTGTGCTAATTTTAATTTATTATTTTATTCGAATTGTTTGTTTTTAAATATGTCATTAAAAATGTAATTTACCAGAATGGCCACTTTACTGGAATACCTAAAATTATGATTGAATTTTTTTTTAATTTTGGTTTAAATAGTTACTAAATGATATTAATGCACTTAATTAAGATAGAAAATATTCATTTAGTGTCATCTTGATAATTTTTAAATTGTGTTTGTAATTTTGTTCTATGTTCTTTCAGGTGTAGTATTTCTTCGTCGATTACTAGTAGAAAATCAACTGCAATTGATGTCAACTTATAGATGGAAATTCTGTTCTTTAAAATTGTGATTTATTTTACTACTTTAATCTTTATCTATACTTTATAGGGTGTTCAAGTTTTTTGTCAATATCCTGTTTATTATTTCAAATTTTCTTTAAATTTAAACCAATTTTAAACACACAAATTTCATATTATAATTATTATTACAATTTTTAAGTTATCACTCCTATTTTACTGTATTCAAAGGTTTTGGTAAAAATATCTGGTCAACTGGTAAACCTATAAATTTACTGTATTATAACTACTCTAAAAACAAAATGTATTTGGTTTATCATGTAAAAAATTTTATTACTCTGTTTATGAAACTGTAAACCTTTGGAGAAAGATATTACTACTATCTGCTGTTTAATAAAAAGGAATTAATTATTAAAATTGTAAATTTATAAAATTTCAAATAATACAAAAAAATTATCACATCTAAACTGGCATGGTTCACCTTAAAATTGAATTTGCAACCCTTTATGGAAAAAATGATCATGTATTTTTTAACATTAATATGCAGGAAATTTACTAGAGGTTAAATAGAAGGATTTTAAAGAAATTCCATAAAAAGAGACTGAAGATCACAATCAAGTTTTTAATACAACTGCAAAAAGTAAGGGGGGGGGAATTAAACTATGGAAATTCTGATTTGTTAAACCAGGTCATTATATTAAATAAATTAGTTCATAAAGGCAGTCGTTTAATTAAAGTTGTAATTCTTGCTTCATCAATCTGTCTCAATTCTTCAACCGAAAACTAAAGTCCCCTTTGAGGAGACCCTTGTTTAAATTCCAGCGATCATTATATTGCTTTTGACTCTTACCAACCACAATGCTACGCAAAAATATCTCCTTGGTAAATTGGTAGACATATCACAAGTTAAAACTCTTTGCTGCCTGACCAACTGAGAAGTTTTTTTTTTACTATTTAACACACACACGGATTGCATTTTCTCAAAAAGTCTCCAATGAAATAAGGTTGTCATGATACTTTCACACAAATCCAACGAAAGATCAACACGTTATAAAATTAAAATAAATAAATATCCCTGTTATTATTGTCTTTTATTGAATAGCAAAAAGAATAACCATGTTGTGTGGGAAAGCAACTGAGCTATTAATTGAGTTCATGGTCAACAGTTAAAGAATTTCTGTTGACTATACGACCTGATGCCTAGTGCATTATTTTTAAGTTTTTTGTTTAACTATTCTTTTATAAGTAGACCTAAAGCTATATATTTATATAGTTAACTGATTTGAAGTTTTTTATTGTTGCCTGCATTAATGAGTTTTTAACTATAATGAAATGTGTTTTAATTCCCTTTCTTTTTCAGTTATTGATTATTATGGCATTTTTCCGAAGCAGATGAAGTGCAGCTTCTGTCCGTATATTACTTGGAAGAAAAGCAATTTAGTAGTGCACACCAGAAAACATACAGGAGAAAAACCTTTCATTTGTACTCACTGTTCTAAAAGATTTTCTCAAAAAGTGCATCTTCAGAAACACATATTCACTGTACATTGTTAATATACAATTTTATCACATTATTGGAAAAAATATTTTTCAAATATCACACACAGGTTTTTAAGAAATAAAGGGCTCAAGGTAATATAGTTACCAACGGTGACATGTTTCATCAAACTGTTCTTTAGTATTGTTTTCAGGTGAACACTTCCTAAGTTTCTCATTAGTCCTTCTTTATAAGTCTCCATTATATAAAAGCACAATAGACCAAAACATCTTATTGCCTTTGTGTAAATTGTGGTGTTTTTCACCAAAACACTCACCTGAATATTTTGAAAATGTTGCTTATTGTTATGTTGCTCCCAGCCCTTCAATTAAACATCTATAATTTTTACTAAGAAAAAGTCACACTAATAAAATTGTGTATGAATTATGTTTTGTTTTTTCCATTTTATCATTTTTTTTATTATTTTTTAACTATACAGTCTGACTGAATAGTTATTAATATATATACATAATTATAAGCAGTCAATCTTAATTAGTTTGATCTTTACTAGTACGCATAGGATGAAAGTTATTGCAGTCATTAAAAATAATGAATGTTATTCTTTTTATATTAAAAGTATGTTTAATTTTTAATTCTGGCAGTTGAAATATAAATAATACAGTTTATCTTCTTCGATGTGAGATAAGAATTCTCTTCGCGTATTTTATAGAAATTACAAACTTTCATTCTCGTTTTAATTACTTATCCTTAATTTTAGGAAAATCCACACAAAAAAAATTTCAGATATTTTTTTTATCCTTTGGTTTTATTCAAATATTTCTTCTCTTTAAATAATGCCCTTAATTAATATCAATGGCATTAGCAACTTTAAATATATATGTGGGTCATTCTCACGAAAACTGTCATTTTTCAGTTCATAAAATCCCAAAAAAGTAAAGTGAATAAAAAGCTCTGAAACTTTTTATATTAATAGAAATATGTAATGACATTATAAAGAAAGTATATATCCTATAAATTATACTTAATATTTAAATTAATTAATTTTTTAAATAATTAATTTATAATTAATTAATTTATAATAATTAATAATTAATTAATTAATTTAATAAATAAATTAATTAATTTAATAAATTAATTTATTAATTTTTTAATTTATTTTTCAAATTAATTAATAAGTAAATTAATTATTTTCACTATTTAAAAAGTGAGGGAATGACACTAATAGTGAGGGAATGATATTTTATTTTAATACATGTTTTTATCTAAGTTACATCTACCTAAAGTTTGAAAATGATAACATACTAAGTATATCTAATATTTATTATAATTTAGTCTTATATATTTAATAGTTTTTACAGGTTTGGGAAATAAAATTGGCTGGCACGATTGAACAAAAAAAAATTTGATAATATACTCATCTTGAATCATTCCCTCACTTCAGCGTCATTCCCTCACTTTATACACTAGTGAGGGAATGACGAATTCAATAAAATTTAAAAATAACAGTTAGGCCTAATTAATTTCTGAAGTCAATCACATACAATTATATTCATACAAGAAAGCAACATATAATTATCCACTTTCTCGATGAAGTTGTATTTTATTTTACTCTAAAAAATGACATGAGGGAATGACAAATGTAAAAAATTTTACCTGGTTTGATTCATTCAAATTTATTCCACAGCAAAGCTTCTTTAAGTTGAAGATGGAAACATACTGCAATTTTGTTCTATGATGCCAGTTGTTAACTTCTGAAGTTTTTATTAAAATATTTTTATTCTAAGAAGATTGCAGGTGATAAGAACATTGTTGTGAGGGAATGACGCGAAACACTGGGGACAAAGTTTAAAATAGTGCTGTGTTAATATTTTTATCAGAAATTAAATTTAAAATTGATTTTCTGAATTCTATATTTCAGTATTCTGAAATAAAAAACACGAATTTGTAAAAAAAAAATTCTTATTTCAGAAACAATTTTTTTCTTTTTTTAAATCAGCAGTGGGGACAAGTGAGGGAATGACATATTGGTATATTTTAATTACCTAAAATAAATAAAAAATAAAAATTGATAATTTTATTTTTATTCTTTTGTTAGCTTGCATTCTGAAGGACACTTTCCCCGATTTTTTTTTCTTCTTAAGCTGTAAAACAAACATAAAATATACTGGGGACATGAAAATGACTGTTATTGTGAGAATGACCCATATATATTATATATACACATAATAAAGCCTTTACTAGCCTTGTTGTCAAGTCTTTACTAAAGGCTTGACAACATTTTGAAAACGCTAGCTAGAAAGATGATATTGCGAGACTATTATGCAGTTATAATCTTATGTTTAATGGTAATTAAGTAAAGTATTATGGTTTAGATTAATGAAATTCTTTTCTTCCTGGGGCTACAAGCCAGAGCTGTCCTAATTAGGACAGTTCTAGTTTTTCTATTCTTCTTTTCTAGTTTTCTGTTTTTTCTATCAGATTAAGACCATTAATATAATTCATGAAACTTGAATATAATTTATAAAAGTTAACTTTCCGGGAAAATACTTGAATTAAATTTCTTCACCTTGTAATAGTGCAGTATTTAATTTTTCAATGCATTTTCTTTGCCAAATATTTTTGATTGAAATGTTTTGCTTTAACACAGACTAAATATTTTGCTCTGAAAAATATTTATACATTATTAAAAAAATATTACTTGCTTATGCTTGAACAAATTATGCATGATTTGCACTAATTATTAACTTCAATTTTAAAAATGAATGCTTATGCATAAATTGATCTTCAAACTTAAAGTATAAGTTATGATAAGATTAATTTTTTTATAAACATGAATATTTATGCATGTATTAATCTTCAAATTAGAAATTATGATTGCCATTTTATGTATCTGTATTTTTAACTTCTTTGTAATTACTCTGTTCTCTTGACTAATTGGCATTTTAAGACACATTTGAATTTTCATTTAATATAAAATTTTGGTGTGGAATAATTATGTTGCCATTTATCTATATGTTCTTGATAAATGTAATTTATTTTACTTAATAAAAATAAATCTTCAACTTCAACTCAATCTTATAATCAATATGCCTCTTTTCTCACCTTCTGAAATAACTTATTGAATTTTTTCTTTTTAATTACTCTTTTCTCGTAATTTTAGTTTGGTCTGATAAATTTACTTAAATACTTTTATATTAATTTTTGTTCACCTATATGAAACTAAGTTTGTTTTTAATCTTCCTTTTGAAGCATTATTTTTCTGTTATTTGAAAAACATAACAGCTTAAGATTTACATGAAAAAAACTTAGAGCCATGAAAAAAACAATGAGTGAGCTCAACAGCTAAAATAATAAGTTCAGTTTTGAGAATTTTATTTAGTGTTAATATTAATGTTAGTAAATTAAATTTTAATTTAATTCTTTTTTAAATTTTAATAAATATCAATTTAGTATAAACATGCTAAGTTGACACTTATGTTATAATTTTTTTCTCTTTGATAAAAAAAATTTAAACTAAAAATATACATTTCTTACTAAAATCGAAAATTTATTATTTTTTTATTTCTTTATTTGCAAGAATTAGTATAAAAAAAAAACAAATTTTTAGTATTCTCAATTTAACTAGTTTCAACTAAAAATATAAAACAAAACTATGTGTGAAAAATATATCAACTTAAATATTTTCGTTTAATCATATTTTTTTTCTTCACAATTGAAATATTATTCCTATTTACTATTTGTTTAATGGCCTCTTAAAATAAAGTTACATGATTTTTTTTTTTTAATATTTTTAGCAATAATGTTCTTAAACATTCTTGTTTATAAATCATATATCTATTTACATAGATTCACTAAAATATCACATTTTACTACAAAATGCTGTAGATTCTTTGAAAAGTAAACAAAAATTTGTGAATTTTACATACTTAATATGTTGTGTTTTGTTTCAAATTTTAATGCTATCAAGGAACAGCATTAGCAAAGTAAACAAATTGGTGGTATAAATGTGTTTAATAGGTTTTGTTTAATTGTGAGTTTTCATTACAAACTTTAAAAAATGCACTTTTTATTGTTTGTTTAATTTCATAATGTACTCAAACTCATCTAGCATCTATTTTAGTTTTGCTAACTATAAATTGTGTTACAAATATTATTGTCTTTTAAATATTTTTTATAGTTACTACTACTCTTTAAAACATGCATTAAATTTAATGAAGCAAATTATGTTTTTAATTTTAGTTTTTATCGAAGATGAAAGTATGATTCCAGAAATTGAAATCATAAGATGCAACATGTGTTCATACAGCACACATCGCCGTGGCAACTACAATGTTCATATGCGGAAACATACTGGAGAGAAGCCTTTTAGTTGCACCAATTGCTCTCAAACATTTACTCAAAAAATTTCTCTGCAAAGACACATAATGAAAGCTATATGTACACAGAAACGTAACAAGAAAAAGAAAATTGTTGTAGTTAGTAATTTGATATCCATTGACAATAGCCAATCTGATATTTTCCCACTTTAGAAATTCAATCGTACAATCAGCATGGTATATTCAACATGATATTGTATCAATTATTTTACCTTACTCTTTTTGATTTAAAAAGAAAGACAAAATAATGCATAAAATAAGTTAATTTAGATTTTGCTATTCTTTTTTGATTCGAATGCTACTTTATTTAATTACAGCATCATATTCACCAAGTTATTATTTTCTTCTTGACATATATCATTCCTTTGACAATGATGAATAGTGACTTCCCTGTTTCCTTGCAATCAAAACTACTATAGGAAATAATACAATGACAATTAACTTCGCAATAATAAAAATTTATTTTATCAATATTACAAGTTTTAACAATTACAACTACAGCTAATTTATTGTTACTCTGAATTTTTATTTTTCTGCTGATATCCTATCAACACCTGTCCCTTTGCTCTTTTTGTTCAAAGAGGAACAAAAAGACATTTGTGTTAAAAAAGTTACTTTTTACTTTGTGAATTATTCCCCCAAATAGTTTATTTTAAAAGTTTGTTTCTTGCATTATTCTCACATAAATTTTTTTACCCTTGTTTCATATATTTTGTCAAAAATTTTATTTTGCACTTTTGTTTTATGTATTCTCTCATTTTTTTTAAGGTACAAAAATGATTTAATTAAAAAATAATCTTAATGTGCTCTTTAGTATTGATTCTATTTTTTGAGGATTTAATTTTTAAAAATTTCAGTTTTTATAATCCTTTGATTTTTATTTGTGAATGCCAAGTATAACCAAAAAACATCTTATACATCAAGATCTTAATTTTTTATGTATTTGTTATTGATAGTTTTCTGAGTCTGTTTAATATACTTGTTTTGTTTTTATATGTGAATTACTTTTTCATTTTGACTATAAAATTTTCTAAATTTAACTTTTAAAAATTGTATCATTACATATTGATATTTAACATTTCTTTATTACTTCTAAAATTATGTATTTTTCATGAATTATTTCTTTTGAATATAAAATTAATCATGTTAAATATTTATAAAAACTGTATAAATTTTTTACTTTGAGAGCAAAATAACCTAAAAAGTATTAGCTTGAAATTTTCCCTTTGTTAAAATTTTATTAATATTTCTAGCAATTAAAATTAAGGTCAGTAGTGAATGCAATTTTTTTAAATTATTATGAAATAAAATTTATATGCATGCATTGGTTTGTAGTTTAGAAACTTTTTTCAAAGAAACTTGTGTTCAGTCCATCAATTTTTTTACTTTAGCAAAATGAAAATAATTTGTTAAACATAATGAGTAAAAGTTATAAATTAGCTAAATTACACTTATAATAAATAACAAAAAAAGAGTTTCCAAAGTTACCTAATCATAAATTTCTTAAATTTGTTATTTATTTTTTCAATTTATCTATGCTTTTTCTAGTATTTTGTAAACTTGTTATTAAGAATTTAAATTGTCAAAATATTTCCATTATAAATTACTAATGCAATTTTAAAATATATATATTTGTTAAAAATAGCACAGAAATTACGTGTGGAATTTAAATCTCAGTGTTGATTTCATACAGAACTCTTATTCTAAAACTTATTTTGCCAAAAATTATTCGTACAGAAAAACAGTATAGTTTTGCTAATATTACTTGCAACTAAGATGGAACTTTAGGTAATTTTTTTTTCTTTGTTTTAAATTTCTATTTTTAGGATATCTTGTTTGTATAACATATATATAAACATATTCTAAGGATAACCTTGTGTAATCAAATTTACTTCCAAGCAACTTTAAAATTTTATACTTAGTAATCTTATTATGAAAAAACGTGTTATTAAATCTGTTGCTGTTAAGCAAATTAAAATTCATAAACTGAATTATGAAAAGTACCTTTCATAATTTAAAAATAAAAATTGTGGTCATATATGTATAGTGGTCATGCTTAAGAGTTACACCGCGACCAATGCACCAAAATTCATAAATCGGTGAAGAATCTAGAATATTAGTGCATGTTTATTTTGCCTTTGTAGGCTAAATTAAACCAAACTAAGTGTTTAAGAAAGAATAATATTTTTTTTTATTCATTAGGAACTTTCATACTTTAAAATATAGCTTCTTTTTTGTTTTAAATATTATTGTTTTATTTATCAATAAATGGGCATATTAATAGATGGATGAAGTGTAAGATTTATTATTTGCCAATTATCAAAGATTGTTTATTATTATTATTATTCTATCTTGGGGACTTCTTTTTTCCTTCTTCCCTTACCTTCATTTTTTTTAACATCATTTGAAATGAAAGTTAATTTTACTTGGCATAGAATTTTGTAATTTTCGAAATCTTTCTACTGCATATTTAGTTAATAGTTTAAAAATTTTACTTTTAAGGTTTAAAAAAACCTTACAAAAAATATTTATTTTAAAAAACTAAACATAGTTGAAATCAGGAATATTTTTCATTAATTCTTTTTTACTATTGCAGAATATTTTCAGATTATTTTTTAATGAATCGAATTGATTTAATTCAATTTCACATACAATACTTTTATTAGTTATAAATTATGTTGACTTTTAAGTTAATAGAAATTATTTTTTAATAAAATAACTGATCTAAAAAAATGACTTCACTTTGAATTTAACAGATATAGCAAAATAGTTGTCACAATCAAGATTTGAACTTTCATCATAAAATATGTTGCAACTAGCATATATTTATCACACGAAATAAATTGTAACTAAAACTTTGTTTATGTAGAAAAAAATCATATTTTAGTGACTTAAGCTTCTTAGCAATTAAAGCTCCTATTGTTCTTTATTTTGTTATCTAAAATTATGCTAAATCTGCCTTATATATATATATATATATATCTTAAGGAGAGGATCATCATGAAAGTGTCAATTGCATTATTCAATTTATTTTTAATATGTCAGTGGTTAAGACGCTGAACTCTAATTATAAAGGACTATAGTTTGATCCTCAGTAGCAGCTTGATGCACACACAACTTTAGATCAATGGATAACAGCTTATCTGAGAAGTAAACATGGCCTACGGGCAATGCTGACCACATTGCCACAATCATGATGTTAGTTTCAAAATGTTGAAGCCTTAACCTCTATAGCCTTCTGGCCTACAATAAACTGTTGGGGGAATGCTTATGTATCTGTTAATTGTTTTATTATTCTACAAAAGTATTTTTATTAAATATTAATAAATTTATTACAAAATGTTATTGAATGATGTTGATGTTTGAAATTTGTTCTTATTTTTTTTATTGTATCCGAGCATTTAAAAAATTAAAAAAAGGATAAATACAGTCACTATGCTATAGCTCGAAGTGCAAAACTTGAAAATTAGTAATTGGGTTTCTATATCATGTTTGGACCCTTTTATCTTTAATTTAATGTTAAATTTTCAATTATTTTTTATTTTAATTACCCTTAACTTGGTTTTATTAGTGAAACGATCTCTTAAAGCTGAAAAAAGGAAGAAAAAATAAGTTGGTAACGAAATAACAATTTTTTTCTCCTTTTCTTAAAATCTTATGCTCAATAGAGTCAACTGGTCAGAAAAAGTTAAGTCAGTGTCAGAGTAAGGGTTAACACGAGTGAGAAGTAAATACCATATATCCTGGTGTATAAGTTAACCCCTTATTTTTGATTATGAGATAGCAAATTTCTGATATGTCAGGTTTATAAGTCAACCACAGAAAAAACCAAACACAAAAACTTCTATTTTATTGTATTTCCAGCTTACAACAACCACAGTATTAGTATGAAATATCGTTGGTGTCATAAAAATCCTCTTGCAACCAGGTTAATTGTTCGTTATTTTCTTTTCCATGTGATGTAAATGCAGGTTAGTTTCATTGAAGAATCCCTCAAAAAGGGTTTGATTCAAAATTTTAAGGCTGTGGAGCCCCAAATCCAATGTGAGTCACTTGTTCAATTCCAGAAATAAAATATTATAGAAAAAGTATTATGTATTAATTAAAATATCAGATGGATTGATGTTTTTATTGCTACTATGAGATTCAAGTTATTGCAGATTGGCTGTAGTTACCTGATTTAATTAATTGAAGAATTTGTTATATTGATTTATTTTTCCAATTTTTAGAATTTCTCATGAGACTACAGGACAAGACGGTACTCCCAGCTACATTTAAGTGCACCTATTGTGCTTATAAAACTTGGAACAAGAGCAACATGAAAGTTCATCTAAGAACGCACAGTGGTGAAAAGCCTTTTAAATGTCCAAGTTGCTCTAAATGTTTCACACAGAAAATAAGCCTTCAAAGACACATGAGATTTTCTTGTGTTGTTCAGTTACCAAAACAATAGTGATAAACCAAATTGTGTTCAGACAATAACCATTTTGTACGAAAAGCTTTCATAAATACATAAATTGTTCTTGTAATGATAAATATATATTTTTTAAAGTTGGGTCTGATGTGGTTGTAATTGTGCTGTTTCAAACTATAATTTATGGTTTAATTTTATATAAAATTTTTGTGATTTTGAATTACTTTGTTGCTTTTTAAGTTTAATTGAAGGAATTTTGTTGAAAAAAGTTCTAAGTCTTAAAATTAGAAGACAGCTAGTATAAGTTAAACTGTAGTTATTTTTAATTTTAAGTTACATTTTGCTAAATTTTATAAATTAAATATTTGATTTACTTCTGTTATAAACAACTGTTTAGTCATTCGTGTTTGTTTCAAAGCAAAAGTTGCATTTACATCAAGGCTCGAAAAACCGCCCGTCCACCCTTCCTCGGCAGTCAAAAATTCCCCGCGGACAACAAATTTCTTGAATCCTGCGTCCGCGCAGACGGCCATTTTCCCGTTAATGTTCGTGATACATTTTCAATTTTTGTTATCTTACAAGAGTCTAGCTCCTCACTTCTAAAATGACCCTCTAATCTCGAAATACAGCAGCATACTGTGCATGGTGGAATTGATGTTTTCTCTGTCTGGGAGTACTGCAGCGGTTGAAAGGGGCTTTTCAGCGATGAACTTACAAAAAAACACATTACTTACTGGTCTTAAACAAGAAGCGTTAAACGCATTTATGAACATCTACCTAAATAGAAAACCTCTTTCAGATTTCTGTGCAGAAACCTCTGTAAATCATTGGCTTGATTGTGGAACTGGCAAACGTCATATTTGATTCATTTAAAAAGCGCAGTACCATCGGATGAATTGACATGATAATTGACAGATAACTTAACCTTTGTTATTTAAATTATTTCATCAAAGAAATAAATTATTTCATAATAGAAATACTAGGTTTTACTATTAGTAAGCTAATATTTCTTTTATTACTGTATAATGTAATCCTAGTAACTACTAATTCATTGTGCAATTTATATAAATGTTTGTAATAAATAAGAGAAAATTATATTTTTATTTATTTAGAGGCGATGGGCTAGTTTCAAAGGAGGACGGGTACATTGTACACAAGCCGTCCTCGGGGACGGGTAAAATTTCTGAGTTTTTTCGAGCCCTGATTTACATACAAATTTCATAACAAGAAAAAATTATGTTTAAATTACTTTCTCAACTTTAATTTATATTTGAATTTTTTAAAATATTCAATTATTTTGTTATTTTCAGGGTTAAAACATTGCGAATTTTAAAAATTCATTTTTAAATAAATAACTTTGTTTTATTTTCTTTGAAATATTCAATATCTTTTTTTTTTCATTATCAACAAAATAATTTGTACATTTAGTAATGACTAAATTACTTTTTTGATGTTTGTTTACTCATAATATCTATAAAAATTCTTATTAATTGTAACTTGCTGACTGAGTTGAGTAACATACATTTGTTAATATTTTATATACCTTATTTTTTTATTTTTGTTTACTTCATTTTATCACTCAATCAGCACCATACTTTCATGTTTTTAAAAATAAAACAATTCAAAATATATTATTGTATATTTCAATGGAATGTGATGCATGGAAAAAATTTGATGTGAAGTGGTGGTATCTTGATTTTAGCATTATTTAGCAGACAGGCAACTAAAACTGTAAAAAGTGGTTGACACACAATTCATTTTTATTTATTATATTTTCTCTTTACTTATTCAATGGTAACTAACTACCACTATGATTAACATTTTAAATTATTCATATTTAAACTAAAACTTTCTTTGCATTCACTTTCAATAAAAAGTTTCCAATTATAATCTCTTTTAATAAAACTTGGAGTTTTATTAGTCAATACTTTTTGCATTTTTAGACAACCTTGTAGTAGGCACTATATTACACTAAAAAATTGTGAGAGTGAATTTTGGCAATATTGTGTAAAAAGGCAATAAAATAATGACTTTTGATAATTATGTATTGTACGAAAAAAAATTTGAAGCAATGAAATTTTAGTTTTGATACATTGTGCTATAAAATAGTAAAATAATCCTTTTTTTGTGTTGATAATATTGTATTTAAATAACCTTGGAATATTTGTAATTCTGTTTCATAAAACCCAGTTTCTCTAAGCTGAAAATGGAACTGAAATTTGTATTTAAAAAATTAACGTATCGAATTAAGCTATAATTATTTCTAGTTCTATTTCACAAATTCTGGGTTTAATGCAATTTGATCCCAGTATGCTTTCAAGTGTTACCTCTCACTACTACCAAGATATTAGTTACTACCTCATTCTCTCAATACTCTATAAACTTTATTTATTTGTATTTTAAAACATAAGGTATAGAATTATACCTTATGTTTTATACCTTATGTCTTATACTTGAAATAACTTTTCTTTTACCCTTTTTAGCATTTTTCAACACCTTTTTAGAATTTTACCAGAAGACTCCAGTAAAAGTAATGAAGTGTAACGTTTGCCCCTACAAAACATATGACCGAAGTAATTTCAGAGTTCACCTAAGAAAACATACTGGTGAGAGACCTTTTAAGTGTTCTCGGTGCTTGAAATCCTTCACTCAGAAAATTTCTCTTCAACGTCATAGTCTCAGTTGCAAGCCGCTCATCATCTAGTTACATTGGATGTTTTTTCCAAGACTCAGAACAAGTTTGTTTAGACTCTTGTTTTGGTATATTGGTGGCTTAATGTGAGAAAAACCAATGTTTAAATGTGCAGAGGTGATTGTGCTCCTGAAAAAATCCGGATTTTTTGCTAACCACGATCCGGAAGTTACCTGAAATTCAAAGTACAGAAATTTCAAGAAATCATCAATCACATTTATGTATGAAAATTCTTGTATATTTTGTTTAAAAATATTAGAACTAGAATTTATTCTTGGCATCTCTTTCATTTGTAAATATTTTTTCTAGTAGTTTAAAGAATGTGATAAGAAATAAAAAAGTAAACTTATAAGTAATTATTCATTTAAATTATACTGCATATAATTTATTTAGAATTTCATTTTTTGAAAATATCCAAGATTTAAATTTATTAGACATTAATTTTTTGAAATGCGTCATTAATGATTTTATTCAAGAAATTTTCTGGATTTTTGAGTTGGGCTCACAATCACCCCTGAATGTGAACAATTGAAATATTAGCAATCTGTAATGGGGGGGGGGGTGAGATTTGAGCATTCATTATAGTCTGTAATTGGAAATTGTACTATTAAGTTCAATCTTCCATTACAACAACCCTCCTATTATAAAAAGCAATTTATCAAATATCATTTTCTTTATTAAGCTAATTAAAAGTCTTTTTTTTCCTCCCTGCCAAGCTCAACAGAGGTAGAGTGAAAATTTTAAATGTGCTTTTTAATCCTTTTGATTTTAATTTTCTCTAATAAACTGATGATGAATATTTACTCTGGATGTATCGTTCAAAAGACTTAAAATTCAAGATTGTTATCCAATTTACAATTTGAGATATAAAGTGTGTAATATTACAGATTCTCTTTTTATTTTTCGTGACAAAATTATGCCAATACAATTCTGCAATCAGCATTTTTTGAAAGTTAGTTTTATATTATGTATTTGTTTGCTTTTAGGTTTTTGATAAATATCTTTGTTTTTGTGCAATAACTATAAAAAACTCTATACAAAAATTTAACTTAAAATCTTAAATGGCGAAGAAAGAGGCTTAAGTTGAAGCATTTAATTATTTTTCTTTTCATCTTAATTTCTAGTAATTTAATTTTGCTTCAAATATTTTACCCATGTCTTACCATTGACGAGCATGCATTGTCCATGAAATAAAACAAGAAACACTACCAGGGGTGATTGTGAACCCAAGTCAAAATTCCGGAAAATTTCTCGAGTAAAAAAAAAAAGGTTTAAATCGAATAATTAGAAAAAAATTTAAACAAGGTTTTTTCCTTTTTCTCAATATTTCTTAGTTTACTTAAAATATATTTAAAATTTTACACATACCTATGAAAGACCTGGTGAAGTAATTGAAATTTACAAAATTTATGATTATAATAACTATTTACTGATAAAAAATTAATATTAATCTTGAGTATAAGCTTATAAAGTAACTGGCTCGCCCTTACAATCAAATAAAATAAACTGTGTTTTTAAGTTCCACCTTTGAAAATTTGATTTCCAGAAACATTTGTGATCCATGATTTTTTGAAGCGTCTGAACCTTCGATCACCAGAAACTTCCGGATCACGGTTAGCGAAAAATCCGGATTTTTTCCGAAACACAAACAACCCTGCACTACTTTTATTTATCTGTTAAATTAACCATTTTTAAAATTGTTTTTATAACATAATTTTGAAACAAAACAGTGTATTGGTCAATTTTAGTAGTCATAAGTGTTAACATATTTATAAGATTTAACTAATTATAATAAAAATTATAAATTTAATTTTTTTGAAGTTTTTTTTTAACGAAAAATTATTATGAGGATTTTGTATTTATAAAATTATATTTTTCTCTCTTTAAAGAACAACTTTGGCTGTAAGCAATGCAGTGACAAAAGTTGGCACCATTTCAAATGGATTACATAATTTTGAATATTAATATTAGCCACAGATCTATGTAAATACTAAAACCAAATTACTATTATAGTAATTTAAATTCTTAATACCTGAAAAGTTTTCTTTTTAATGTATTAAAAATAAAAGTTTCATTATTAATGTGTCTATATTTGTGTATTTAAAATTAATACCAACTAAATATCTATAATTGAAATATAAATAAAACAGAACTGTTGATCTATTTTATTTCGAAAAGCATTTATTGCAACATATGAAAGTTATTGTAATGTATTTCAAATTTTGATTTATGTAAAGTCATAAAGTCAGTCTGTAATTAACATGTGTTGTACTCAGTAAAGTCTTTTTTTTTATTGTATATCTTTTTTTTCCAATTAATAATAAAATAATTGTCGTATTTAATTGATAGCTAAAGAACATAGAAAAATATTCCATTTTGTAAAAAAGCTGCATAACTTTTTTAAAGTTCAATATATATTAAGTCAAATTACAAAACAGCATAATTTGTACTAATATAATCGATGTTAACTGTAAATATTTTATGGTTGTAAGTTTTGTGTAGTCTTTATTTATTTATTTTTTTTAATTTTCTTGTCAATCTGTTTTTGCTATGTTCTGATTAAAAAAATGCATAACCTTAACTGTTTCAATGGTATTTTGTATACAATTTGCTGCTTAATAGTTGAGAATATAATTTGCTTTGTTTATGTTTTTAGACATTATTAATTCTTTTCTCGTGACCTCCATGCCAATGGAAATAAAGTGCAGTTACTGTTCTTACAAAACTTGGAATAAAGGCAACTTAAAAGTTCACCTACGGAAACACACAGGAGAAAAGCCTTTCAAGTGCTCATACTGCTTCAAATGTTTTTCACAAAAAGTTCATCTTCAGAGACATCTTTTCAAATCATGTCCTGGACACAAACTATGAGCTCTCTCTTTACAAACCTCGATGATTTGTAAGGAATTTCGGACCATCATCTACGTTTCTACTCTCAACATCAAGTATACTTGGAATTTTGAACCATCTTACCATGATCAAGTATATTGTCCTTTTTTTTCCATAGCTCTATTTTTTAACAGTCCTCGTAAAATCCCATTCAGTGGTTTGCTTCTTGATGTGTTTATTTTGATCTGGTTGGCATCTGAGGTGGTAATTAAATCTTTAAAATTTAACCAACAAAAAGACTATCAGTCACAGTAAATTTAACACGACCACTATGTTTAATTGGCTGCCCAGATTGAAGCCAGGTGTGTGATAGAAGAGATTTTAACGTAGCCCTAAACAGTTTGAAACTTTGAATTTAATCACGTAGATAGTTGAAAATATACATGGATCATAGTTTATATATATATAAAGGATCACACCCCAGCTATTATTTTTTTTTAAATACTAGTTCATTACAATTGTTTAAAATAACAGATGTCTTGAAGAACAAAATACTTCTATACTCTTGCTATTGATTTGAAAATAGTCTGAGTTTTTTTTCTGAATTTTTATAAAAAAATTGGTTATGTATAATTTTTTTTTCCAACTTAGCCATTTGTCAAAACAGTATAATTTTTTTTCTTCATTTGCAAGATAGTGTTTGCTACTGTATGTAGGTCAAATAATAACCCACGAATTCTTTTTTACAAACCGATACGAAATTGGTTTAAGATACTTTAAAAAAGTCATAAGTAATGTACAAAGTAGAAATTACAAAACAGTTTTAAAAATACACTCGTGGACAAAAAAATTAGCGCAGCAAGAAGGAGTTGCCAAAATGAAACGAAATTTTACATACGTAATGACTACTTTGATATAAGTAAATGATTAGAAAATCAAAAAAACAGGATAATTTATTTCAGAGAAAAAGGCAAAAGAATGGAGGAGTTAATATCACATTGCACGATGCGATGCGGGCATTGAGGCATACAAGTTCTGTATGATGTCTTGAGACATTTCATGCCATATTTGCTGTAACCTTGCCTCTAGTTCGTTCAAACTCATGGGATGCCCAACTCGCCGTCCCAAATGATCCCAGATATGTTCGATTGGAGACAAATCTGGGGATCAGGCAAGCCAAGGAAGGGTAATAACAGTACGGAGACAGTCTTGTGACACCCTTGCCGTATGAGGCCGAGTATTGTCTTGTTGAAAAATGGCATGTGGTTGCAGGATTTCATGGACATACCACTGGGCTGTCATGGTGCCACGCAACAATACTAGGGATGACCGTGTATTGTAGGCAATTGCACCCCATACCATCACATCACAACCAGCTGTGGGAGCGGTGTGTTGCTGTACAGCAAAGGCAGGATTGGGGCGTTCACCACGAGGTCTCCATACATGAACATGATTGTCATCACTGTTGAGATTGAATCTGGATTCGTCGCCTAAGACGACCTGGTTCCATTCCGCTGCAGTCCAGTTTACTCGTGCGCGGCAAAACTGCCAACGGAAGCGTCGATGGGTAGGCGCAATTATTTCTCTGTGAATTTTTTTGTCCACGAGTGTATAACTGTTGCAGTCAAACTTTTATATTTGTGAGAAAACCATCTAAAGCTTACTATTAGAAATAGTGTTTTTTTTTGTTTTAAACTTTCTAAAAAAAAAAAAGAAACAAATCAAGTAATGAATGAAATGTGCACATTGCTCTCTCTTTTGACGAGAATTTGCTGCAATTTTCTGTTATTGTTAATTCAAAATATAACCACTTAAAATACATAATCAATAAAATAGTCAATAAATTTATTTATGTTAGGTTAGTTCAGCCTTTGCTGATGTCGCTTTCATCTGTTTTTAGCTAGGAATATTTTACTTTTAGCTAACTAGGTTTTCAAGTCTTATTTCTGAAAAAATAATTTAAAGTACAATAATTTTATAAGAAATATGTAGTATTGTCCAAAATGTGAACTTCTAAACTCCCAGGTACAAAAGATTTTTGGCACTAGGGGGGGGGGGGAGAAGGAATAAACTAATATTGAATTTTCCAGAAATAATAAGTAAGATTTAATTTAATTCCATATTCTTTCCGACTCTTCTAATTAGAGCACTTTAGATTATTCTACAGAAAATTCTTTCAATATAGTTAACATTTATTCACTCAATATAATTAAAACCTTAAAATATACTTTTAGTTTGGACATAAACCAAATGAAAGAAATATTCATCATTGTTTATGTAAATATGTTCCTTAGCTGTTTGTGTTACAAATATATAACAAAATAATATGAGTTTTGTTTTAACTTAGTAGATACATATCCTCATACTTTAGCAGTCTTGAAAATTGAACGTGTCCAAATTGTTGGCATAATTCAGAATACCAACCCCAACATATCCTGGAGTGTCTTGGTCTAGACAAAGGGGACATTCTGAATAACCCACTTTTGGTGGTCGACTTCCTCCGGGTCATGAGTTTCATGGACATTGTATAGCCCTGCTAACTTTGGGGATAAGGAAGAAGAATACCAACTACTGCAGTAATTTCTGGAAAATATACAACATTGATTATGCCTGTTTTATTTATAAACAAGAATTCTTAAAATATTTCTAGCATTAACGTGAAGATTGAATATAAATGATTCGATTCTGCACAATGTTTTGAAAATAAATTCTTATTTTCGAAACATTGAAACATTGTTTAAAAAATTAAATTCTTAATTTTTTAAAGCAATTTTAGCGGATATTTCCATCATTAATATCAATTGCAAAAATTACAAGTATGTATGCATATTTCATACTAAAAATAATTTCTAAACTACTGATAAAAAAGACACTATAACACAATTTTGTAGCTTCACAATGTTTTCCAATTAATGTTTGGAAAATCGATTATTACATATGTATTACAGTGATATGTTAAACATATTAAAATTGTTCATTTGTAGTGCAGAATAATAAAAATGCAAAGATTTTTTTTTTCTTCTTCTGAGAAAGTTTATGAATTTTCATAGCAAATTTAAAAAAAACAAATAGGTCTGGGCCGCGCAGAAATAAAATTTTTTGCAAGAATACTAAGAGATTAGACTTATTTCATATTGTACCAACTTTTGTAGAAAACATAAAACACATTTTTATCATATGCCTGTATTAATTCATTTAAGCCATCATAATTTTTATTGCCATTTGAGTCAGTTCAACATTAATTTGTTAATAATAAAATAATATTAAGTGTACTAATTTTTTGTGCATTTGTTTTGGGGTAATTAGGTGGTTTTGCCTTTGAACACAAATATTTTCAAACCCTGCAAGTGATATAATATATATTCAAGGTATTCCATGATAAACACTTTTATTATCCTTGTCAAAAATTAAACACATTATGAGTTACCAATTAATATTTAAGCAAAGAAAAAACACCATCAGAATCTAATAAACCTCTACTGAGGAAGGCAGGACTGTAAACTGAAAAACCAGCTTTATTTCAAGATGAAACTTTTTGACAAGGATTTTAAAAATATATGGATAATAATTATAAAACATCCTTTGAATCATTGATGCAGCAACTAATGAAACTTTTTTTTATACTGAAAAGAAAGAAAAAGCTTGACATGACACTTCTTTATTGTATTGAAATTTTATTTCAATTTCATTCACAGGAAACAGCATTTAATTTTAAATAATCTGTATTAAATAACCTTCTGCCAACAAATTCTACCTTCTTAAACATTTATTAAACTCACATTTTTTTTTTTAAACAGAATAAAAAAAGGACAGACTTGAGACAGATACAACAACAGGAAGAAGAAAATGATATAACTTACTAAAATATTGTGACTAGAAAATTATCTTGATGTGGTACAAATAAGAATATTTTAATTCCATAAATGTTTATTCACAGGAGGTTTTGGATATACATGGTAAACCTCTCGTACATAGATTCAGTTAAATGCTTATTTGCTTAGACATTCATTTCTGACACATTTATTTACAATAGCTCACTTTTAGCTAAAATAATAAAGAAATGCTGACACGTTTGAAAGACAAACTTATTAAACAGTCAGTGTAACAGAATATATTATTAACTTTGTTACACTCCGCAACATAGATCAGAAGCCAGCAGCCTTTCTAAAATCAGAGATGCACTGAATTATAATAAAGAATATTTTCATGATGATTACTATTAGTGAGAATCCATTTGAAGCAGTGATTGCATAGTGTTTTAGGTACAGTACAGAACCCGTTATCCGGAAATCAGAAAACCAAAAAACCGGATCAAAATATGATAAATTTTCCCGCCATTTTTAAAAAAAAAAAAAAAAAATTTCCTCATAAGATTTTTCCTTCTTTTTTGAAAGATGTTTACCTTACCATCATTTTGGAAATAATCATTAGTGTATTGCTTCATCGTTTTTTCTTCTTTTTAAGATTTTTTCCAAAAATTTTTTTTTAGTTGGGTTTAACAATAAAAAAAACGGCTTTCTGTAGCGATTCAGAAAACCGGAAAAATCAGTTACCCGGAATAGCAACGGTCCCGATTGTTCCGGATAATCGGTTCCCTACTGTATTTAGCTGTAATCTGCCATGTAGGCTCTGGATTCTAAACCCAGAATCAGCCTAAGAAGACACCATACCATGGGAGAAACTTTTTGACACAAATTCTCTTTCACCTCCTTAACTAATTTAAAGCATAGAAAAAGTGAATTCAGACAAACCTAGAGTAAGCCAAGCCATGAAGTTTCAATTACTGAAAAGAATTATTTTAAATAACAAAATGAAAATAAATTATGGAAAAATAGCTTATTACTCAAAGAAGTTCTCTTAAAATAACTTGGTCGCATTTTGATACTTTAAATTATTTTTTTCAGCAACAAACTTCATGGCTTACTCAAGATTTGCCTGAACCAATTTTTTCTTTTTTTTTAAATTAGCATTGATTGAAGATAAAAGGAAATTTGTGACGAAAAATTTCTCCTGTGGTATAGCATCCTTTTCCAGCTACAGATCAATGAGTAACAGTTAATCTGAAAAGTAAAGATGGCAGTTTTACAATACTGACCACACCACTACCATCATGCCATTGGTTAAAATATTGTAGAGCCTCAACCTTTGCGACCCCCTCAGTTAAAAACTGGCTTTTCTAGAAGAGCTTTACTTTTAATAGTCCATTTACATTAACAATGAAGTCCGAATTTTTTGGATAAATACTACATTAAATATTTTTTATATTTGTTCATAAATTTAAAGAAATCTGTATTGACCGTTGCACTAATCATGCCATAAAAATGTGTCCCATTTAAGGTAATCAAATTTCCAATGAAGTTTATGGAAAATACTTTGCTATGTGACCAAACAAAGTATTATTTAAATTCTTGTATAGTAAGAGGGGCTAAGTAGTAATTATCCCTAATTTAAATATTCAGAAATTTAGGCACATATTAATTTACATAGATGGTGACAAAATCTAAAAAATATTATAAAGTGAATAATAACATGTTAAACTACTTTTAAAAAAAACTTAGTGGCTTGCTGACTTCTTATTTAAATAACCAAAACCCGGTAAGTGAATTCTCATGTATGGGAGTAAGGGAAAAAGAGTTCCCTTGAATAATCGATATTAAAGTTTCACAACTTCTTGTAAACCAACCACATAATAACAAGTTTTACGACAAACATTTGAATAAAAAAATTAAATAATGCACAATATAAAATAGCTGCAATGTGCATTTTTAAAATGCCTACTTACAATTACTCATAAAAATTAAACTCTAAAGCAAGTTTGAAATAAATCAACCTTCAACCTATAGTTATAAAGATCTTATAGTTTGCAGATTTCAATAGACATGAAATATATTACTGGTCTTAGATCAGAGCTTGTTCTAGTGCAATATGTTAAGTATAGGATATCTGATCACAACCAGTGGTTTATAAATGTTAGAAAGAAAAGTTTTAACCTAAAATAATGAAAACAATTCAATAAGTAATATAGAATTCTTCAGGCAAAAATCATTGGGTCATGAATTTTAACAAATACACTATGCAGGTCGCTGTTAAAAAGTAATTATTTTATCAGAGTGGAGGAGATCCAAATCGTAATTATTAATAACAATTGTCACAAGGCTGGAGTTTCCATTTATACAAAGTACCTTTGATATTGTTCAAAAATTTTCATATAGCAGTAATCAAATCTTTCGGCTTTAAAATGCATTCTAAAAATGTATAAGCTAATTATGACAAAGGAAAGATATACCAAATACATCTAAATATGAATAATTAAACAAATAAAAATGCAGTTATATTTTTTATAGTAAAAATACACTTTATAGTATTGTCTTATAAAGTTAACATGGAGAACTATTTTAAAAATTTTACTAATTATTTATCTGGTGAATAATTTAGCCAAGAACAACAGTGCAAATAGTTTTTTCTAAACACTGAAGTTCCCAGAGAAAATAAATTTGAGTGATCTTAAAATTTATTGCCTAGATTATAAATTATTGAAATAGCTAAAGAAAAAAATGGGATAGGCACAGGCATGAGATTCTTCATCAGATCATTTATGTATGAACTTTTCATCATTTTATATTTTTTCCTGTATGATATTTTATTACTTTTGTTGAAGTTTAAAATATATATATACTTGCAAAAATATTTCATCACAAACTTTTCAGAATTTTTAGAAACTAATCTGATAAAACTTTAAATCAATGGATTGATATCAGGAGCAGGCAATTTGAAACTTTAATTGTAATTTATTAAGGAATTACTAATTAACTATTGTAAAGTATTGTCAGTTAAACTTAGGTTTTGTATGGTCAGTTTAGCCACATAAGTCACATACTTACATTAACAGTTTTATGCTGATGATCTTATTTAATTAAATAACTTAATGTAGCATATTCTATTCAACATGGCAAGGCAATCGACATTTTTTTAATATTGTGCATTCTTACCAGTAGATATATGATATATCAATTCTGTAGTAATAAGCTTTATAATTTTGGTGTAAATGTTATTATATAGTATTAAATTTGTTTTTTTTTTTTTCAACCCATTAAACAGCATTTATACACACTATTAACCAAATTTTCTGCATTAGCATTTCTTTTTCAGTTTTATTAAATTTCCCTTTTTTTTGTTTTTTTAATATTATTTAATGCTTTTAAGCATCAATACAACTGTTATTTTTGAAGGAAAAACTTAGCATTAAAAAAATTTTCCTGTGTTTTAAGAGTTTAAAATCCCTTTAAATATTATCAAACATAACACATTTCCACCATTTAAAAATTGATCTATACATAAAAAATTTTAATAAATGAATCGAAAATTCATAACCCTATGATTAATGTTGATTCATTTTGAAAACTGGCAATTGCCTTTCATAATATTGAATATTTCCGGGGGGGGGAAATGTTATTTTTCAAGACACTGACTATAAGATAGATTCAAAAAGCCTTACTAAAACCAATTCTTAGCTTCATTAGAGAAACATTGATTCAGTAAGTATATTGAGTATTTAGCAATATTATTACACTGAGACATTATTAGCTCATATTTAAGCAACATCTCTATCATATGCTGAAATGTCTAGGAGTGAAATAAAAATCTAAATAGAATGACAATCTTTTTAAAGCATACTCCTTTCAGCAAATTTTCAGGTTAAAATCATTTATATTTCAAAATTTTAGGAATCAATACAAAATAATTTCCATACAGAAATTTTAAATAATTACATTATAATAAAATAATACCAAAGAAATAAATTTAAAAAAAAATTTATATATGCAGGTTCAAATTACTTTAATTCTATACATGGAATAACATGTTAAGTATCCCTAAATTCTAGTTTGATTTTGAAAAAAAAAAATTATATTTCACTATTTTGTGTTGATTCTATGAAATTAACTCAAAGATGTATATTACTCAAAATAATTATTAAAAAAATCTTATACTATTTCAATAAAAGCTTTCTTTAAAAACATGAACTTATAATTACAATAACAATTTTGAAGAATTTGATATTAGTATAGTAATTATTAGAATCGAAAGTGCTAAAATTTTAAATAAGTGCAAGTAGTCACCAACTTTACAAAACATGCAATAAAATGCATCTTCAAGGCTTTATTTTAGTGCAAAAGAGTATTATATTATTGCAAGGTATCTAATAAAAAATATTGTACTAATATAAAAGCTACATATAATGCCCTTTTAAAGTATTAAGATGCCTTATAAACATTATTAGAATAAGACAAAATTTTTATAATAATTTCATTTTCCTTTATCAGATAAATTACATGAATTACTTCAATTCTCTACATTAATATTTTAAATTGAATTATGTTTAAAATGAATCCTCATTTACAATAAATAATTATAATAAATTAATATTTTTATTAAATAAATTTATCTTAGAAAAAATTTGAAACATATTGTTTGATTAACAAAAAATTTTTAGCTTGCAATATTTTTAAAATTTTTACTTTTAATTAGGCTATTTTGGAAAAAATTGTACGGAATTTATACGCATGTGACACATTCAATTTGAAACACAAAATTTTTAAATATATTCCTTACATGCTATTGTTAAAATTTAAATTTTTTTAATAATAAACTTAACACAAATCTCCTAAATACTATTACAAACAAAACAAAAGATATAACCATTCCAAAATGAGAACATAGTTAAAAGAAAAATGCAGCAGTGCAGATTACCAGCCTGCAGTTTAAAATATATTATTAAACACTAACAATGCATATCTCATAAAAAATAATTTATGACCAACCACACTTTTCTAATGTTAAAAATAAACTTGTATATATTTTTATGCTGAAAAAATAAACTCCATACAATGATCAGATTCCAGCTGATCAGGGAAAAAGTAAGAATATACTAAGAAAAATATTACATTAAGACAATAACTTAATGTAGAATTCATAACATAATTATTCTCATATTTTTAAAACTTCAAAAAAGTTCTGAACATTATCTGTATACTATGTAAACAAATAAAATTTTGATTTTTGTAAAGTCTCACTCATATGAAAAAATCAAGTCCTTGCTAAATAAAATTTTTAAAAAAAACTAATCCTGACAACATTATTTTAGTATGAACAACATGGGTGTTTGATAATAAAACGTAAATAATTATTTTACAGTGATGCAATATTTAAATGCAATTTTATAAAACATCAGGAAAATTTCAGCTATTATGTAAATTTTTCGTGTAAAATAAAAAATTAAAGGAGCCAAAATATCACCAAATAAAACAATCCTAAAATAACAATGGAGGAAATAATCCATTTTTCAAAAATGAATAAATAAATAAAATAGTGCTATTAAACTAAAGAGATATAATAAAATTAGATATAGTAAATTGAAATTAATCTGGCTCACAATATATTAAAAATATCCCTCCGACCTTAATCTTCCTGAAATAAAATATATTATAAGACTCTTTTTTTTTTTTACAACCGTAAAATTCATTTGCCAATAGGCTTTCAGCGATTCTATCAACTTAAAAAAGTTCACCGAAACTCAAAAGACTTAGCATTCCAGACAACAATATAGATGGTAGTTTAAAGTAGCCAAACAGTCAAAGGTCATTCTCTTGTAGAGAGAAATATTACATAGTCAACATATGTCTACATTCAAGAAGAATCTAAAATAAATGCTTTGAAGTTACTGGCTCTGCATGGAGGCTCCATGTCCAGTCATGTATGTCACAGTGGAGCCACTTTTCAGTCCAGTCATTTCAGTGACATTGTCACCAGGAGCTGGCATTGCCATAGCAGGTCTGGCATCTGAACTTTGAGGTTGACTGCGAATGGGAGATGAGGGAGCACTGCCCCCACTTTCATACTCCTCCTATTAGATAAAAAAGAACCATTAAAACTTACTTATTTGAAAAGTAACGTAAACATAATCAGGGGTCGCAACTTCCTAATAAAAATAAGGAAGTGGCAGAAGAGCTATGATATTTTTCACTTATTTTTTGATGAAATGAGATGTTTTAACAACCACAGCATAATAACAATTTAAGTAATAATATTTTGCTATAAAACTGATCAAGGTGTTTTTAAATTAAAGCAGAATCTTTAAGTTAAATATTTTGTGAACTTAAAGCTTAATCAAAGTTAAAGCTTTTGTTTGCTAGTTTAAAGTAAATTAGGTACTATATAATTATTAAAAAATTTTCAGATTACAATCGTTGCATTATGAGATAAGAAACAGTCACTTTTACCGTAATTTTTTTTAAGCATAAATTGTCATGCAGGGATATTGATTGTTGTATGACATGTTTCATAGTTTTGAGCATTTTCTGAACTTATATATATAAATACTGATGTTTCTATACATTTTAAAGCTGATTTTCTGAAGTTCATTCAAATATCATTTATTATTCCAATGCACTAAGTTCTTTACCCGGGATTATTTCTTATAAATATTCAGTATTTCATTGGTAAAAAGAAAATTTTGCTTTATTCAATAAAACAATTTTTGAAACTAAAAACACTTAAAAGAAAAAGTTCAATTACAGATAAGAAAGGCTTTATCACAATTAGAAAAATGTCATAATTGAAAATTTTATAAATGAACTTGAAGAGATTCTGTAATTACAAAAAGATATATATATATATATATATATATATATATTTGATATTTTTAAATTTAAGCTAATTAAAATATTTTTATCAAGCAACTAAATCAAGTCATGAATACCTTTAACTTTTTAATAACTAAAAACTTTTAAAACCTAATAAAATGTAATTATTTTTGCTTCAAATTTGTATTACATTAAAAACAAATGAAAGTTTACTTACTTTTAAATTACAGTAATCTCCACTGTCTTCTGGAGGTCTAGGTTTACATTTTCCACAACAGAAGTTACAACAACAGCAGAAACAGCAACAAAGATAGCATCCAGTGATAATACCACAAAAGACAAACAGTCCCTAGAAAGAATCAGAATATGTATGTTTATTTTGGTATATTTGCTCTGTTTTTCAAAATTCTTTAACTAGAGAAAACACAAAAGCAATTATTCTTGTGTAGCAAACTTCAAGTAGAGCTTTTATTTTATATTATTTAACAAAGTTTATTAAAGTATGCATTAATCAGAGTAATCAGCAACTTTAATCAGACAAGAAATTAATTAGTAAGCAAATAAGTTCATCTTGATGCAAAAAACAGATATATCTCCAACTTCTAAAAAATTCTAAATATAAAAAAATGGATATTCAGAGTATTTAATACCCGCCAATAATTCAGTAATTTGAAATGAAAAAATTAAAACGGAAAATTCATAAAAGACAATCCATAACTAAATGAGCATAAAATGTTGATGTAAAATAATTCTTAACTTCAGTTACATTGGTTATTATTATTCAAATACATTAATCAATTAAAATTATTACTCATAATACATAAAAAAAATTTTTTTGATCACATAAAATAAGTTAAATTAATAAATACCAGTTTAATTAATATCACTTTACATTTCTTTAAAAAAAATTTCTACTCTGATAAGAAAAGCATATTGTTTTCTGTTCTTTCTTGCTAGCTTTCTTGAAAAGTAGGTAGTACGCAGTAACTTAAATTATGCAAAATTTTAACGATTAGTTCATTCACATTTAACTATTCAGGTAAGTACTTGTCATGACTCTTTTAAAAACAATATTAAATATAAAGTTAGTCCTTTACATTCTTTATTTACCTCTAGAAGATTAGAGGAAATATGAAAACATTTTAACTTTTAAACAATATTCACTTTCTTTTCATAAGTTTAAAAAGTAACTATAACTGAATAATTTTATGAATTAATGCTAGCATAATTTTTTCATTTTAAAAGAAAATATTAAGATAATCTATTTAAATTTATTTCTTTAAAAACAAATTATTTTATTATAAAAACAAATGCATTTACAATTTTTTTTTCAATATTTATGATATAAATTTTATTAAAAAATAGTGCAATGCGTACAATGATAAAAAATTTTTTAAAAAAACATACTTAAATGTTATAATAATTCACAGACTGAAAATAAACTCTTAGAGAAAAAGAAAACTTTTCATACTATAAGCAACATCAAGTTCGAAAATGTAAATAAAAAAATTACTTAAATTCATTAATTTCAAAATATTTAGGATATAAATTAAGTATCAAATTATAACTTTAATTTACAAAGCCTTGAACCTAAGTTAACGCATATTTCAGAAACTCTACGGTATATGCAATAAATCAAAATTAATAGTCATAAAATTAACAGTTCAACTTTGATGACATTGCAATCTAAATTGCTATTTAATTAAAACCTAAAATCATGTAAAACCAACCCTAAGAGGAACCTAAATACATAAAACTCACTTTACACCATCCACTTGTCAACACAAAATAAGTATTCACATTTTCTTCACCAAATTGTTCAGCAATATAGAGGCCTAGTGAGCCATAATTATCATAGATATTCCTTTTAGTTAAATCACTCAATATACTGTGAGCTCTGTTGATGTCTTTAAACTAAAAGAAGAAAAAAATACTCAAACTTGATGCTTTTTATTTAAATAATTTAAAAGAGATTCACGAATCATTTATAATTCTTATTTACTAAAATGAATACTATATAGATATAAACGAATATACTAAATGGATATAAATGAATAGTAAAATGGTATACAAATAAACATACACTATTGGGAAAAATGTTTATCAATAGTCATCATTAAAAATCGCATCTTAACCAACTGATGGTTCTGTACGTAAAAAGTCATATTTCAACCTGCAGTCTTCTCTCCACAGAGCAAAACTGGTTTTTCCATGTTATTAGATAGGGAGAGTGTATTGAGGAGAAACATTCTCCCAATTTTGCCTATTTGCTAAACCGCCAGAGGGTTAAAATAAGAAAATCCAAACTTTCATCAAAAGATATCAAGGTGTTTGCTTTTTATTTAGCACACTATACATGGGTGGCACTATAGAAAAACTTAAGACTGAACTTATTTTTTGACTAATTAACAGGGTCTAGTGCTACTTAAAAAAATAATAATAATAATAATTTGCTCACTTTTCATTAAAATGGTCTGCAAATTCTACCAATGATTGATTTTTTTTTTTAAATATATTTTTTTTCACTTTATTGGTTTATTTTTTTACAGAAAAAAAAGTTAACATTGTATATTTTTTTGCATTCTTGCTGAATTACACCACTAAACTTTTCTTGTAGTTATTCATATTTTTTACTTATTTTACACTTTATTATTAGTATTTTGTCCAAAATCTACCAATTTAATATTTTAAAAAATTAATCTTAATTTAACTTTGCCCAGGATAAAATGTTTCAGAAAAAACACAAACTCAAGCAGATGTTGAAATCCCATTCTCTCATTGTGGTGTGATATCACTACATGATCATTTTGCAGTAATTATGAAAAACAATGATATTTTCATAAAAAATAATAATTTTTTCTATTTATTTTAACATAAAACAATCTTTATATATTTTCAAAGGAAAAGTTAATATGTAAACGATAACTTAATTTAGAAGACAAATCGGAAATAAATATTTATTGGAGGACAGAAAATCAGTGAACTGCTTTTTGCAAAAGACTCAATCCTCAGGACAGAAGAGTGGCACCCATGTTTATACTATATACATTGAAAAAAATTCTTCATGGGAAAGATTATGAATTTGGGTAGGTCTTTTAGCAGTACCATGTTCCAGTGGTTGCTTGAAATCAAAATAATAGGAACTAGTTATCAAAGAACAAGGTAAGGATGGCATGACTAGTGAAAAGTCAAGGATTCTTGCATAACAAAGCAGTGCCATTGTTTTAAACTTCTTTAAGCAGCAGAAAATTGAATTTTGCCAAACAAACATATTTATGACAATAAAATAGTGGGTTTATTGCCTAAATGCATAAGGTAATTTTGCATGACTGATATACTAAACATGGAAAGTGAAGCATTTGTATAGAAGCTTATTGATCTTTCCTAATAATTTTCTATAGTTTACAAGAGATAGTTTACTGCATTATTACATGTGTAGCGAAACATTTGGTAAAAAAAAAGCTGAAAATATTCAGAATTGAGAGATAATTTGCAAAATGAGCCAAGAGAATTTTCCATATTCCTAATTAAGTACAAACCCATAATAATAAATACAGTGGAGTCCCGATTATCCGAGTTTCTGCTTTAACCGAGCTATCAAATATTTCAGGGATTTTTTTTGTTTAGTTTATTTTTCATTTTTAAAACTGCAGTCAAAAAAAATTCTGAATTTTATCTTCCAAACATTTAGGAAAATAAAATCCAACAACTTGATCCAATGAAATGATAGATAATATCGTCAATAATGAAAATGAATCTACCAAAGATGAAGACAGTGACGATGAAAATCAACATATAAAAATTTCTCATACAGATGGACTAAAAGCTATCGAAAGTGCTGTGCTATTGAATACGTAGAACAAGAGACAGCAGCATTCTTTTTATCAATAAAAAATGGTGAAACATTGTTGCAGAAATGTGGCAAAGTAATGTAAAACAAAAAAGGATCAAGGACTTTAAGTAAAAACTCTTCCATTCTTGTAAGGTATGCTCTTTAAGTGTTTTTAAGTAAGCATTTTAATTAAAATATGAATTGTATGTTGTGTACCTGTATAATTTTGTACTTGTTAAATACATTACATTTATCCCTACTCTTTTTTTTCCCTTTTTTACATTCTTCGCTTTAACTGAGTTAATTGTGGTCCACATTAGCTCTGATAACGGGACTCTACTGTACTAATATAATTAATTGCTGATATTAAAACTTAAACCAAGAGGAGATTAATACAATTCAGATGCACTTTAATTATATTTATAAACATAAGTATAAAATATTTTCATCTAAAAATAAGTTTAAGCAAATTAATATAAACCTTTTCAGATGCACTTGGGTCATTTGGATTTTTATCAGGGTGATATTTCAAGGCAAGCTGTAAATAGAAATACAAGAATTTAAAAAATGTAGATTGCATTGAAAAAAAAATTACAACAACTTTTACATGCAATCACTAATAGCTATACACTATGAACTATACAATAAAATGTTTTTGAAACAGCATTTACAATAAGGAACCTTTTAATTAAATCAGATTAGTTTTTGGAATTTAAAATTAGAGAAGTAAAAAACATTTAAGGAGTGTTTAAAATAGCATTTTAAAACATGATTTGGTTCTTACGTGTCATAATTCTAAGAATAAATAAATGAACAAATAAAAATAATATGCATTAACTATTAACATGTAATAATGTTTCAGTTTTTAAACCAAAATATGTATTTAATTCAATTAATAAGCAAGCTTCAATAACTTGTAATCAAAGAAGAATTACAGGATTTGAACATAAACCTGCCATCAGAAGGTTTTTAAAGTTAGAAATTACAATTTTTATTTGAATTATTTATTTTGCCTAACTCTAAAATATACTGCAAAATTAAAAAATTTCAGCATTTTTTTTAACATCATTATTATTATCAATTTAGATACCAAGTTCAGTGTGGCAAATAATTCTATGAACTCTTTGTTTATTTATATAATATAAACAATTTGTTGACTGGTAGCGAATTAACTCTTTTCATGTCCAAACACTGCTGCTTGATAGAATTAACTCATCAAAGCACTTATTATTATTTATTTGAATTTGTGAAATCCAAAGCGATTAGAATATTGCTAGAGTTTAGCGCATAGTGTTTAGTCAAGAAGCTTCACACGTTGTGTATCAAAATTAATTAATAGCCAGTGAGAGGACATAATTAGTGTTCAAAATTGCTGGTCAACAATGTGTTAAGACAATGACATTTTTTAAACTTAAATAGCTTACAAAAACCTATTTTAAATTGATAATTTACAATTATCTTCTTAACATGAACTTTGCTAAATAACTATAATACTAAAACAATAAAAATTTTAAAAATTTAGTAAATAAATTTTAAAAATTAAAACTGGCAATTAATAAAAGGACTAACTTAATATTATTAATAAAAAAATAATGATTCAAAACAAACAAACCTTTCTGTAAGTTTTTTTTATGTCATCTGCAGTAGCAGTCTTCGCTATACCCAGAGTAATATAGAGGGAATCACCAGAAGTACTGAAAAATAAATGTAAGATGAATGTTGGTATCAATGTTCTCCTTAAATGTTTTTAGAAGGGTGCCCCACCCTACCTGCCCTTTTACAGATATAAATGCACCCTTCTTGCCCTTTTTGTCGTCCCTCCTTTTTTTTTTAAGTTTAAGAAAAGAGATGGCAGTAGTAGAAAAATGGAAATTCAGATTACCATACTATGATGAATTATTTTAAGGCTTAGTTCATATATATGGAATATCATTTCTCATATTTATTAGGTATTTTGAATTGTGTTTTAAAGAGGACAAATCTATCTTAATATAATTGATATAAATTGCAAGATTAGTGTCCTAGTAAACTGAAGGTGTCCTTGTTTTTGAAAAAGCATCCTGATTTTTTTTTTTTTTTAAGGAGATCTTTGTTACGATTCAGGTAACCTTAAAAATCATTTTTTTTATATCTAATTATTATTAAATGAAATGCATGGAAAGCCTGAAGAAAAACTAATAAAAATCATGTACAAAGTAATGAAAATTATTTAACATGCAGTAACAGGGTGGCCACTCTCCAGATCAAAAAAAATTCCCTGAGTTTTCCAGACTTTCCAGAGTAAATTTCTAAAATTCCAGATACCACAACGCAGCATTAACGAGACTTCATATATTTATTAGCTACACAACAATATACAGTAAATAAAAAAAATATATACTATATATATATACAGCTGTGTTGCTTTTAAAATGTGCTGTATGAATTTCTTTTACAAATGTGGATACACATTTACAAGATTTGATGACACATTAAAATGAGAAAAAAGTGTAAATGTTCTCTGATAAAACAGGTGGAAAAAGTTAGGCATTTCTAGCACCAAAAAATATATATTAATACCCATATTTCTGCTAAAAATATAGATTATTGAAATAGCAGCCATAAAATTCTCATATAAAAAAAATAACTGCTGTATACTCAACCATAAAAATAAACTTAAAAATTAATAGTAGTTTATAAAAATTATAAAAAAAAAATCTAAATTTCAAGGAATTTTAGAAACTTTATTTTGTATAAAATAAAAAGTTTTTATATAAATAGCTTAGTACACAAATTGATCAACTCCATCAAACTAAAAATTTAGAATTGAGATCGAAATTACTTGTGAAATAAATTATCAATAAATGAAAAGCCAAAAATACTTAGTCATATAATGTTGTTCATTTATATTATCTGGGAAACTTACTTTAAATATAAATATAAAAAATATACTACCTATATATATATTAATATATTCTTTGACACTTAAGTTTGAGATGTTTTAAAAAGTGGAGTTAATCAAATTATACAGTATAAATAGCTCAACAAGTGAATAATTGAAAGCTTTTAAAAATTAATTTCTTATAGCTTTTAATTGTTCATCAATTAAAGAAGTTTCTAAATAAAATTCAGTCGTTAATTTTTGTTTTTTAGCATGCAATTCTTTTTTTAATTTTTCATTTTGCCTCTTTTCTAACATAACTTTCTTTTTTTCTTCTGCTGCCTCCTTCCTTTTTTCTAATACTTCAATATAACGTGGGTGAAACTGCTTTCCGTAGTTTATCATGGATTTCGTCACAGTTATATTGTTAACATCACCAGCATCCATAACATCATCATGAATTTGCCTTAGAGCAACTAAACTATCTTCGTATTCATTTTTTATTAAACAATCTGAATTAATAGAAAAGCCCCTTTCTATAACTTCAGACCTGTGACACACTTCGTGTGACAATATGAGGAGAAGCTTAACAAAGGAACGTAAATTTTCTGGTGCATTGCAAACTTCAAATAGAGAGAAGAAAACATTATCCAGTCGTTTTTCCCTCTTCTCAAATTGTTCCATTTCTTTCTTAACTAAAGGATTCCGAATGAACGTTTTGTAACTATCTTTCACACAGTCAGTCTTGATACCTGATATTCAATTGCTAGATACCAACATTGAAAGGCAAGATGAAAGTCGTTTTTCAGCAATTGCTGTATTTAAAATTACACCAGGATCAAGACAAGATAGCCCCCTTGTTAACTGGAATTTAAAAGGTGATCTTTCTAAAAAAATTTCACAGAATTTTTTTATAAGCAATTGCACATTCTTTCCTAAATGAAAATTCTTCAGAAGGAGAAGAATCTTTTATTTTCCTAATTTCATCCTTAACTGCAAAACTGAGAGCAACTTCGTTGATTGGAAGCATATTATCTGCCAATGACAAATCTATTTTTCCTAATTTTGAAGAGTTCTCCACTAAAATATCGGGTTTTACAAATTTATCAAGAAGAGATCTTAAAATTTATGTTAAATTAGAGAAAAGTAAAGGAGCTAATGGAGCATCGATCTGAAATTCTGTGAGAAATGTTTCAATAAAAGCAGCTAATGACTGGAAAACTGTCCTTGATACACTCCAAAAGTACACTGAACTTTTTTGAGCCAACATAGATTTTTTTCTCCTTCTTTGCTGCTTTTACAAATTCGAAAATATGAGGCAACATTTGTAATGCCCTCTCAGCAACTTCTACATTTTGAACCCATCGGATTGCACAAAATTTCTTCGGAAATTTTTCACATCCAGTGAAATATATGAAATCAGCTCTATGTGATGGTACATCTTTAAAAATGTAGTATAGCGCCCGTAAAAAGTTCACTACATTCCACCCTGTAGACTATATTACATGTTTAAACCCACAATGGATTGTATGCAGTCCACAGCTACCTATATCTAACAGCAAAGGATCTTGCGGCATTTACTCAAGTTCTTTTTTAAGATCATTAAGAAATTTATGGTTGACATTAGGTCCATCCATAGATATTTGAATTATTTTATTTTTATTGATGAAAAATTGGGTAAGGGCTTCTTTGAAATTATCCAACAAATCCATTGCTGTTGAATGACCAAGAAATACTGATGTCAAATATCGTGTCTGAACTTTATTTGTATCTTTATTCCAAAGTCGAACACTTATGTCCATTTGTTGTTTCTGAGCGATTTTATTTAGACTTTCATCAAAGCCCATAACGAAATAATCACAGCTAGCTATGTTTTTTTGTAATTGCTCCCTATAATCAGGCATGAAAGTGGACAAAAATAAAATAAAAAACTGAACTTTCACAACGCAGGTCACTGGGAGGAGGGGGGGGAGAGTTCTATATGATACTGAGATTTATAAAAGCAACTTTTAATTATGCTGGGAGATTTTTATTCAATATTTAAAGTGGCAGAAGCATTTAGACAGTTAACTTTAAATTTTTCTTAAATATAATTTTAAAATTTTGACCACTAACATATTAAAAAAATTAAGCAATTATAGGAAGGCACGACTATTAAATTACTTACTAATGAAAAATATATCACATCTTTATAGTAACTAATTCAAGAGAAAACTTACTTCTACTTCTTTCAAGAATCTTGATATTGGATTTTTAAATCGCATGAATATGAATCACGATTTTGGATTTCAAAATCGCGTGAATATGAATCGCGATTTTGGATTTCAAAATCGCGTGAATATGAATCGCGATATTGGATTTTAAAATCGTGAGAATATGAATCGCCTTTTTGGATTTTAAAATCGCGTGAATATGAATCACGATATTGGATTTTAAAATAGCGTGAATATGAATGGTGATTTTTGATTTTAAAAACACGAAAATACAAATAACGATATTGGATCTTAAAATCGCGTGAATACAAATCACGATATTGGATTTTAAAATCGCGTGATTATGAATCGTGCGGTTGGATTTTAAAATCGCGTGAATATGAATCGAGCTGTTGGATTTTAAAAACACGAAAATACAAATTGCGATATTGAAATTTTAAATCGCGTAAATAAGAATCACGATGCATAATTTTTAAATCACGTGAATACGAATCGCAGTGAGTAATTTTTAAATAGCGTACAAATACGAAAAACGATATCTGATATTACAACTGCGTGAAAACGAATCGCAAAATTGGACTTAAAAATGCGTGAATACGAATCGCTATGTTGGATTTTAAACTCACGAGAATACAAATCGCGATATTGGGTTTCAAAAACGCTTAAATACAAATCGCGATATTGGATTTTTAAATTGAGTGAATAGGAATTGCTAGTACGATTTTTAAATCGCGTAAAAAAATTGCAACACATAAGTTTTAAATCAGTTAAATACGAAAATCGATGATTGATATTAAAATCGTCTGATTAAAAATCGCGATTTTAGCAGATTCCGGTGCAGTTCCTAATATTTAAAAATCCAAAAATCTATCAGACAAAAAAAAAAAAAAATCAAATATCGGCGATCGAAACGAAACGCTTAGACTCCTTTCCACTCTATAGCGGAAGTCGCAGTAATCCGACTATTGTTCGGATCGGAAAATTCTATCCGACTATTGTTCGCAAAAATCGGATATCCGCTTTTTCGCGGGGACACGAAGCGTTCATTGGGGATAATCAATTGATGCTTGACCGCGAAGAAGCAGATGTGTTTCGCTCCGAAAAACTAAACATAACGGAATGGGAAGGAAAAAAACGGCAACGCGCGACAAAATTATTTTCCAGAATCGACGTGAAATTCCCTGAGAATTCCCGGTTTTCCAGTGGTGTTTCAAAATTCCCTGAGAATTCCCGGTTTTCCCGGTTTCCAGACTGAGTGGCCACCCTGAGTAACAGCTAAAAAAGAAATTGGCTAAATTATGTGGTTTGTATAGATAAATGCAAAAGTGACAAATATATTGAGTTTAACTAAACTAAACTCAGTGGCACGACAGCCCACAGAGAGCAAGGCTTACTGTGCCCATCTCAGTTTTTCCAACCTTGGGCTCTGGGGTGCAGGAGCAGATGTTCCAGTTAGGTGGTCAGCCGAACGTGGAATCCCCAGTGTTTAGCTCCCAAGCATGCTTGGTACTCATTTACCGACCAACTGAAGGGATAAAAGGTTGAATCAACTTCGCCCGCAGATCGAACCCAGGACCTGTGGCATGGGAGAGCGAAGCACTACCACTCAGCCACCGGGCGTCATTGACTTTAACTAATAGTTCTTTTTCATTTTTTGTGTCGTATTTACTTTAACACATATATCAGGGTTTCTACTCTTTCAACAAAGCAAAAATTAAGGATTTTTTATAAAAAAAAACAAGTACTTTTTTTAAAAATTAAGGACTTTAAAAATAGTATGATTGTTTATCATCGAATACATGCATGCCACCAGTGACAGTTCCAAATATTTACCTTTCTAAAAAAATCAATAAATTAAAAAAATAAAAAACAATTTTATTATAATGTAAGAACTGATATAATTGTATTAATTAACAGGGATCATTAAAGAAGTACCAGGCAATTTTTGCAAACCCTGGTTGGGGTTTTTTCTAAATAACATTTTCAGATTGTTAAAAATTAGCATAACAAAAGTCGCAGACCACTGCTCAGAAGTTTCCAAGACTTGAGAGATTATTCTGCCACAGATCACTATACGGAAATCTGCACAAACATTGAATACGTAAGCATCTCAGCTTAATTTATAATTTGTTCAAAAATGCAGGCTGAAATACACAAAAAACATAAGATAGAAGTTTGAAGCAATAATATAAAATTTATATTTTCGTAAAGATAGCAGCATTCGTAATCATGAAAAACGAAGCATAATTACAACAACAAAAAAGGCTGATTATAAACCGTATATAGCAAAGAATTATTAGTTGCATATTTCATCTTTTTCTTTCATCATTATTATTGAAACCCAACTTACATCAAATAGAAAGAAATGTCATAGGTATATTATATTTTTTAAGCTAGCATTTCGTTATTCCAATATTTACATTTATTTTAATAACAGAAAATCCAAGATTATTATAAGCTGAGTTTAAATTATCATTTTAAATGAATTTAAGCTACAGTATCATACAAAGAGGAATATTCAGTCAATTTCTTTTAATGTGGAAGAGAAAATAAATGAACAACAAGTGTTAAAAATATTTCAATGAAGTTAGACCATGAATATTTATTTAAAAAACAAATTAAAGAATAAAAACAGAAAAAAATAAATGAAACAAATCACAGAAAAAAATTAATTTAGCTTACGAAAGTTTACGAGCAGATGCTGCCATATTGATATTATTATATTAAAGCCGGTATCGATATTTGATTTCAAAATATGTATTTTTAATCATTTATAGAAAGATGGGCATTAATAAGTATCCTAAATGCTCAATATATCTGTCAAAATAGACAGAAACCGTGAACTTGCCGACATAATTTTGACGTCATTAGAGTATTGAAGATGGAAGTACGTGTTGCCACCAAATTATGTATTATATAATTCGAAAATTAAATATTTCAATTTCGTTAAAAAAAAAAAAGCCAAACAACATTTCTTGCTATTACCTATATATTTTAAACAATATTTCCCTTTAATTGGTGTTTTATAAGATCAGATAAAAAAATTAACTACTCAAGCTACAAGCAAAACTACTTAATATCGAAACCTAAAACGAAACTGAAAGAAATGGCGCAATACTAAGTAAGTGTGCTTTGTAATTGGGTACTTGCAACTATAAGCGAAGAAGTGAAGTAATTATGCCTAAGCATATGATTTAAATCAGAGTTAATTGTATACCTTTAAATGACGGAACGCGTGTACGTCGAACTTGACTGACTTCTGAATCGACAACTGCCAAGCAGTGCCTTTGAAAGACATTGTTACCATTGGACATTGGAGATACTGTAAACGGCACCCTTAACTAAATTTTTTTTAAACAATTTTTTTTTTTAAATCTTTGAATTTTGTAATTATAATACTTTCGAAAAATGAGAAATGCTTTTTTTTTTTTTTTTTTTAATTTTAAATTACAATATTTCTATCAGAGAATTATAAAATCTATATCAATCCTAAAAACAAAATAAATTACAATTAATGCATTCAAGTTTTAAAAAAAGGAAAGGCTTTCGTTTAATTAATGTGAATATCACCTCAAGTATTCAAGATATAATATTTATTATAGGTATAGGTAATATTTTTAATCAGCCAGCATAAACATTAAAATCTGTTTTTTTCGCGTTTTACAGTCATGAACAATTTTATAGACTCTTCAAATCCAGTTGTTCTTGCTGTTTTATTTTTGATATACACTATAGTTGTAATTTGCGTTCAATATATCGCCATTTTGTTAAAAACAAATTTTAAAAAGAAACATTTTTGCCGTCGTCTGCCATAAAACAATGTGTAGGTTTATAAATATTTTTAATATTTTAATATGCATTTATAAACTCATTTATTCCTCCGACTATTCAGTAAAATGTCCTTCAATGATTTACTCATAAACACATTTAATGACTATTTATAGCCGACTCGTTAATTCACTTATTCTAACTATTCTTCACACACTATTCTAACTATTCTTCACTCACTCTTCACTTATTCTTCACACACTAAAATTGTTCATGGTGACAGTTTTCATGATAAAGTGACAAGCGTACTCGTAATATATTATGTGTATGAAATATACTGCATTAAAATTGACCTCGTATAAAATACATTATTAAAAGAACGGACAATCGACATAGTAATATTAAAGTATTAAATGATTATTCCTATTAAATAATTTTTGAGAAAGATTAGATATTCTCTACTCAGACTAATATTGGTAAATAAAACTATTTCTAAAAATAAATAAAAAGTTACATGTAACCCTAAATACAACAGTAATAAACGTTTAGATAAATTTGCTGAATAAAGAAGTAATCTAACCCACTATTAAAAACATTTTAGAGAAAAAAAGTCTTACTTTGATTTCCCAGAAAAATCTTTGAATAATTATTTTAAATGCATACCAAAGAACAAAATATGTGAGTCATTGTAAAAGTGTGTGTATGTTTCGTGTTGTTAACTTAAAATTTACTAAGATCTTGGTAATTATGTAATTAAACTTTTGATCTTGTTTCTAAATACTCCCAATTTCTCAAAAAATCCGCCGAGATTTGGTTGAAAAACTTGCATTTAAATTACACTTTGAGACGAAATAAAAGTATTTTCTACATAAAATATTAAGATTTGTGTCAGTAAAATCACATTATATTATGAGTAAGTTTGACACACAGGTTCATTTGACATGAGCTCATAGTCATTCTCCAAAATCACTTCTGCCCATGTTTTTCACTTGCATTTATCTTTTGAGAATATTGGCTCAGTGGCGTAGCGAGGGGTGGGCAAGGGCATCATGCCCCGGGCGCTACTCACAAAGGGGCGCCAAATGGTCCGCAAAACAAGAAATTGTTGGATAATTTTCTTTTATTATAATTGATTTCTGGAAAATATATTTTAAATTAGTGCCAGTGTAATATAATAAATGTTAATTCATAAATATTATTCATAATATTTAATATCTAATTCATATTAAATATTATATTAAATTCATATTCATATTAAATTCATATTCATATTAAATTCATATTCATATTAAATATATTTCAATATTTAATTCACGTCCTTGTCATCGCGCTCTGCTTAGAATAAAAATGAAATGTTATTAAATATTAAGTATTATATAAAAATTTAATGTCAGCATAAATTATATTGTACATTTCACTATGTTACTACCTTTCAAGTTCAAAGCATTCTAGGTAAGTAATAAATCAAATAAGATTACTTACTACATCTACTCGACGCTTCTATTATTAAGTGACTAGAGTATGAAAAAATTTGTTAACAGAAAAATTTGTTGTTCTCATATTTGTCACCACAGATTCAAAATCAATTCATTCATCTTCTGGCATCTACAGTTCGAAATCAACTAATAAACGATATCAAAAGAAATAAATATTATGGACTTTTGTTTGATTCAACTCCTGATATCTGGATATCTCTCATCGAGAACAAATGTCCCAAGTCGCTAGGTATGTAGATGTTGATTTTATCAATAAAAAAGTTTCCATCAAAGAATCTTTTTTGAGTTTTATTGAAATACATGCTAAAGATGCAGCCTCGATAGAAAATACAATTTTAGAGAAATTAAATTTCGATGAAATTTCATTAACAAACTGCAGATCACAATGTTACGATAATGCTGCCGTGATGGCAGGTCACACATCTGAAACGCGATGGAGCGCTAGAATACAAGCGGTTATCGTTATCATCTATGGGCTAGAGAATATAAAAGAACTAATAGAAAAGTTAGCAGAGTCACTACAAGTGACAATAGAAGTGAAGCTATAATTCTGTTGCAAAATATACTGACCTTTAGTTTTATAACTTTACTTCATTTCTGGTATGAAATCTTAAGAAGGATTGATCGTGTGCAGCTCAGATTACAAGATCCTAGAATGAATTTTAGAGAAGTGTTCCATGATCTTGAATCATTATTCATTAGCCACTGAACTAGCCGAAATTTGAGACAAGCTCTGTAAAGAGGTAATAGAAAAAGCAGTCTCTTTGTGAAAAATGGGATAGGGATACAGCAATACGTGCCTGGAGAATTGGCTATGGTGGTCTTTCCGCAGAAAGTGAAATTTCTCGCGTTATGAAAAGCACGCTCTTGATCGTCTCCAACAAGAAATGTGTACACGATTTACACGATTAAGTGACCTTAATTTCAAATTTGGATTTCTACTAGACGTTGAAAATTTATTAAACAAGGATAATGTTGATAACGACCTTGAAAAAAAATTTTAAAAATCTGGGTGAATTTTATAATACAGATTTCAATGTAATAGAACTTTTTATCAAAATATGTGACAGCAAAATGTTACTCCGCAGTAGAAAAGAAATTAAACCTAAAACTCCATTAGAATTTCTTACTTTTATAATCAATCTCGAATGGAGAAGATGTTTTTCCAAATCTGAGAGCGGCATTTCAAATACTCCTGACTATCTCAGTATCAATTGCTAGCTGCGAACGTTCATTCAGCAAATTAAAATTAATTTTGACAGATCGCCTAAGTGACCTAGCATTTTTAAGTGTGGAAAGAGAAAAATTTTAAATGATCAATTTTGATGATATTATTGATACATTTGCTTCATCAAAAGCACGGAAAATTTAGACATAGTAATTAGTTTTATTAATGTATTATAATCATATGATTATTAAATATATGTATCTCCTTAGAGATAATAAATATTTACTTTTTTATTGTTTTAAAACTGCGTGTTTTTAAAATATTTCTTTATAAATATGTAAAATAAATAATAGGTATCTTTTGAACTAATTCTAGATGATCATATACATTTCAAAATCTAGTCTTGTTCTCTCAACTACATTTTTTGAAAAACATAACATAAAAAAACATAACTCAACATAAAACTCAACATAAAAAAATAGCCCATAAATATATTTTTAAAACAAACAATACTTCAAAAAAGAAGTAAATAAATAATTTATAAATGACAAAATACAAAATTTTAGTCTTGGAAAAATCGAAACATATGTCTAAAAACATTAAAAAAAATTTTAAAAACATTTCAGAGTTCTCATTTTTATTTTCATAACATATGTCTAAAAAGCATAATTTTTTTTAAAAAAAATTTTAAAACATTTTCAGAGTACTCATTTTCATATTTTCAGATTCGCATGAGAAAAATCTTTAAGCATATATTTTGCCAGAAATTCTCAAATATCGTCTAATTCAGAATAAAGGCCACGAAAATTTTTGGGAGTGTTAGGTACCCTGTTTAAGCCTCAATATCTCATTTTAAACTTAAAAGGAACAAATGAAAAAATTCGAAATATGAAAAATTCAGGCAATCAAAAATTACATTTTATCAATAACTATTTTTTTTTTACTCTTTTTACTATCACTAAAATTTTATTTATTAAAAAGTCCTGCTTGCTAAAAAAAGAATTCTTAAAATAGGACAATCGAAGAATTTAATTCTTGTTTGCTCAACAAAAGACTACGAAAAATCAACTTAATCCTTCTTCAGCCAGCCTTATCTCTTTTATAGTGCTTAAAGATGTCCTTTCATCTATTGTATTTCCTATTGAAAAACTAATTTCTTTTTCCTTATCATACAAAAAAAAGTTTGTGTATCGATAAGAAAGATCTACACTAAGCTGACCAACGTCCTCAAAAAAACAAATAAGCCGGTAGTGAAATTTCTAAAAAGAACATTTGAAAACTTTACACCTTTTCAATTATTTAAAAAAAAATATTTTTGTTGGAGAATTTCTGTGGGGGATTTTTTTTCTCAGAATATTAAATTGAAAATGTAAAGTAGTGAGTTTCTGAACATCTGAGTAAAAATTTTACTACCAGTTTCTTAGTTCTTTGTGGCAGCTGATCAGCTTAATCTACAC